ATGAGGCAAAAATATCTAAATCGTAGCGTTCGAGTCACCACGTTCCGGTGTACAAGAATGCTTCAATGAAATGAGCTGTAGCTAATTTTTAACTTTGAATGCCAATTATTTTGATATTTCATGGAAATGAAGTGTAACTCATCAACTATTTCTACTAAGACACGTAAATGTATATCGTATGTGACATCCCGTGACGTCACGGTGCGCGGCGGCGCGGTGTGTGTAGATAGAGGCGCCGCGCGCGGGGCGCTGTTTCACGTCAGCATCACGGCACTAACGCCCACTACATTCATGGATGCTTTAATTCATGTCTCTAGAGACAAACTGCGTGCCCTATTAATAAAGTTTCGTATTTCACATATTTTTGCTACGTTTTTCATGTTTTAAAATGAATTTTTAAGGATCAGTGAAATGCTAATCGACGCGACGCATCGGTCGCGGAAGATTATAACTGACAAAATATGAAATGACATTCAACCTTGCACACTCAACGGAAGATCCGTCGAGTTGTCATGCATACTTCCGTGAGATTCTAGACTGATCTTTTTCAAATTTACCCCAACTGCAATGCTAAGGAAAGAGTATGTTGGTTGATAGGGGTGCTGAATCATCATGGCACCTGAGGACCTTTCTATTACGAACGAAAATTCGGAAAATTTCTAATTGTTCTTATGATTTTGTTAAAATCATATCTGTGATAATTATCTATATATCACGAGGCAATGTCATGCCCTACCTCCGCTGCATAATAATCTATCTGAAAATGCGTATCTTCGGAGTCTTATTAGCATTTAGAAAATATGTATACGATATTTCGTTTTCGGGGAAATCGGCATTCAGATGTAATGTTAATTCGATGTTAAGTAGGGTATATGCATCTATCTTAGCTTGTACAGTGTACAGACGATATTCTCTGTATTATTCTCTATATTTATACTTATTCCGTTTTTAATTGGACCTTAGTATTATATACCACTTGAGCTATCATAGTTCTCCAGCTCTCTGCGTAGGCGTTTAAAGATGTCGAGGAATGTTTGGCGAGTGTTAGAAAAATGATTATCATTTTTATTAGCCATTTATGCGTGCTCTTAATTCTTAACGTATTACGAAGGTGGTATATCCACTTTTACACATTATAAGAATACTATAACTAAAGTGCTTAGATCAAGGTATCGAGACGTCCTTGCCTTGAGGCTATTAACCAATTCTAGCATGAAATCGATATGCGTGTGTCTGTTTAATCAAACTCGAAATAATTACACTTTGTTATTTCATCAACTGGACACACTTAGGTTTGCGTGCACCTAGTATCTACTGTATCTTATTTTGTTTCCGTCAACTTGCCTCTTGCTCGGCCATCTAGTAAGATTTATTCAAAAAGTATTGTTTACAAATATATTTCTAATGAGCTCTCGATAATTATATTTTCCGTAGCCGAGTGTCTCACATGCCGTTTACAAAATGTTGTCATCTCCGAGATCCCGGGGTTGATTCCTGCAACTCTATTGTGTCACTGACGTCGTCTATCGATCTGTCGAAATAAAGCCTTAAATAATTCTTCATTTTGACAAGATCAAAGCTGTAATTACGCGGTAAAACTGCTGGTCGGGTCATTATAGAAAAATGTTTTTTTTGTCTTGGGTCTGGGTGTTATGGTGCTTTCGTCGTTATAGCGTTCAATAATAATTAAGCTACTTCTGATCTATGAGATACTTACGTGGTGTTGTCTAATACTTAATTATTATATTTTTCCTCAGTACCTACAGCAAGCTTAATTAACAGAATTACATAAATCATGGAAAAGTAAATAAGCTCAAACTTATCATATATTTTGGTTTTTCAAATAGTCCTTCACTTTTATTTCTTGTGTTGGGTATTCCATTAGGTGAATAATGACGCTTTGTCAGATTATGGAATACTAGATGTGGTCCCGCGACTTCACCCGCATAAATATAGCCCATGGCACCCGCGTATGTTTCCCTAGGTGGTTTTTTTTATAATAGGCCTGTAGTTGCAGAGCCTATTTAATGCAATCAAATCTTTCTTCTTTATAATATTAGTATAGATGACATCTATGAGATCCGTCATTTACATAGAAAAAGTATGCTCTTTTAACTTTTGAAAACATTCGTATCTACCATGTGATTTTTATGAATGAGTCTCGCACCGAAGCAAGTCCAGTCATAACGTTATGTAACCGCTCCAATCGTAATACCTTTCATTTGATATGACACTGTAAACACATTCCTGCTGCTACAATAGAAATCACTTTGGCGACTTCTCATGCCGCTGTCAGTTGTAGATAATAAAGCAATTAATGACCGAGTATTTAGTCAATATATGCACAAGATTTTGTAATATTATTTCGAAACCTAGGGATATTTTTGACAAACAACTCATGATCGCTACATGCCAACTATAATTCAAGTCGTGAATTATGTTTATAAGTACTTACGCATTAAGTTAACCTCAAGTACGAACGTTGTTTTTACAGGTGTACGTTTAGCAATCGTCTCGAATGTTTAAACAGTATCGATAAAAAAGTATCGCATCGCGAACATTTCGTAATTGTATATGTATATTATATTTACAGACAAAGTAAAATTATAGGTTACAAATTTGAGTGGACCTTGGGTAGCGGTAATAAATCTTACAGAGCGGTAATGACGTCTGATTGACACGCATGTCTTCTATGCGTATGCGACACTAGTATCGATTTCATTAAAAAATAAAAATACAAACTGGAGCAATAAAGCGTAACCAATTTTTTTATATGGATAAGCCTTCAATTCTTAAGCGTATAATGCGAAAAAATTACATTCAATTTTGAAGTTTAAGCAATCAAAAATGTAGATGTGATAAAATCACGGTTGTACGGTTCAGGTTTGTTTTTCGGACTCAAATTGTCACGTTTTTGCTAAATATATCTAACCCCGAAAGATACTATACTTACAGCGCTACGTTTTATTTTATTATAAGTTGAAAAAATAAATACCTACTTCATTTTTAGTGGCCTTCATATTAAGATCTTATATACACAAATCTTTGATTATATTAGGTCGGAGAATAAGTTCTTAGTGTTTTTATCAAACATTAAATAAATATTAGACAACATCACATATATTACACACATTCCAAAGTGAGTAGCTCGTATCATAGAGAATTTGAGACAACGAAGGTACCACAAAACCCAGACCAGAGAAAATATAGAAAAGTTCATTTTCACCATTTCACCACCCGGGTGCGATTCCCGGCCTCGCTAATGCCCGGACCTCTTAGATCGCGAAACGTAAAAACCGGCGTGCGAATCAATCTGCTAAAGAAATCTTTTGTCGATTCCATTCAACCAAAATCACCCAGTGTGGTTTAGAAGTTATTGATTCTGTTTTAAAGATAGTATTCATTTTCGAAGGTAGCATACACATATAGTTTGATAAGAAATTGAAAAATGCTATTCCGTGGGTGCAAAGTCCGGATTATACGGCGGATGCTGAAGGAGGAAGTCCTTCATTCGAGCTCTTAAAGTGCGGCGTTGAAGACTGTACTACATGGGGTTTGGTATTTACCTGAAGGAGTATGTGGTATTTTCAGTTGAATAGCCTGTTTCATGCGGTGTAACTTGGTTTAAAACTTTAAAATTATTAAAAATATCTTTATTATATGGAATAAATGAAAATACAGAACACTTCGAACTTATTTTCGAATCTTAATACATTCCGACTAAATATTGAAAAAAAAATTGGAAGTAACTTTCTTACACTTAAACATTATGAAAATAAATTTTTAAGAAATCATCATATTTAATACTGACATATGAATTTTAAACACACAAACATTCATATTTTCAACGAAATATTATGAAAACGATTGAAATTCTCGTAAGATGTTAATTCCAAGTAATCTCCGTGTTTACAATATAATTACACCTTAACAATCACAGTTCCATAAAATGTAGAATCACTTAGAACTGATTTGGCAAATTACCAAACTTCAGCTGAAGGGAATCGTTACCACAGTCTGGGAGTTTATTTAGGTTTGATTATATCAATATTATCAATAAGAACGAAATTATTACGTATACTCAGTTCAGCGAATTACAAAAACCAAATCTGATTAAAGAAAACATAAAAGTTTTGGTTCGATCTTTTCTCTTTAGGCAAGTATTATTTAAACGGGGAATACTATTGACTTTAAACTAAATGCACTGGTATGAGCTTTGTGCAAACTATTATCTCAAACTCGTCATGACAAATCGTTAAAAATTGGTTCAGTAGTAACAGTCCCAGAAGATTATTCCTAGAAATTAGACAATTATAAATGCTTTTATGGTAAGATTGGTTTACATGTATTTGTGAATATGTACTTATGTACTACTGTTGCAATCATGAATGGTATGAAGTATACAGTAGTAGGCAAAGAAAGCCAGAGAAAAATGGATAGATTTATGTTCCATCCACAGGTTGAACAAGACATTGAAGTTGTATGTAGTTCAATTAGTTACTCAGCAAACGTGCAATTAAAAAGTATTGAAGTTGACTTTTTAGCACTTCGGCTCTTAAAAAATTTGGCTTCTGTAATTAGGCACAACCGGTTGAAGTCGAATAGCATGTCAGCTATGTCACGGATTTCGCTATGTGGTTATTCTGCGATTGTCACAACGCGTCGTGAGCGTTTCCATTAGAGCCATAACACGAATTTCGCTATGTGGTTATTTCTGCGATTGCCAGAACGCGTTGTGAACTATTTTTTCGTTCAATAACTTTCGGCCTCCAATTGATTAGTCGGAAACTAGCTATAACTTTGCCGGATTTTTTCGCAATATCACATACTATTAAATAGCTAAAGCACTTGTCTTATGTACATATTAAACAAAAAGTTCACTTTTTTATTGATCCTACCGAGACATGTACCCGAAACCGACTCCTTAAACAGGGTGCATACGACTCTGCCCCAAAAATCGTCAAATTGGTACCTATTAATATGCTTCGTATTTGCTACAGGGTGCTCGGGCCTACAGCGGTGTTGCAGCTGTCAGATCGCGATGAGCCACCACCTACGAACACGCGCCCATTGTACTCGTTAGCTATGCGAGGCGCCGTCATTTGTTTTTCCGGCTTCCGGGACAAGGAAGAACTTGTTAGTAACATTTTATTTTTCTTCGATTCAACCACTTTGATTCTGATTTTATTTTGTGTTTGTTATTTTGTATTAGAAGATTTAATACTTCACTCGCTAATATTTATTTCTATTAACTTACTAAACATACTCACAAAACCAAGGACACAAATGGAAACAGTTTATACATACATATTACAATAGCATGTTATTGTTCATAGTCTACTTGATATGCGAATATTGTTCTTACTTGTAACGAATATCAGACCCACTTTCCCTTTTATGATTTTCAAATGTTTTATGATATTAACTTTATTGAAATGAATGCGTACATTAAACTGTACCTATTAAAAAAATACTTGGTTATACAATTCGCAAATATCATAGAAAGAATAACTGCACATTACCAATAAATTCTTTCAAACACTTAAAATAAATTAAAACTAAAAGAGTGTATAAATTAACGATTGATATTATTATTTGTAGACGTACCTGATTACGTTAATACATTACATGGGTGGGTCGATACGTAAGGACATGTCCAGTAAAGTGACCCATCTGATCGCGGCCGCCGCAACCGGTGAGAAGTACCGGTACGCGACGACGTTTGCGTTACCGGTACTAGACCGGTCGTGGGTGCACGCGTGCTGGGACCGCCGTGACGATCCCGCCTGCCTCGCCACTAACGATGACGTCATAGTAAGTATTCATTGACAGGTGCTTCTATGCACACTTGTTTATAATATAGATGGTTGAAAGCCGTTAGCCAAGCGAGATTTTTTGACGACGTTGAAGTTGAATATATTTATTTCAAATATGTGGGGTGAATCAATTATCATTGCAACCTTCGTTAATATAATTCGAATACTCTTTAGTATATGATTAATTAATTTTATTTCAATAAGTTAATATGCCGTTGAAAGTAGTATACTTGAATTAGATGAATAATTGCCGACAGAGATCTTTTATCCTGGTTAATGATAACATTTAGCAGTGTTGCCATGTCTTCAATATGCACGTCGAAGTTACTGTAACGGTATAGGGAAAATACGGCGTAAACAACAGTGTAAAGTCATAGTTGCTATTGTCAATAAAACACCAATTTAAGGTTTCCATATTTTTAATCAAAAGTTCTATAGCCTAGCCATATAAAAGTAGTCGGAATCAGATAACAAAATTTGCAAATTTTTGTAAAGGTTCCGATTTAGTCCTTTCATCATTTCGTCGATGGGCATAAAGATGAATGCGCCCTACTTAAATTGATAGCATTAACAAAATTGACCGTGCAGACATTTTATTCTATAATAGATATTCTAGAGCTCGGGCGTCAAGAGATTTCCTCAATCCATTCATTTCCAAGGATGCGTTCCCGGATATCAGAAATACTGACCTAAAGTGAAAGATTTTGAAATTACATTATACAGATTACAGTAGATTTTGTCACAGTTGTAATGCTAAGGTTTACGGTGTATTTAACGGAATTTCGGTGCATATGGCAACACTGACATTAAGTAACATTTGGAATTTAATCACTTACGAACAGCAGGGCGATTTTGTAAAATTCTGAACTCGAATTCAAATTCACTCATGTGTCCGAATACACGTCATTTAGTGAAGAAATTGTATTGATGCCACTTTTTGAAGTGAATTCAGAGACCTGTAAATTCGAATTCTGGTTTTGGACGTTTACAGAATCGCAGGGCTGAATACGATACGAATACGATGAGTGAGAATCAGTTCCCTCTACAGCTTGAAATGTATGATGTAAGATATGAGAAATGGTACATACTTCATACAATAATTAAGTGCTACATAAAAATTATTAAATGCTTAATAATCCTAAATAGCAGTATAATATAATTCGGTTGGGGACTTTCCGTTTTTGTATTTTATTTGTTCGACAACGTTATAAATTGAGTGTGTCTGAATGTATTGGCATAACTTTAACATAGGAATTTCTTTTATTAGAAAGAGCACAAGCTGAAAGTGTTCGCTGGGGCACGTGTGTGCTTCGTCGGCTTCCCGGAGGATGAGACACAGCACATGACCGAAGTGCTCGCCAGCAATGGCGGCGGCGCCTGTCAGATCGACGATGCCGATTGCACGCACGTCGTAAGTACAAGCAACCCTTCAACTACATCTTTTTTGTAAATATACGACCCCGCTGCCTTCAACTTTGAACAACAAAAAATAAAAGGACTCTACTCTAAACGATATTAATCGTAAAACGTTTACCCCAACACTTCTCATACCTGTTTATTTATATACTTCATGCCCACATTTAGTCACTAATTTTAGCTTTGAGTCAGCATGGCACGTAGCACCTTGGGAACACAAATCACTATTTAGCTTAGTTACATTGTAGAAGAGATTTAGCTAGTAGCTGATTATTATGGTTGCGATGATTTTTTTCACATCTACCTTCTTCCGATTATTGCGTTTATTGGTTTCTTTCAATGTCAAACGACGTTTTACAATTTTTCTAGCAGTAATTATTATTAGTTTTGTTGCAGTTCAATGCCAGTAGCGGCACAATGATAATTACATAAGCTAATACACATTGCGAGGTTAAGGTTTCATTCGATTCGTTACCGCATACAGATATATATATGGCGCTATTTCTTTTAGTTTTTTACTTGGTAGAAGTTCCTCGTCTTTATTTTGTTCGTAGTTTTTTTTAACGAAAGCCCAATTTTTTGTTACCACTTCCTACCATGTCCCGCTCCACACGTCGCGAAGTCAACCCATTGTTTTGTTTAGTGTTCACTACTATTTATTTGTAATGTCTCTTATCACCAATGTATGTTCCTTTCACACCTTTATTTTTAATAATGTCACATAGTTCCGCAATAGTGCACCACCTACTTTCTACTGCTTGTGTGAACATACTATTTGTTCATGTCCATAGATCATTATGTCGTCTTTATTATGCTTGTGTCTGCACAAAACTTAGAATACATAAACATTTTTTTGTGTTACTGTAACAGTCGTTTATTTCCATTATCAACTGAAAATGCTCTAAACATTCTACATTCACGTCACCAAAAAAAAAAACCAGAAAAGATCAATTCAAAATTAATGTAAAACAAAATCTATGCTCTCAGTCTATTGCTTTCTCTGTGTTTAACCGCCTCTGTTAAAAGAGAATATGATCGTCGTGCATGTTTGTATCGGAATGGCTTCAATTACATCATTGCGTGGTGTGTTTCACACATGTTTCAGGTAATGGCCAATGGGGAGACTTTCGGTCGTTCGCTTATCCTGTCACCTCACCCGAAAACGCCTAACACCTCGACGAAACTCTCCCGAGCCACTCCCAATCGTTCCCAATCTACTCCCAAAAGCTCACTATATCGCAGGCTCTCAGCCAGGCTGTCGGGACGTCGCGACAGTCCTAATGTACAAAGTGCCGATGTCGACGAACAACCTAAAGACCAAAGGGATAAATTAATACAAATAGCAAGAATCAGTATTAGAGATAAGCAATTAACTAGTGTAGATCAAACTGATAACAGTATTAGTTTTATAGGAAAGTCTTTTATTAATGATTTAAGCCCAAATGAATCTAAAAGTTCGCCGCATGTTGATCATGTTGAATTACGCAGATACAAATCTTCTGGCAAAGAGAACAAAAATATATCTCTACTAGCAAACGACATAGTCGGAATGAACGTGAAGGATAAACGTGAAGTGTTTAGAAATAAATCAATGAATATGTTTAACTTGGTAGACTGTATAACGGAGACTGGATCACTTCATTCGTCGCTCACTAAGAGTCTGTGCGATTTAAATCCCAAAGATCAGCTAGGTTCGTTTCTACAGCCTACATCGACAGCTAATAATGAACTACAACAATCTACTACTACTATCTCATCAGGGAAAAAGAGAAGTCGAAACTCGACCGATTCTAATTTTCAAGTAAGCATAGTCGATACTAATCTTTCCCCAGATAAGAGTGAAGAAAGCAACTGGAAATCGATAAAGAGACTCAAAATAAAGGATTCATTTAAGTTTAAAAATAGACCGACTATATTCAAAAGAACAAAAAAGGATTCAGTTTCTAAGGCTTCAGGTGAAATTACTGTAGAAGCTGTAACCCCCGATAGCATAAAACCTACCGATCCCGCAGGCGAATTTATAGCATCCACGTCCTCTCCCATCAGAGAAGACGACAACGCATCTATTTGCTCAGTGAATACCAGTAAGCAGTCTGGATTTTTCGATATATCCTTCGCATCGATACGAAGCTCAAAAACGGTCAAGTCCGCATCGAAACTAAGAAGGAGCGTGAAATCATTCACGGCTTCGTTCAGGAGCGAAAGGAAGAAGAAGTACGAGAAGAGATCGGAACGAAACACCGTCGAGGTCGACGCATGTCACCTGCCGGTCGATTTGAGAAACGTGTCGACGCCGAAGAGAGATTTGGACGATATGAATTTGGATATATCTCCTGTGCAAGTGGATACGGTGGACAGTACGGATATGACTACACCTGTTAGGACTGATGTGGACGAGTTGGACGAGCCTGCCGTATTCAAAACGCCCCAGAGCATCTGGCTGAGAGCTCATCGCCACTCGATATGCGCGAGCGCAGAGTTACGTAACGTTCCTTCCCTCCCCGCCCCCATATCGCGCGACCAGCCGCCGCCCGCCTCGACGCTCCTCACCCGCGACGCTCGTGCCATATCGCAATGCCATGGAATATCGCTGCCGGTACTAACACCATTTAATTCAGTACTAAATAATAGGTTAAGCTTCCAAACATTCAGTCCTTCGTAACCATTATAGGTATCGAAATATTATCAAAGTCAGCGTCGGTATGCATGCCTGTAAACGGTTATGTCACCGTATACCCGGTAGGCGCTTAGTAGGGAGTGCACTTTGGGTGCGCTGTATCTATGAATTACGCAGAGGCATGCTGAACGGCAATAAATACGGTGGTGGTTTTAAGATGGGACCTACTAGGGAGCATTTATTTCTATGTCACTGTTATAATTTTGTGTTTATGCTTCTAGTAATAAGCGATTTTTTATATTACAGAGAAAAGTCAAAGAAAAACTACTGTTGTTGCTATTTCAACATATCATTTCTTAGGAGTAGCGTTAACCGGTCTTCTGCTACTCTTGAAGCTTTAATTTTATTAATAAATGCTCCTAGGTAGTCTCGCTCGATGATAAAGGAGTCAAGTAATGCTAATTGAATATTGATCGGGTGTACAGGTGGTGGACGAACATAATACAGTGCTCGCGCCGGAATGCAATGCGCGGGCGCACGTCGTCAAAGCGGAATGGTTCTGGGCCTCCGTGCAAAATGAAGAGGCGCAGGATGAGAAAGACTTTTTATACAAAGATGTAAGTTAAACTTTAAATTCCAATTTAACCATTTTTTACCAAATTAAAAAATAAATAAGCAAATTCTGTTGCACAAACACTCGGTGTTTTCAAATCTTGAAATAATTGAAGTAAACTTTTATTGACGGATAACATTAAAACCAACCCAGGTTTTAAATTAGATTTCTTTTAAATACATATTAGCTAAGAGAGTGGTACAACAGTATTGGTACCGATAACTCAGTTATGTATGAGTTGTTTCATAAATATGAACCGCTATGATCGTTAGTACCTGAGCGAGATGTCGCGACGGTCGTCGGTAGGGGGCGCATGCGCGGCACCTGCGGACGAAGGGTGCTCCGGTACTCCAGGCGGAGGCTCCACTGCGGGCAACACTCCCGCGCAACTCCAACGCATTAGGAAACGTAAACTGATGCGAGGAGTTGACGCCGCCTTACATAAACGACGGTCTTCAGTCAGCGATGCTGTGTTACTGAGCCTGTCCGGAAACCTGCTGGATTGCACTCCGTCACCTGATGGAAAGCAACTCTTGGAAGGTCAGTTTCGATCCTTATTATATTTGACAACGTAAAAATGGCCTAAGTCACGGCGTTTATAAGATCGCAGTTGCAACATCTTTCAATAATATATCTATATTTTCAGAGTCAGAAGTACCTGATAATGTTGTGCGGAAGTTGATGTCTCCACGCCAACAGGTCTTCATGGAGCTCTTGCAAACGGAGTCCAATTATGTTGGCATATTGCATACGATAGTCATGGTAAGGATACGGTCCCTCGATCACGGTAGATTTGTTTCAAAACTACGATTATTAAAAGTGTTACATCCATATGACTGAGGAACCGGGGGTTTAGAGTCTGGAAATAATTAAACAACGATACAAATATTGAGTTTGCTTATATACTAAAACATTTGATCAATTCTACCCCCAAGGGAATAAAATAGGGGATGAATGTTTGTAGGAAACTTTGTCGATTTTAAGCCGATCGGGTTGAAACTGTGCATGCATAAAGCTACTATGGCGTAGGCATCCCCTAAGAAAGGATTTTTATCAATTATTTCCCCAAGGGGATAAAATAGGGGATGAAATTTTGTATAAACTGTCAATTTCAAACCGATCGGGCTCAGACTGCATGGATAAAGCTACTATGACGTAGGCCGCCAAAAGAAAGAATTTTGAGAAATTAAACTATCTCAGATATTTCACACGATATAATGAGTAAATATTCGTTAGAAATGCTGCTTAAAGTAACTTTACCACGCGGACGAAGTCGTGGGCAAAAGCTAGTTGAATATAGTGATTGTAGTATATAATATTAAAAAGGTTTTCTTCTTTATTTAGATGTTCAAACAGCCTTTGGAAGAAATGGTTGAAGAGGACACCAGCAGTGGGAAGAATCAAGCGTTGCTCAACAATACTGAACTGAAAAATATATTCGGAAACCTACCGCCTATTTATGAATTACACCAGTGAGTTATTTATTAATTATAAAAAGGCAACTTCATTTGAAATAAAACAAATTTGACGTTTACTCCGAATGTGCAAGTGAAATAAATAAAATAGAATGAAAGAAAAGAGAAAGGCACACGCATATAATGAAACTTATCGTAGTATGTTTCATAAGCTATCGACCTCATGTAGAAGATAATCATAATAGACCAGATTATTCTGAAATGGCATTTTTTTCATAGTTTTAGTGCTTATGACATAAAAGATAATCTTTTCAATTCTCATGTGATGATACTTAATATTTAACAATAATATTCTACAGCTATTTGACATAAGACAAATAAAAGTTTGTGAACTATAATCGTTTTGCTAATATTTACTCTGAAGCTTTTTTAATATCCATTCCCATTTAAATCTGATTCTATTCATAGGGTTGACCAACGATGTGAGCATTATTTGCCATCAAGACAACGACACAACCTAACCGAAGAACAATATGTATATACAAAAAAAAAAAGAAATTAGAAGATCTGATCAATGAGTTGATAATAACACTATGAATTATGATGTATGTGGTTGATATTTTAAAGCTTGTTTTAATTGTGACAGGCGTATGCTGGAGGAGCTTCGTTATGCTCAAGCCAACTGGAGCGAAGAAGTGAGCATAGGGCGGCTAGTGCTCAAGTACACGCCGGACATGCTTAAAGCGTACCCGCCCTTCATCAACTTCTTCGAAAACACCAAGGAGATGCTGCAGCAGTGCGACCGTGAGAACCCTAGGTAATAATAACTACAACCTGTTATCGGAGGTGCAAATTGGTAGCTGTACTTTTTTAGAGATAGGTTATTTTATAAAATAGGTAATAATAAACTAGTTTTATACAAGTAATAAGTATCATAATTTCTTTTTATTTATTAAAAATGTCCAACTACCAAATAGCACCTCCGATAACGGAGTATAATAATAATCTATAAAATAAATCGGCAAACTGTGGCCCTTTACATCTATTGCGGCTATCAAATCTGTTGACATTAAGTAATTATTTTACTGCATTTAATCCTATAAACCCTTTAAATCGTGTAATCTGTCCATACCCATATTTTAATATGATCGAGACATACTGACTATGACTGCGATAGATATTAATTATATATTATTATAGATATTAAAGTTTAATTTAAATATTTTGTTATATTTGATCAATTTTGTATTCTGCAAAATATTTTTAATGATCTATTTCATCTTAATATTAAATTTCCTTTTTGGACACCCTAAATTAATTATATGGTCATGAGTGGATTGCCATATCATAAAATGTTGACGTTTAAACAATAGTATCAGTTTTAAATGTTTGTTTCATGAATAACCGCCACTTTATTAAATGGCTGGCCATTTTCTACGATACGGCCAAGATATATATTTGTTATTTATCGTCTCGAAATAATCATATATGTACAGTGTTATATATCGGTATTAATATTATAAATGGGAAAGATTTTATTGTTCGTTTGTTTGCAGTGAATAGCCTCCGAATTTAATAGACATATTTTTAAAATTACTTCACCTACAGAAAACAGCCAGTGATATAATAATCTACCTTATGTTAGATGCGATATAAAACCCTAAATTTGTATTTAATTACATTTTATTTAATATATATTTTTTTTATAGATTTCATGCATTCCTGAAAATCTGTCAGACCAAACCAGAATGTGGCCGACAAAGTTTACAAGAACTCCTAATAAGACCCGTGCAGCGTCTACCTAGTATAAGCTTATTATTGGATGGTAAGTGGGATTTGACAATTTGTAATGAGCTGATGGGTCGCTTAGTTATACCAAAAAAAATTGTAATGTTGTTGGAAATGGAAACTTGCATGTAAACAATACGTATTATTTTTTTAGAAAATAAAATCTAGGTATATTTTATTTTTGCAAAATTAACTTGCTATTTATATTCTGTGGATTACAAGATCCGAATGGTGTCTATCTATACATAGATATGTAGATAGACGGGGCGGTCATGACAGAGCATCGTATGACATCACACTAATAAGCAAAATCAACGTTTTTTAAGCGAGTACTTATGTTTATTGTAATGTGATGTCTCGGCGAAATATCACATAACTTATTGTTTTCGCGGGACAATTAAAATAATTATTCCTTTATTTATATATTTATTCATAACATTTCTAATTTACAGACATACTGAAACACACACATAAGAATAATCCTGATCACGCGGCGTTGGTGTCCGCGTTAGCGGGACTACGGGAAGTGATGTCCCACATTAACGAGGACAAACGAAAAACGGAGGGACAGATGCAAATGTTCGATATATACAACGACATCGACCAATGCCCGGTAAGTTTCATCATCATCAGGCTATTAATGTACCCATTAACAGGGCACAGACCTTCCCTATGAATAAAATCAAATCGAATAGGGAGAATGGGTCATGATCCACGATGTGGGTCCACTGTGCAATGGTGGATACCTGCCGTAGCAGCCGAGACTAACGGCTTAACGCGTCTTTTGAAGTATGGAGAAGCTAGTTTTATACAATTTCGGTCACCCATCATATGATCGGCCCTCGGGAAAGTTGCTGTTCGGAGACTGAAAGCACTAACCGCTCCTCGAGCCCGGTTAATTGTTACCACCTCTTATAAACGCAGATCAGTAGAATGACAAAACTCTACTAATAATACGTGTCGTTAATTTTCGTTGTGATTGATCTGTGGAAATTGAGTCCATGTTTAATCTTTTAGGATTGGTCTTTACAATCATAAATCATCTTGGTTGTTGTGCTGACCGATTATCTGTCAACCTGACAGATCATTCAGGACTGGGTTTTGACACATAAATCAGAGCCTCAGGCGGTATAAATGCAAACCTACTATTTGCGACGATAAACGAAACTATCATTACAATTTATAATCAACTTCATTCTGATAATTATAAGGTATAAAATATAACTATTGAATTTTCCGTCAAATTACACTCGGCAAGGCTCCCGATAGTGCGCTACTCGAATCGTTCACACTCTCACTACAAAAAGATCTATAATAGGGATGACGACTAATTTTTCTTTGTTTGTCCGTCAGGTAGAGTATTAAAAAAATATTAAACACGTATTTTTTTTTAATCATAAAATTACGGCGATTTTTTTTAATCATAAAATTTCGCATGACGTCACGCTATGGTACATTTTCTACAAAACTGACGTAGCGAGCCCCCACTCTTCAACTTAAATGCCTCTTATCTAAGTTATCTCTCGTTAAATTGAAGTAAATAAAATACGTATCTAATATTTTTCTATTATCTGACTGACGGACTAAATAGAATTGCATTTTTTTTTACCCAGTCGTCATGCCTTTTTCACATTCAGTTTTTTCTTTAAATATATACTATTAACGATACTAAAGTAGGAAAAAAATTGCGCATTGTTAAAAATTACATTTACAATGTTATGTTCACAGCCTCATCTTGTATCGTCGCACCGAACGTTCGTAGCTCGCTGCGAGGTGGTGGAGCTGTCTAAAGAACTATCAGGTCGAGGCGATCATCTAGTACTATTCTTATTCACAGACACCATGGAGGTGTGCAAGAAGAGATCCAAAGTTAGTATTTACTTTTATAGTGGGTAATCATGAAATCAGTGATTCCGAAAATGATGTCAAACAAGTAAAATGTTTGTTCTATCCGACTAAGTCTTTTTTTTTTTGTCTATTAAAATTTTGTTTATTTGTTAACTTTATTAACAGTTGATAACAAAGGAAGTGCCTGATTTGGTTGTAATTCGTCATTTTCAGAATTTCCCCGCTTTCGCTATAACCCACAGAACATAGAGAGAGATTAGAAGTATAATGATATTAATTTAGTATGGGAACCGAGTGTCGCCTCTCCGCACACAAATACAGATTAGATGAAATGATCATTTTGTTCACTACATGAAAAACCGCCACGCGATAGGTTCGCGATAACATAAATCAAATCCCAAAAAGATACTAAGCTAAGAAATCACACGATTAAAAACAAACTCTAATTCAACGTGATAATAAATAATTTACTTTAACATGAATGTTGAACTGTCACGTGGCTGTATATGGGGATACCAGAAGGAAAAAAATATTTTAAGATTATGCACATTTAAAAAAATTGGGTTCATCATTTTATGTGCGAACTATTAATATTAGATTTTGCTGTAAGCAAGTGAATACTGAAAAATTAAGGCTTTTCCCTACATAATTTATTAAAATATCTTTTAAAAAACGCAGTACAAAAACTAAGAAAACTTAATGATACACTCTATCGTATGTCTGTGGAGTAATATAATTAAGCGAGGGAAAGTGTAAAAAAAAACAAAAATTAAGAAAACAACAGAATTTTTGTATTAATTACATTAAGCCTAATTTGTATTTTTTTCTTACTGGTATCATTCCGATTGTGCATATTAGTGATGTGACATATTAGTTGATAAAATAAGAGCTTTAAATTTTGTCATGAAACAGTTCAATGTAATTCAGTTCGACAATTTTCTACAGTGGTTTGATAGTAATTATTTAAAGCTTTATTCAAATAAAACGAAATACATAAAGTTTGCATTACCTAATGTGAGGCATGTTAATATACTTATAAATGTAAATAGTGAAAAAGTTGAGATGGTGGAATCGACAAAGTTCCTTGGTATTTTGGTATATTGATAATTTGTCAAGTAGACTGAGTTCTGCAGCATTTGCTGTTGAGAAAATTAGACTCTTAACAAATGTTGAAACGGCAAGATTGGTATATTTTAGTTATGTTCATAGTGTAATGAATGACGTATAATCTATTGTTATGGGGTTCTGCGGCTAGCATTCAAGATATTTTTATTCTACAAAAGAGAGCTGTCCACGCTATATATAATTTACGGTCTAGAGAATCTCTCAGAGAAATATTTAAAGAAATAAATATTTTGACTGTTGCCTCTCAATACATCAATGAAAATATTATGAACGCAAGAAAACATTACGATTCTTTCACAAAAAAAAAGTAGAAATAAAAATAAACTTGCCATTCCAAGTGCTTGTAATAGCCTTCTTGAATAAAGATATTTTCATTTCATTTCATAATAACTAATATGATCATTACACTAATAAATTGATCATAGCCATGTTTGTTTTACTTTATTATTCTAAATTTTATATCTGTAATAATAGTAGTAGCTACATTATTAATTGCAACGACTGGACAATAAGGAATTGCTGGTCAAGTATGAGTTTGAAAGCCGTGACAAAAAAAGTTTGAAGATAGACACAAAAGCGATAAGTACGTACAAACGTCAATCTACATATAAAGTCACATCCGTTTGAGACATGTGTCTATAAACTTATGTGCAAATATGGAGCAACAAAAAACTGATAAAAGCTGTTCTGTGGGCAGTTCTTTAAAGTGGCTTTCTTAACTCGATTTCTATAATAATAGTTTCCGATTATGAATCAGCATACGAGGGTCAAACTGAAAGTTCTTAGAACTGGCCACTTATAAACAATATAATAACAAAATAATTCTAAAATTTGAAAATATAACTCTTTGCCAATATTACTGAGTATATATTTCATTCATTTGTCATTTGTTTTACGATTTGGCGGCAAATTGAAAATTGTCTGTGTCACGTCATCATGAATTTAACACGAGAAAATTTTCGTGCAATGATTTTTTATGACTTTCGATGTCATTTAAGTCAACAAGAAAGTTATGATAGACTACGATTGGCCTTTCACGATGAAGCCCCATCTCGTGCGACTGTTTACAACTGGTTTAATGAGTTTAAACGTGGTCGCACTAATCTCACTGATGATTTACGTGAGGGACGGCCTTCTACGGCGACGACTGAAGATAACATCTGTGTTGTGCGGCGTATGATAGAGACTGACAAAAGAGTGACCTATCAACAGATTCGGACAAGCTTAGGCATCGGTATGAGTCAAGTGCACAAAATCCTCCACGAACATTTAGCGGTCAGGAAGCTTTGCGCCCGGTGGATACCACATAATTTGACTGAGGCTCAAAAACTCCATCGTGTGGATTGGTGTCGTAAAATGATTGAAAGATTTAACGGAGGTGACTCAAATGCTGTGTTCGACATACTAACAGATGACGAAAGCTGGATTTACTGTTATGATCCTAAAACCAAAAGACAATCTGCTCAGTGGGTGTTTCCTTTCGAGGAGTTGCCAACTAAAGTGAAGAGAGATCGAAGTGCGGGAAAAAAAATGGTGGCCTCGTTCTTTGGAAGGATAGGTCATTTTGCAACAATTGTGTTAGAGGATCAAAAAACAGTTTCTGCAGAATGGTACACTACCAATTGTTTGCCACTTGTCTTGGAAAAAGTTCGAGAGAAACGACCTCGCAGTAGGATCCTCCTTCACCACGACAACGCCTCGTCGCACACCGCCAAGCGAACGATCGACTATTTGGCGACATCAAACGTTGAATTACTGGGTCACCCGCCGTATAGCCCCGACCTCGCGCCTTGTGATTTTTATTTATTTCCAAAAATTAAAGAAAAACTTAAAGGAAAGCGGTTTATGAATGCTGAAGAAGCGGTGGCTGCGTATCGCGATGCCATTGAAGAGACCCCTAAGGACGAGTGGGCAAAGTGCTTTTCCCAGTGGTTCCATCGCATGCAGCGGTGTATTGACGTGAATGGACAATATTTTGAAAAGATATAATAAAACTAATAACTGGCTAATGTAATCAGTTTTTGATTTTCTAAGAACTTTCAGTTTGACCCTCGTAATAAGGTAAATTAAATTGACGCCTAAAAATTAATTTTGTAAATTAAATTCACACCACCAACAATATTACGTTAGTTGAAAACATAATTTTTTGTTTGTATAGATATTATGTTGTTTTGAAATTCATTTGATAGGTTTAGGTCTAAAACAGATAGGGCAAAATTAATTATGTAAACAAGGCAATCCGTTGTAAAGTTATTAGGGAAACTGAAATATAAATAATGCAAAATAAGTGAAATCCAGTTTCACCAGTTTCTAACAAGACCTATTAGGCCAACTCTTAGCTTTTCACGAAGTTTCGTTTAATTTATGTATTGTTCATAAAACGGTGATATACTTCGTAACTTAGATATTTATAGCACATCAGTAATTTTTAATATTTATCTGCGTGTAAATAATTAACCGAATCTTCGTAAAAAAAGTGCCTGGACAGTTCATTATTTCATTTGTTCAGTATCAGTTCATCTATAATTTTCCCTTGTAAACAGTATTTTTTAGTTTTATATAATTATGGCATATATTTATCGATAACGTTGTTATGAAATGATGAAAGAAAAGCTCTAAATAAATATGTTTTAGTTATCGATTACGATCCATATAATTAACAATACGATTCCGAGCAGCAGCAGCCTATCGGTACATTTCAGACAAATGGAGGCACAGCACTATTTTTTGCAAAAGTGCACAAAATGATTTACATTGCTGTTTAGTAATGGGGTCAGAAACATTGATGTTGGTTTGAACAATCAATGTATATTTTATTTAACATTGTGTCAAATTATTACATTTTTTATATTTTAGCACTAAAATTGTACTTACCAGTGAAAGGAAATGTTTGCATTAGTTAGATTGAATACTTTGCTTTGCTTTTTGCAAGTGATAATAGCACAAAACGGCATTTTTTATAGAAAAAATCTGTAAAATCACCACTCGACGATTGACGAACGACTGGCAAACATAAAACCGAGGAAAGGGCGTCATATGAGTAAAAGCGCATATGCCAGCGACGCGTGCCCCGCCCACTTACTACTTCTATTCTCTCTCTATGTTCTGTGCTATAACCCCAAAGCAACCTATATGAAATTAACTTTTTAATTATTGCTGATTCAAAATTTGTAGAAATCGGTAATTTTTGAACAAAGTATGAAATTGTTTTGTAAGCTATTGGATAAGTGTGTTATTTATAGTTTAAATAAATCAAACAAGCAAGTTAACGGAAGTGGTAACCTGCCAAACATCTATCAGTTTCATCTCTAATTAATATATTTTTTTTATATATGACAATTTTAGTCATCAATTTAGATTTATATAAAAATAACTATTAGATTTCTCAGTATTTTTTCTTTTAAAATTGGTTATATACAGTACATTTAAACAATATATTTCTTGAATTATATTCTTACAAATAAATTACCAAGTCACATTATTTATTCAGGTTTTCAATAGTAAAAGTCCCACGAACGGCACTAGTACGATGAGGATAGGATCGAGCAAGCCATATCGTCACATATCACTGATGCCGCTCAGCACCGTCAAACGAGTCGTCGACATCAGGGAAGCTGAAGGTAAGGATTTCTGTGGCAAAATTCCATTGGTCGATAAAACAGTGAAAACGGGCCACAGAAATCGCCAGCATCTCGCATAATTATCCTTAACGACCAATAGCAATAAGTCATTATGGATCATTTTCTCTAACGTATCTAACATTCAAACAGTATTACGATCAAAGAACTTTCAATATGCGTAAGATATAAACAAAACTATAGCTCCATTCTATTCCACTAGGAATTTATCCTTCTGAAAGCATCATACATAAAGCATCAACACCAGACCGCAAGCTATCCTTTGATTAGATAGAGAGAAAAGAGAAAGATCTCCCTGTAGAACGATAACGGGTAAAGCTCATATGTGAATACTGATTGAAAAATTGATTGCAGACTGCCACAACGTGTTCGCATTGATGTGTCGAAGTAATCAAGAGTTAAAAGAGAAGTTGTACTCGTTCATGATTACGGACGAAGCGGTGGACAAGTCCCACTTCCTGAGACAGCTCTGCCGACAGATGGCTAACACTGTCTGCAAAGCTGATGCGGTGAGTACACATCATCATGTCTAATAATGCCCCCTCCTGCTGGGACGCTAACCTTCACTATGCACGGAATCAAATAGGGAGAATAGACTCTAAATTCAATTGTCACAAGTTTCAATTATCATCTTTTATATCACAATCATTCTTATTGTACGTTAATAAGGTTTAATTAGTTGTACATCACATCATTCTTACTAAAATGTCATCAATAACACAAAAAGTGTTAATATGAATTGAAACCGTACTTGCTTTTTTGTCAAATTGAAATAAAAATCAGTCATATTTCAAGGCATGTGACAACATACACATTTCAATATATACTAATTGCACTCTCATCTCAACAAAGACGTTTATTGAAATGTGACGTCACATGTTTCAGTTCATGTAATTCACAGATTATAAATCATAAGTTATTTTTAAAACAAAAAATTTTTGTTTCCTTGCAAGTTATTGCTAACATATTTCATAATTTATTGTTATAACTGTCAAGTAGTCATTTATGCTGTCCATTTCGATTTATTTATCACACTAGTTGACAAATTACGCCACTCATGGAACAAAGTATGTTTTGTACAGGATAAATTCCTAGCGTGCCTGGAGTCGCACCAGCTCGAAATAGATACGAGTGACCTGGCACTTAGCACGCTCTCCAAAGTATCCAAGTTTGCTGCGCGGACCAGGATCAAGGTATAGTTATCACAATTACACATAATGTACATAAACTTAGTATAATACCGTGATAAGATCAGAAAAATAAGATATCATTCTTTATAAATGTTGCCAAATTCAGAAACTGATTTTTCTGATCGAATTTTAGCATTTTATTTGTATTGCTAACAATAAAACTAGACAAGTTAAATTTAAAATTAATAATTCATCGAAAGATTTAAAATATATTTTTTTTAGACAGCATGACTCAATTAGGTGTATTTATTTAGCTTAGCTTAAACTTTTGAAACTAATGATAAATAACAAATCTTTATTTACAAAATTTTCATAATGTTATAATGCTGCCGCAAATTATTGAGAAGTACCTGTCATGTCTGTCTTATATATGTAACTAAGGCATGAATACAAAATCTGTCCAATCGTACATTATATGTGATCATAATACATTCATTGTATTCACACATAATAACGAAATTTATTCCCCGACGATTTATTGTTAAGAACGTCGTTATATAAGAACAAATTTTTGAAAACAACAGTATACAGACATTTATTCCGGCGCATGAGTTCACTAAAATGGGAGTTATAGAAGTTTCTCGAACTGGTGCCTCTACGTTTCGAACAAAAATATGGGGCAAACTATATTTTTCATTGGCACTGATCAATGTTTCACATCAGCAACATTTGATTATTAATCGTCATGTTCTCAAATAATTTATAGTAAATTAAACATTGGTTAATTTTATACTTGGAATGAGGAATTAATCATTGAGGATTAATCACCTTGGCATGTCACACATGGCGACATTATTTAGTTGTTTTTAAATCTTCTGAAATTAATAATTGGAAGGCCTTAAAAATATGGCATTATTTTCTATTATAGTAAGTTGTATCCCAATAATCTTCATTGATTTCCACAAACAAAATTGATATTTTCGTTAAATTGTCAATCATTGTATAGTTTACCGATGAGACAATAAGTAGTGTGTACGTTATGGTAGTGGCCAGTGTACAAGTAGAGTACAGTTGAGTGGAGTTAGTGCAGTTGAGTATAGCACAGTTGAGTGGAGTATAGTATAGTGGAGTGGAGTAGAGCGGTGTAGAGGTGGTTGTGTTGTAGCTGGAGGCGCTGGCGGGGCTGGGCGGATGGCTGCGCGCGGAGCCGGGCTCCGGGCTGCTAGACACATGGGTATTGCGCGCTCACTTACTCGCACAGGTCTGACGCGACTCTGCCACTCCTCTCTCTCTCACACACACACGACCCCGACTGTAGTCCGTTACAAATAGCATGGGTACGGTGACGGTGTTAACAAATCTATTTCACGCAATTGGTATTTCCAAATAATTGAGAACTGTCGTTTAAAAAATAGTTGACTGTATATTTATATTTATTTAAATTTGCATATTAAAACACAAATATAAATTTAAAAGCCACTGAAATGTAATCCTCTAAAGTTTTAAACATTAATAATTGTTATGAAAATTCGAACGTTTATTTAATAGGGATTGAATTAATAAGATCGTTTTAATAGATATATGTATTCGGTAATCATTTGACATTTTTAAAATTATTGTTGTCGTAAAGAGAAACCTTACTTTGATAAAATTTTGTATTTTTCTGACTTGGGTTCATCTTTTTGATGAATAAATATTTTTCTTTCATCCCGTTTAATATATTGACCTAAAATTAAATTGTCTTTATTAGAAATGAACTCAATAATATCGAGATTTTGCATATAAATAAATATTTTTATTACCACATCATTAAAAACTTGAAATTCTAAACGTCACTTTACCCATGCTATGTGAATAAGACTATAATACATATACTGCTACCTGTGTACCAGTTGACGCGTCATCACCCTTCCCTGCCCTTGTATTTATTATAGGCTTCGCACGCCAGCGACTTTAATCTATAGAGATTAGATTGTGATGTATTAGGATTATGTCGATGCTACATCCGGTAGCATTGCTTTTATCTCCATTGCTAGAGCGAGAAAGATTGAGTTTTGTGTATGGCCTCGAGAATTTCGCGCCGTGCTTTAGCACGTCACCTTTTTAGCTCTAGCGAATGGTTCTTAGCTACAGAGGACATGTTAAAGAAAAATACCTCCAATGGTTCTTGAGTTATAGGTATGAATATGATGAAATTAAATGATTATTGTGATTAATATGCCTTCATTCGTTTCCAGCGAGATTTTTATGTTGGATATTTTTATAAAATAGTCTAATAGTTAATTTATAACGGTCGTTATTTAATTTGGACTGGGCATGTAAACGATTGCTGATATGACATTTTGGATTTTTCACTATACATACAATGAAACACATTACAAAGAAAGATTATGAAAGTGTTACAAAATGTGCCCGTCTCGTACGAATTGAATATTGATAAATCGCTATTATATTGGTACTAAATAGTCGCCCTTGATTAAAGTTGCTGCGTGTGTGCCTAACTTTATACACCCCTTCGCTTAGTGACGATGCTGCGCTGGCAAATCGTTCCATTCCCCCCATATTTAACACGATCACTGTTCCAGTATCAATGTCTTATTCGCACTTCGTTCCGTAGACACAGGAATCCATGTTTATTCGCATCATAATCGATTATTCGATCGCCCTCGTTGGATTCACATTGCTTTCTTAATAAATAGTTTAACAAAGGCGTCTTTGTAGCGTATCTGCTTGGGATGGATGACGATATTCGTTACTTATATCATTACGGCACTCGTACGAGTGATACTTGTATTACGGTACGGCAGGAAGAGTCGGGAGGAGTGAATGTTCGATATTAATGCTTCGCTTCACACATTTGTTATTAACCGTTTTCGTGAGCGTGCCATACCTAAGGTGTTTGGGATCATTATCATTTTTCACGGACTTATTCTTCTTCATTGTTTATACTTATATCGGATTCCCGCAGCGTCACATTAGTGTTGGGTTTTGTATTTTGTATAAAAATCATTGTAGTCGTTGAAACATTGCGTTAACATGTCCCACTAACGTCATAAAATATCCTAGCATGAGAATAAAGGTACGTAAATTTAACCAACTTTAACATCTTTACTAAAATTGGTATAATCCATGTTAATATTGAAATGTGTTTAAAAAATGTGGCAAATGTAATGGAGTTACCGTTGATGTCATTTATTTTACGCCTATTGTTTGATACCTAATTCCTAACATGAATCCGATTCGATTGTAGGATGGAGTTGTATGGTACAAGAAATATTTATTCTGAACGAGGTTTTGATTAGTCCACCTATTGCTCCAAATATAATAGAGCAAACTTAGTTAAAAATATATTGATGAATAAGTTCATACGGTACAAACATTATTTATCAATAACTATAGAAGTCGGACGAATTAATATGACACCTGGGGCTGCCACCTAGAATTCGTTCGCTAACTAGTACCGATCGTAATTTAACGATTATGACATGACGTCAGTTTAGTATATTATCATTTGTTAGACTCGTATTGAGTAAAACTGTCAACGATATTCGTTTATTTCCTAGCGACAGCTCGGTCACTACACTATAACGGCGAGACTGCAGCCTCTGTCTAGAATGACGTTAGTGCAAAGTACACCATGCAAAAAAGATGTTATTTTAAAATTATATGTTTTATAAAAAAATACTAAGAAAAGATACATAAAATAACAACTATCAGTTGGAGAAAACGCAAAAATTCGTAAGGAAGCAGTAGATATATGGACATACTTCAAGAACCAATTTTTCGTATGGTTAACGATAATTTTGTTATATGTTGTTGGGTATCAGGTGGGTCGCGCGCTGTCTTTCAACAAGACTCCATCAAAGCTGAAGCGGGCGATGTCGTCGATGATCTCTCCCTTCGGATCCACTACCAATCTACCTGCTGCTCAGCTAGCGCAAATGCGACTCGCTAGCTGTAATAACATCAATGTGAGTACAAGTTTTTATTTCGATCTGATGTCCTAGGTGAAGTAAAAAGCGGCACGAAAATAAACCTAATATGCCGTCCACTGCGCAGGTATAATCGGGATAAAAATTAAAAAAGGTAAAATACTTATTTTTATGTATATTGTTAGTAAACAAAAAAAAACTTTATTAAAATATTTAAAAAACTCATTTAGAACGTCATTTGCCGAGTAACAACATTTACATATAAACTACAGTGTTAATAAATAAAAAAAAAATCATAGGTGTGTTCGTTATAAAAGATAGGAAACAAATGTGTTATGGGTGTATATTATTGGTGATATGTATATATATAAAAATCTAAATCCAAAAAAAAACAACAATGACTAAATTGTGTATAGTAATAAATCACTTTATTTCTTGTATGTACTTATAGATACGTCTAGCGCGGGATGACACTAGACTTTGTTGATATTGTTAAGTTTCTTGCAAACGCACACTTCTTATCCTTCGATACCTATTTTCGTTTACTGCGCAACGTTTACTTTCGTGCCGAGCACTGTACTTATGTTTTGGATGTTAATATACAAAAAGTTGCTTTCGGAGATTTTTTATATTCTGATAATACTATTAGCCAAAAAACTTCAAGTCACATGAACTAAATAAGTATGAAAAAAAAAAATTATCACAAAACAAATCATTAATATATTCTTAGGACGCCATTATCCCAAAGTGTGGGTTGAAACATTGCATATCAGTGTTCATTTATAGACACAATAACTTTGTAACATATAACATGATCTTTAAAAAAAATCACATACGTTTATTAGTTTTTACTTAGAATGAGAGAAATAAAATTATAGTGCTCTATCTTTTTAGTCCGGCAAGCTCGGTGCGTAGGAGCGTAACAAAAGAATTAGATGGTTTGTTGGTAGCTGTTCCCGAGCATGCGAAACTAAGAACGAGATCTTATATCTTCTATGTTTCCTTACTCTGTCTAGAATGATCGACTCATGGAGTGTATTTTCAATAGTTGTTTAAGTGGTTTGCCTGAACATTGAAATACGCCCTGTAGTAGCGAAAAAGTAACAAGTGCATTTTTTTTATCGTCAGTCTCAATGTTCAGGCAGACCATCCAAACGGCCGAAAGAAGTATTTTTACAAATATTTAATCTTTCGATAAAGATGAAAATTTGTCATGAAAGTCGTGGGTTCGAATCCCGTCTCAGAGTGCCATGAAAATTTGTCATGAAGGTCATGGGTTCGAGTCCCATTTCAGAGTGCCAGGGACAAAGTGGCTATCTTAAGCATTTTTCAATTAGAATATTTTTTCTTTTATCCCTTGACACATTTGTGACCCGTCATATTATTACGCAAATGCGTAGCGCATGGTGTTGCATAACGCGTTATAACTTTAGACATTACGTAATGTCGTTAGGTGGTTCCCAAAATAATTAAATGACAGATTTAGGCGACCCCTAAGCTACGGGCATAAGTTACCTATAAAGAGTATGTACCTATCGGTAACCAGGGATCGTAATTATCAAGATAATATATTTTTTTTGATAACTAACCGATAAATATCTACTAATTACCCAAAGTTACTGGCAACATTTTTTTAAATACAGAAAGGCGTTCATATTTGATTTAATTTCCGTTATTAAGAACAAAAAGTCAAATGAAGTAACTTTTTTTGGAGGTCCATCCTAGGCAATATTCTCTATCAAAAATCCTTATATTATGGTTGTTTAAAGATGATTCCCCAAGTCCTAAAGTACAAAAAGAGTTTGTGTAGTGCTTTATAATTAACAATGATAGTGATCATTCTGAACCCTGTAGGTAACAAAGTGTTATCTGCTACAGGAAATGGGCGCCGGTGGAGGAGCATGCTCTGAGGGTGGCGGTGAAGCGTTAGTGGCGCCGTTATCCGTACAGCCCACGCGTAAAGCCGCCGCCGCCCTACGCCGTTTCTGACGACGCACCGCCGCCGCCTGACTACACGCTCCCGCCCCCGCCCCCGCCCCACCTCTACCGTAGCACCTACGGAGTCCGCTACATGCTACGTAGGTTCTACGTCACTACGGTGATAACGTCCAGTGAAGTCTGTAGTGAACCATCGTATGTGCCCATCGAATATGTAAACGTCAACTACGCGACCGCGTAAACTTTTTATTGAGAAAATTGAAATTAAACTATACGTATACAGAGTATATGAGAGCGCTATCGTTTAACCGCTCACCTTTTGTTGCTACATAAAGATGTTTCAAGTGCAAATATTTACAGTTTTTAATATATATCCAACTTTTATCACTCTGATGTAGTTTTATCTGGTGATTTTTTAATGTATGATAACGCTCGCTAGTTTTTTTTCCTGTCGATATTTCTATACATTTCGATATATTTTGCCGATTTAAAGTAAGACTAGGTTAAAATCGTAGTCAACATTATCTCAAACCAGTGCGTCTAGTGAATGTGAGCATACCGCGGATTTTAACTGATATAAAAAGTATATTACCAAGACAGTGTAAGCTTTGAAATTATATGATAATTAAGATTTATTTTGAATGTCTAGATTTCTTATTTACAGTGAATTGAAAATATTGAAGCTATTAAAATAATATATAAACTGTTAAGTTTTGTGGAATTGCTAAACAAATATGAATTTAGAGTTTACTGCTATTGTTGTATACGCTGTTTTAGTAATCACTATAATATTTATCCAGTGAAATTTTACATTGAGATGGGCAATAAGATGACAAAAGAAACTGAAATGAATCTAAACAACATGAATGTGAAATGTTATTAATTTTGAGCATATATATGTTCTAGTGGTGCGGTAATATGTCAGTGGTGGCAAGTGTGTTAACAGTGAATGTGAATTTGCTAATTCAAAGACAAAATAAAGTCGATTTTATGTCGAACTTAGCCCACTTACAGAGGGGCGGCATAGTGCTAGAAGTGCCTTCATACGCTCTGAGCGAAATCTTCGAATGCAGGTATCATTAGTGATGTTATCGTGGGTAACGCTACGTACGGCCTCGAATATACGAATATCGTCAGTTGTTACTATTTAATAGATCGCGTCCGAAATTATCATCGGTCACGCGTTGAGAATCTATTCGGAATAATTTGTGTGTATCTGGTCTAACGGTATGACACTATTTGTCGCAAATATTGTTTTAGTATGAAATATAGGGCAGCCCATAATATTGATTTATTGTAATTTATTATTGTCTCCACTATTGTCGAAAAATTATATTACTTAGTCTTGTTTGGGATCCATTGTCCGATCAGTATAAATATCATTTACACCGACCACGTGTGTCGAATTGGAATATTATTGATAATATTGAGATAGTCCTGAAAATAATATGTACATATTGTGATATTTTAATTTAATCGTGTAATAGGCATTGTAGGTTTAAAGTAGTGATGTAATGACTACCTTATCCACTGCTGATTGAAAGTGTTACACTCAAATCTATAGATGAGTAGAAGTCTTTACTTGAGTAAAAGTAATAATTTAAGCAAATATTTTTAACAAATAAACAAGAATTTTAATGAAGTAATAACTAACAAAAGTTAGAAAACTATAATTATTAGCTACTGACAGTTCTTAATTCATTAAAATTTTAATCCAAAAGTATTTGATAAAGTTTATCGCATACAGCCCATATCTAAATTGAGAAATATGAAATATTCTCAATTATTTAATTTTTTTACGTTTCACAATTGAAAGTAATAGTTTTATCAAGCTGCTATTAATTGATCATTAAAGAAACTAAAATCAAAAACAAAAACCTGTATGGAGTGACGTTTAAGTACAGTTTGAGACGTTTTTAACTTTATTCAAGTAATTACTTCTACTCGACTGTAGATATCAGTGGATATGGTGGGAGAAGGTGAAGCCGGCCTAGTGTATATAGCGTGCAGGGCACCTGACCTGTACTGATCACCTTCATATAAATTTGTCTATAGATTTTGTGGGAGTCTAATAACGGCTACTATTTGAATCGGTAACCAACATATGTACGCATGTTAAACGCGTTGTACAAAGATCTATATTTATAAATATTTTAAATGATTGATACAATAAACATTTATTTTCAATCAGTAGTCTTTTTATTTGCGTTAATATTATGATATCACATTTTTTCTATTTCGAACTGAAGAAGTGGAAAGCATTCCAGATGGCTCTCATGGGTACTGCCACAATAACCGCGCCAAGCGGCAGCAACGCCCAGTACAAATACAGAACTGGTAATTCTGTCATAGTTAACACTGTTATTTTCAAAATAATTGTTACCTGAAACGACAGAAAATGACTCGGTGACATTGTGTATCGTAACACCCATGACCATGACATGACGTAGAACGTGACTAGATAAATTGCCTACAAGTATTTAAGAAAAAAAGAAAGCACTAAAAAGCACCTCCACTAGCTGAACTAGCTGAAATAGAATATGAGTTGTTTATTGAATTTTGAAAACTAATTTACTTTTATACATGAAAGAAAACCGGAAGGGTTGTCATGGAGAAATCAAGAAAGTACTGTAGTGACATCTAGTTCGATTTCGGGAACTAATGTTTTTTTAATACTGTCGTCTTTGACACAAGGTTTGCCGAGTGTGGAAGATTAAATATCATTTGTATATATATACTAATATTATAAAGAGGAAATATTGGTTGGTTTGTTTGCACTGAACAAGCTCTGAGACTGCTGGACTGTTCTCTGATTTTGTAAAAATCTGAACCCGATATTAATGTTTCGTGGCATAAGTGAAGGGAGTTTCTAAATTACTTAGGCATAGAATATCTCAGACACGTATGATCAATATAATAAAGCTAATAATAGAGCGAGACAAAGCACATGCAAAACGTTGCTATACAATCGACAAAAACCCAAGTCATAAATGACGTGACACACGAGTGAATTCGAGTACGGGTTCGGGTTTTTACGTTCTCTCTGCTGATTTAAAAAAAATCACATACGGAAAGCTACATCATAGCCAGTGGCGTAGCTACTAAGGGCCTAGGCGGGGCAGTGCCCACACGAGTGAATTCGAGTACGGGTTCGGATTTTCACGTTATCTCTCTGCTGATTAAAAAAAAATCACATACGGAAAACTACATCATAGCCAATGGCGTAGCTACTTAGGGCCTAGGCGGGGCAGTGCCCCGGGGCCCTCAAGCTCAGGGGGCCCTCGAATCTACCAGAAAATCTCAATGGCGGTGATGTTTACCGGGGATTCCCCAACGACGTCTTGTATCGTATCATTACGTTTCGCTTTCCTTTTACTTGTAACGTTGTCAGTGAACAGTGGTACCCACTTGAGTACAATCTTACATAAATATTGCATAAATAAATTAGAAAACTAATATTATGGACAAAAAAAAAAGAAACCCAGTGGTGCATTTAAACGCAAACAACGCCAAGAAAGAGAAGTAAGCTGGTGCAACGTATGAATACGCTATGAATAAATTAATCTAAATATATATAACTCAAAGGTGACTGACTGACATAGTAATCTATCAACGCACAGCTCAAACCACTGGACGGATCGGTCTAAAATTTGGCATACAGAGCGCTAAGTGTAAGTTTTTTTGACGTTTACGTTCACTGTCGATCGTGAGCGCGTTAAGATTTTAGTATGGAATCCGGTACAGCGCCTCTAGCGGTAACTACCAAGAACTACAAATCTCCATACAAATTCATAACGCGCTCACTAGTGAATGCGTTAGCGTAAAACTTACACTTACCACTCAGGTAGATGTTATGACGTAGGGATCCACTAAGAAAGGATTTTGATCAATTCTACCCCCAAGGGGATAACAAAGGGGATGAAAGTTTGTATGAAACTGTAAATTTTAAACCGATCGGACTGAGGCTTTGTATGCATAAAGCTACTATGACGTAAGCATCCCCTAAGAAAGGATTTGATAAATTCCACCCTTAAGAAGATAAAATAGGGGATGAAGTATTATTTCAGGTTTTTTTACACGATATATTGAATAAATATATATTGTTACAAATGCTGCTCAGAGTTACTTTACCACGCGGACGAAGTCGCGGGCATAAGCTAGTATATAATAAACCCTTGATCTTTTCTATTTCGTTTTATTGCCTAGTTATTGGGTAAGTACCTATAAAAATAATTGTATTGTAATTTATGTTGTTAGTGTTTAATAGTTTTATTACCTGCCCATGCACGAAAAAGAGCCGATGATAAAGTTGCTTAGCAAATTTAAAGTACTTTTATATTAAAAGATTTTACTTCAAAAAATCTTACCAGTTTTGATAGCAGTGGGCCCCATTTTTTTATTTGCCCCAGGGCCCTAGGTTACCTAGCTACGCCACTGATCATAGCCTTTAAATTTACGCGGGCTCAGTCGCGGGAAAACGCTAGTATCATATATTTGTCACTTCGGACCTTGTTCGGACGTTCGGCAAAGTCGTATCATATCTTCCTTCAGAGTATATGCCGAATCTTAGATGACAACAGTCAAATTCCAAAATGTAAATATGTATAAACAAATCTACATTCCGCAAAATAGAATTCTTAGGATAAACAATTATTTCTTACCAATACTATAAATGGTATGATCTGCCACTGAGTTCCAATGCGAGTAGAACATGTATTCTCTTCTGTAGCAACGTTCATGTCTGATAAGAAGTCGCGGCTGCGATATACCCACAACATCACAATTAATTCTTGGAGGCAAAGCAGCGGCATTGCCACGCCTGTCATTATCGAATCTATACTTTCCAATAATGCTATACCTCCCTAACCAATAGAATAAGTTATGTAGTATTAAATGTTCACTTATTTAGTGTTAGTATATAATAACAGTTTAATTATTTATGTAATTATGTAGATTAAAGAATAATTCAATTATTAAATCGTCATCGATCCTGCGAAGAAAATGGACGTAACAAATTTTCTATGAAGAAGGCCTACTCTGTTTCTCCTAAAACGAAATTCTTCTTACTTTAGAAACGCTAATATGACTCCAAAAATATTCAACGAAGGTAAGACATGAGACAGCATAGACAATCTTCATGGATAGAATTTAAAAGAAAATTAAAAGAACGGTTAATCAGAGTATAATATACTCGGTGGAACAGAACGACCGACACTCCCGAGGTTCCTGGAGAGTACTATTTGTCTTTAATATAATGTAAAAAAAAATATAAGTCTAAGTCAAATAGTTTCGGAGATATTAGATTACAAAGTTTTTGAAAAAAAATGAGTGTTTTAAACCCTGAGTCAGCTGTTTTTGGGACGTACTAAGGAAAAGTTTTAAATCGGTCATTGACTTCTTCATTTCTAAAAACGAAATAAACTAGTTTGTGATTTATAAGACTGCTTTCATGCAAATTCTACCAGACAATCAATAAACAAGGCAGTCAAAATGCTTAAATCGATTTACAGACTAACAGCCGGTTTCTGATTTGAAAAAAGTAGAAAATTTCTACTGCTTATTCTCAATAACCTAAGTTTTTATAATTTCACAAGTCAAATAGTCCTAGTTTTATCAAACTGCTATCAACTGATCATCAAAAAACTAAAATCGGAAACGAAAACTAAGTGATGTTAGTTTGAGACGTTTAACTTTAAATTCTCAATTAAGAAACCGAGTGTAAAATTTCCTAAATTATTGTAGAGATCAGCCTAACATTAACTTACGTTATTTTAAAAGAGCAATTCTCCAAAAAAATTGTTTGTATGGGGTAATACTCCTTTAACAACGTTTAATTAACGGGATCGTTAATTAAACTCGATAAACTCACAAATCTTCCAGCGATTCATCATTAACACAAATGAACTTTGTTTTAAAATCATTGAGGAATTTGTTATTAAAATAGCATTTAAAAAGAACATTAAAAAAATGCGTGATATCAAAAGACGACAAAATAATGTGAACCGAGTTCGTCCCTCGATATCAAAGCCCCACCCGCCCGCCAGCCGCCAGGTGGCTTCATTATTCTGTCGATATTTTCCGGCCGATCAGCGACCTTTTGCGCTGGAGTGTTGTTGCGCATTGCCGCCGACGCACCGCTGCGAAGCGTCTTTTTTGTCGATTTTTGTTTTGTTCTAGTGCGTTTTTAATTCGATAAACTCACAAATCTTCCAGCGATTCATCATTAACACAAATGAACTTTGTTTTAAAATCATTGAGGAATTTGTTATTAAAATAGCATTTAAAAAGAACATTAAAAAAATGCGTGATATCAAAAGACGACAAAATAATGTGAACAGAGTTCGTCCCTCGATATCAAAGCCCCACCCGCCCGCCAGCCGCCAGGTGGCTTCATTATTCTGTCGATATTTTCCGGCCGATCAGCGACCTTTTGCGCTGGAGTGTTGTTGCGCATTGCCGCCGACGCACCGCTGCGAAGCGTCTTTTTTGTCGATTTTTGTTTTGTTCTAGTGCGTTTTTAATTGAATTTTTGTTAATAAGATACTAGAGTGTTCGTCTTGAGTGTTAAGTTTAGTTTAGTGAAGATTGTGTTTAGTTTTGTGTGAAATGTGATGTGTTTTGCGCGTGCATACACTGGCATGCAAAAGAGCGTGCTTAGCTGTCTTCAGAGAAGAATTGAACATTTTCAGCATCGACTATCATTAAGATATCGGTAAATAATTAAATTAAGGTATTTCGCGGTCCGTTGTAATCTGCGCACAATCGATATTGCGCATGCGCGTTAAAGGGCTGTCAACACTTAGAAATTCAAAATTTTTACTCCATTTTACAACTCCTCTATTTTATCTATTTGTCAAATAAAATGAACGTTTGCATGTAACCTAACTTGAAACTTTCGGCTGTGTCGGTCATTTTGTTGCTCCCTGTATAAATATATAAACATCTCGCAGTGTTAGAATTGAATCGTCATAATTTCATTACGTCAACTCTTTTGGCTTGGATTGATCTATTATCGGCCTTAGAAATAACAATCTATTGAGTAAACCAGATCTCTGTGGCTTTACACAACAGGCCTATACTACTGAGACTATTAAAACATGCGAAATACTTACATGTAACACAAAAGTTAGACTTAAACCCATACAAATCAGAATTAAAAAACCAACCACTATTTGTTCGATAAAGCTGCAAATAAAAATTAAAGTCTGAACATAGCCGGCCATTTTAAAATATATTTTGCTAAGTATGTACAGTCAACAGCACGTCAGACTATACAAATCTGTTAAACTTCACTTGATTTTAAAACTTAATGCGTTGTAGGTAGAGTTCAAAAATAATTGAGGAATACCCTGACATGCAGCTGTGTGTACGTTATATAATTATAAATCATCCAAAACTTACACTAATTTAACTTTATATTCAAAAATAGTATGCAATGCAGTCTTGAGTAAAGTATAAGCTACAACCAAATAAGAAAATGTCAAACCAGCGAATATGAGTGTCGATCTGAAATATAAAACAAGTATTGTTACTTGTTCGGCTACGGAGGTCATAGCAGGATGGACGAGAGCTGCCACATCTTTCGCTAGAGGTGCAGAGACAGAGACCGATAAGAAACACTATTTTAGATAAAAAATAATAATTGGTAAGTAACTAACAACAAATGCGTGTGGGTGCCTGCTGAGGTACACTTCGAATACATAGGTATAATCCATAAAGTGCCTGAAATTAAAGTACGTACTTATTGTATCGATTAAGTAGATAACGTTCAAGAGACATAAATGAACGCACATTTATAAACACCCTGAATGATGCCCACCGCTTATCGGCCGTCGTGCCCTTGGTACAATAGCAGAGACAATTCAATGGGGTTTATTTGTAACTAGCCAATAGGGATGAAGACTAATTTTTGTTTGTTTGTCCGTCAGGTAGATTGTTAAAAAATATTAAAAACGTATTTTTTTATTTTTTTCGTAATCATAAAATTACGGCGTTACATGGAGTTGAAATTTCGCATGACGTCACTTTATAGTACGTTTTCTACTAAACTGTGACGTAGGGAGCCCCCACTTCTCCACTTTAATGCCTGTTATCTAAGCTATTTCTTGTTAAATTGAAGTAAAAAAATACGTATCTAATATTTTTCTATTATCTGATTGACGGACTAAATAGAATTGCATTTTTTTTACCCAGTCGTCATCCCTATTAAATTTGGGATATTGTTAACGAACAACTGGTTACAGAACATGCAGTCTTTAACGTGTGGTTGCACACCAGCATTGTTTATGCCAATATATCTAATTCGCATCACGTACGTAACTTTCACCAAAATGGCGACTGCGGAAAATGGCGACGCAGCAGAACATTTGCGGGTCTTAATCGAGTTTTCAATACTTGGGTCTCCAACAGTCATGCAGAATTGTTACTGGAGACTAAATCCTTCGTGGAAATCGGCAATTGAGCCCAAGTTATGTTTTCAGGTTTCCGTCCTAAAGGGTAAAAACTTAATACAGTTAACCCAATGCCCCGATTGAACAATGTTCAGCATGTACAAACGTGCGTTCATGTCAATAGTTTAGTTAACAACATACTTTCATGCAAGACGTGAGCCTCTTGGATAGTAACTTGCATTACGTCGGCGAGTGCACAAAAGTCAGAGCTGATGGAATTAATCACAGCAAGCAGTAGAACGAATCCAGAGTGCCACACATTTTCAGAATTTAAATGAGGGTCTATATGTCCGGATGCTGGTCAAAATAATTATATGGTACAGACTTCAGCACCCTAGATTACTAAAAAAAATAGAATCGGCTTCAAACTTTAAAAAAGTATGATAATAATACTTACCTCAAAAACGACCTATTTGGGCGAAGATTTTCTGAAGGTTATTAATTAAATGATAGGCTCCAAACTTCAATAGCATTTTCTTGAATAAATCGCTTTTGAGGGAAGTATTATTTTAACTTTTTTATAGTTTGAAGTCGGTTGAATTTTTTTAGTTTTTATTTATATTGATATTATTTATAGGTAACACAAAAACTACTTTTCTCAAAACAGTGTCAAAATCAATTCAGCCAAACGCGCGATAATCGCAGTCAATACATACAACACGTGTTAAAGTGCGAACCTACATTTTTTAGTTGGTTAGTATACCTAAAACCTTCTCCTAAGTCTGAAAAATACTTCAGCCAAACGCAAGATAATCGCTCACAATCATACATACAGGGCAAACTGAGAACTTCTTTTTTGATCTTTGTAGAAACCCTATGTGGCGTGTGTGTAGAAGTTGAGTTTACAATAATATAAGATACGACAATGTGGGTGTCGTGACACTAATGAGACATCAATGTGAGTGTCGTGACATCGAGTTGAGTATCGTGATACCGATGTTACACCTGGCAACTCTAGTCGTAATCAAATATGGTTCAATCAAAATTTGTGTCGTAGCTGACATGCTATTCAACCACAACGCGTTGTGAACTATTATTTCGTGCACGACTGAAGGAGATATGTAGTGCTGGGTCAATGTACGAAATTCTTTGCGTTCAGCGACCGTGCTATAAGAGCCACATGACGATGAAAAAGAAAGTAAAACTTAAAAATACTATACCGTAGTGGTTGAGACCTTTCCCATGTATTATTTCCGTGCCTATACTTGCCGCATGTATATACATGGCCACTTCCAAAGCGTCACCTGTAATCTAAAAAAATACAAACATATAGGACATGCGAACACTTTACACGATACACATAAGCAAGTGAAAAAATACATACAGAAATCACATCCATTACATCCAGCCGAGAAGCTTTGTGCAATATGTTTTGTAAAGATGGTATATTTACGAGAGCAGTCAACACCAGAAAAGCTGTCCATATCCACGGCACCACCACGAACCATGCATACATATTGTTCCATATCAACTACATTAGTATCAAAAATGTATATATATATTATTTTTTATATTTACACATTAAACACCATCTTGAGTACCAAACTATAAAACCCACCACCCAGTGCACATTTATGGGTATTAACGACTACCGCCGGAACCCACAGCTTAAAGTGCCCCCCGAAGTTCGGACGAGTTCAAGCTGATAAAATTGATCGCCTATTCTATGACCGGCCGTTGTGAACGTTGCTTCCTTCGAATTTGCAGACCAATCGCGTTACATTGCGTCATCGAACTCCTAACTTTTTAAACCATAATAAAATTTAACATAAGGTCGATTTCAGAATTATTTTGTAACCTTAGTGTCGGTGCATATCTGACGGAAGATGCCCTTCGCTCGTTGCGGAATATGAGAACTGACATCATACATATATCAAAAGGCCATTCTGAGATCAACTTTGTAATTTACAACGGCATATTTACTTCTCAATCTTCTATGAGCTAATTTTATTGAATTAAAACTGTATCCTTAAAAGAGTTTGTAAAATTAAAAGTAAAATTAAAAGAATATCCTTAAAAGACTCACTCTGTCGTGTGAAATTTTTTCACTGATCATAACTCCCCATAATATGAGCCAGGAAACTATAAGGCTTAATATCAAAACCACATTAGAATTTTTCACACTTAAATCTGGTTGTAAATGAACTACTTCCACGCTGCAAAAAAAAATTCGCTTTAATTAACAAATGATCCACGATCAAATATTTACGTAGTAGGTAATCGAGCAGAAACTTCTCTGTATACAGTATGTTAGAAAAGCTGTTCAGAATTAAAGTGACGGCACGCATCTGCTTAGGTATGTAAAAATACTTACACAAATACACTCAATTCATCATATTAAGGATCATCTACGAATCTGAGAGTCAATATGGAAATATTCATCATTTACATTATAAAGTCCATAACAGACAGTGAAGCTATAATATGATATATTAAGATAAAATATCGCTTGCCATAAAATCGAATAGCCAAATACAGCTAAGATAAAAAAATATTTTCATATTAAGTATATAAAGATGCCAAGCGATACGGAAATATATATATATAAAAAGAGTTTCAAAATATTATCGTTTCATAATCGTGTGTGATGGCTTAAGAACTAAGTTATTCTATAAGATATCTTAAGATAAAATATTATTGCATCTTCAATTCTTCACCTGTTATGAGCTTTAATGATTATGAAATAAGTAGCACGAATATCACCGACTAGCATGGACATGTAAATGTCCTTTAATTCAGTTGAAAGATGATCACATTGTTTTGTACTTACAAAAAAAAATTATATGCTGGTGTTCCAAAAAACAGAGGGTAAGTGGTGTTGTAAATCTCCTTGCACATTGGAACTTGACGATACGATTTAAGCTTTTTATTACCGTTACTGTAACCAAAAAATCATATCCAGAATCTATCCAATAAGACTTCATAAAATCAAACACATTATCCTGCTTTGCTTTGCGCAGTCGAGTAAAAAAAATTACTTCTTAATGACTAGATGACGATCAAAGTCGAGCGAGAAATGAACAGCTATTTCTCGCTTGACTCCACTTCGCAGTATGTAGCTGCCTGACTTGAAAACAAGTTTTTGAATTAGTTCATTTTTGTACGTGAGTATTAGCTGCGTAAAATTTTTGGAGTCAGTTTTATTCAATGAATATTTTTTTTAGTATTTTTGATAAAATACTGGAGATTAAACAAAAAATTTCCCTCAGTAAAAATGCACTATTGACAAAGATGCCTATAGAAATAAAGAAACGTCTATTCTTTTATTTTAAAAAGGCAATCCAATTTGTACATATATACTGTGGTGTATCATAGTATCACTATATGGCGCTGACCGAATAGTGCGTCGGAGTTTGATTTTACTTTGGTGTTACATAATTTATTTTCATGTTTAAGGATAAATTCTGTCTACACGTTCCGGAATACACTACCTATACTCATTTGTCAATTTCTCGGGTCGAGACGAGAGTGTGATGGAGCACGTGAGCGCACGTGGCACCCATGGATGGCATGGGCGCATCCGAGAAAAGTTATTTGATTTGACAAAACATTATCGAGTTCGTCATGCTACGCGTACTGGTGCGATGCGACCGCCGAACTCTCGCTATAATTCTAGCTATTACTTCTTAGATATCAAAAATAGACTTTAAACTCGTTACGTATTTGATGTCTAAGAATCCAGAATTCATGCAAGACACTTGAAATGTAAATGACATACACACCCGTCAAACGAAAAATTCCTCCAGGCTCCATCATCAAGCCCGACTGTCGCCGGTGAAACCGTATTCAACTCATTATTCTATAAGAAACAAAAATATTATTGTATTTATATTCCTACTAGCTGTTTTCCTGCGACTTCGCACGCGTAAATTATAGCCTATGTCAACCCCGTATGTGGTAGCTACCCATAGGTAAAATAATAAAAATAAAATTTTTCTCTTTATAATATTAGTAAAGATTTTTTTATTTATTTTCTGATGTCAAAATGTTCTTACCTGTCGTCTTACCTCTGTTCCGTCCAATACTCTAACTTCTTGTAACGTTGGCTCATAAGATTTTAAATCGAAGTCTCTAAAAATAATTGTACATCGTGGGAAGACATAATATTAGTAAAAAACAATCATCTCAGACATTCGAGCATTAACGCTAACGGGGCTGTCTTCGAAAACGAAGTTTAGTTTGCTAACTTAACCCCTGATGAAAAATGAAAGCGCTAAAAAAAGTAAAATTAAAAATGATGTAAAAAAGTAATTTAACTTATTTAGTTTTTTTAGCGCTTGCATGTAAGCTCGCGGTCAATAAGAGGTAATAAGGGGTAAGCGTTGATGGAAATATGCTCACCATCATCAGCTTATTAATAAATCTACTGTTGGAGCACAGGCAGACAGGAGAAGCAATGCTTAAACGTTCCTTCTGAAGCAAGGAAGAGTTCTACATAACAATAGTAGTAGTAAATTGATTTACCAAACTGCGTGGGCGCAGGTATGACTGCTATATTAGTCTTACTAAGCAAAGGCTTTATATTATACCTGCAATATGTGAATGGTAGCCGAGCATCGGACACCGAGTGCAAAACATACACCGCCGACATTGAGGCCATAGTGCAACAAGTTATAGCTCTGATTATGGCGTTTATACAAATAGCAATGCCGATACCTAAAATATAACTCATAAATTAAACAACACAAACGTATCCACCTGCGTGGCACTACCCCAAGATGTATACAAAAAGATTTTTATATATTTGTTCGTTTCAGAGTGCCGTGACGTTATAGCGACGCCATGACCCGAAGTAAAGTTTTCGCAGGAAATTTTGAAAATTAAATTTATTTTTAGATTTTAACTTATTAAATGAATGATATTTATTAAAATATTTTTTTTTGATATTTTTCATGTACATCTATAAAATAAATATATAAAAAAATGTTTAAAGACTTACCGTCAAACATAGGTATCATACGAAAGGCGCGGCCAGGGCCGCTGATACTCCACTGCCCAAGATAAACCTCAAAGTGTCGTAGTGGATTTGCCAGTATTGCTACTGCTACTACCAAAAACATTATGAACACAACTGCAAAAGAAATACAGACTTAAGGAGCTTTTACAGATGTTCGACTTTTTGCTAGGAAATATAGCTGTTCTTTATTTTTTTTAAATCATGTCTGGCCTAACTATGCCTTCCAAAAACGTATCTAATGAAAAATTGGTATCACCAAAATTATTGTCTTATAATGTGTACTAATATTAGAGGGAGGAAATTTTTATGATTATTTGTTACATAATTTACGCGGGCGTAGAAATAATAGCTAGTAATTTATAAAAACGGGCCATCAATAAATTATAAATAAATAATTTATTTATTGACAATATTAAGAAATAATATTACTGAGAATTTCCACATAATAATATTCCAACACGTCGCTTTATCGTTTAATATTATTATTTGGTATATATAATAATATTATACGTTTAATATTATTATACCTAAAGTGTAAAGGACATGGGCCATATTCTACTAGCGATGCTGAACTTTAAATAAAAATTACTCAGCGCCTTTAAAATTGAAATAATAACTAACAAAAGCCTCCAGTGACAGCGGAGGCGGTGACCCTGCAATGCATGGTGAGTAGTGCGCCCAACGCGAGCGTGCCCATGCGCAGGCGACGACGGCAGCGTATACGTCTCGCGCCCCCATCCCCACCCATTGCTGCGTCCATGCCTGGCACGTGAGTTGTCGAAAATACCGTCGACCAATCGCTCTGTAGTGAAAACTAATTATTCATAGCACAATTAAAAGCAAAGCTTCTATTATCTACAATATTAGAGGCCACATCTTATAATCATACCAGATAGTGGACATATGCCAAAACAAATCTAGATTTAGAAAAATAGATTTATTTTAGTTTTATAAGAAATATAAACATGTATGCCGTTATAATTCCGCCCAGTATTCCAATTTCAGGTGTGAAATGAAAAACAATAGTTTAAATGACAATCGGCGACGTACGTTACTTCAAATTTTTAATAGTGAAATATAATACTTATCTTAAAAGCGGTTAAATTTTTAAGAAACATTGTAGTCGGGCTGAGGTTTTCTGTAGTTAATTAAATATTAACTGCCCGCCAATTTACTTTTTTATCAAATAACGTATATCACGGAAATTTTGACGACCTCCGTAGCCGAGTGGTTCACACGCCGGTTTCAAGGTGTTGCCAAATCTAAGGTCCCGGGTTCAGTTCCCGGGCGAAAATGGTCTTTTCTTTATTATCTCGGGTCTGAGTGTTGTGGCAAATTCGTTGTCTCAGGTAATCCATATGTGATATAACAGTCCCATCATTCTCTTGGTGACGCAAATCAAAAACTTTGCCTAATATTTAAGGAAGGTTATAACGACGTTGGAAAGCAAACCTGCAAAACCAAAACGGATATTTAGATACAATCTTTATAAATTCCGTATAAATTGACTTACTAACACATTATTTATTACCATGGACGTTTATAAGAATTAATCGAAAAAATAAAGTTTGTCTCCTCTAAAGAACAATTTTAGTTTCGCAGGTTACGTCTTTGCTTTAAAGCGTCGATATGATGTACTGGGAGTTATGTTTAGCAATACGTGTAAATATTCACTTTAATTCATATAAAATATTAATAAAAACTATGATTTTTATAATTTAAAAGCATCTTATAACCATATTATTAAAGCTTATGTTTTGTTTATAAAACGCTGTACATACAATACTTCTGTTTTCAAAGGTAAGAATAGTTTCTGTAGAATTTCTTTGACCTTGACTTGCAGCCATTCTGTTATTTTTTTTTGCTACAATTTATCAGTTTCAAATCCAAATAAAATATTTTACTTGATTATTTAGACCTTAGATTAAGACACTGACAATTTGCTGACAATAAAGAGTATATTAGCCTTACAGCACCCTAACTCATAACTAAAATAATGCTTGTTCCTAGGGCTGCCAATGTTATTAAAGACAAAGCAAAGTATAAAACTATAAAAAGAAATTGTATAATCATAGAGAAAATTTAATCATAGATTCCATGAAAACATAGTAGACGGAGAGTTCATGAAAAAATGTGCAAGAGCTTTCTAAAGCTCGATAATTCGGTATATCGAAGTACTGCAAGTGTATATCACTCGGTAGGTTACGAAAGTTCAGAGTATTTTTTTTAAACCATTCATCATAACCAAAGGCAAAATAATAAGGTTTATTTTGTCACCAAGATTTTATTGAATGATAATGTTGCTTACATAAATCTCGACAACTAAATAACTTAAAGAATAACTTAGTATATATGATTAACCAGGTATGTCTTATTTAAATAAAAATGAGAATAAAACTTTAAACTCAGCTCAGCTCATTTATAAAAATAACATCGATTCACTTATAAATAAAATAATTTTTTCATTGCTTTTATATATAGAGGTTACGTGGTGTTGCCTCAGATCATAAAAAGTTTAATTGTTAATAATATTATGACTGCAATACAATAGAGAGTATCAAATGACTTGTGATTCTACACTATTAAAGGAAACCAATGAAAGTCACTGTTAAAAAAATACTTATTTTATGATTCGTTAATTGCATAATGCTTAAGCAGTTATAATGGTCTCCAATGAAATGAATAATACAATTGAACAAGACACTACAAGTGCCCGCCTAGGGCCACTAACATTGCTCTCTTAGAAACACTGACAGTGTCCCCTAGCGACAACAACTTTGGCCTTCTAAGGTCCCTTCGCGTATTCACTTTTTGCAATCCGAGGGTGATATAACAGCGATCGATATTAAAGCGGGGATAAAAGCTATGGTGGAGGTGGCGCCGCCTGTGGAGGTGCGTCTTGCGGAAGAGTAAAGTTAGCGAGTAAATCACGAACCGCCGGCCATAACGTACATTCGTGCGACTGGTTGAACTCGTTGAACCTGCCCAAATAAATTTAATTGAAAATGAAGAGATATGTATTTTTAGATTTTAACACAGGAACACAAATATTTATAATATAAGACATCTACTGCCCATAAATTACATTTCATCCATAAACCATAGATGTCTGTTTTATTGAGTATGTAGAGACAGGCGCGTGGATAATTGTGTCTTGCTACTTTAATCATTCTGATTGGCTGACATTTGCGACACTTCATAATTGAGCCTTCTACAGATGTGCACATATTGGTTGTATCTGACTGTACATATCGCACACCTAGATCTAAACTGAGACAACTCAAAAATTTAATTGAGTTTTTACTTAGTACAATATTCAAATTCTCTGTGATCATACGCATCTATCCAACATAACAGATTCAATAAAGGTTTGGGGATGGGGATGAGCAGTCTTTTGTTAAATCAACAGTGGTCGCGCTCCTGTCACGTAAACAAATGTATTGTCAAACCTCCACATTCGTTTTTTGAGTTGTCTTAGTTTAGATCTAGGTGTGCGATATGAGAGATAGATGTCAGGTCATTTATGAAAATGCAGACAAGTTTATGGTAATAAAAATCAATATTTTAAAAAATTACACTTACGATATATTTTCTATAAAAATATATATTAAACTTACCGTTTTAGGTGTAAGCTGACCGCAATGAGGTGCGGTTGCGAGTCGCGTTTATCGGCGAGTTGTGTCACATTCGAGTGCATATCGTATACCAGCGGTAATACTAGTTGTGTGTCACCTCGGGTCAAGCAAATCTGAAAATGATCGGTGTCTATTAATTAACAACCATATATGCTCTTAACAATTCAGTTCTACCTTGTCACCGGTAAAATTTTTGACTGAAAAACTGATGTCAACTAAATATTATATGATTTTAATAAAATTTTTCGATGTTACTGTATGTTTTTATAAGATTCAAAATATATTGTATAAATTTAGCCTTACATTAATTACAAAACAGTTGATTTTAGTTAAGCAGCATTCTGACAGAAAAATTAGTATGGCTACATTTATATATGGTCTATTTGAATATGAATACGTAGGCGATGCTGTATTGTTAGAATTTTTCAATAAAAACGTTGCGAAGTTGTCCACTTCAGTTTAACTACCAATAGATACTAACGACGAGTAAAAAAAAATATTAAAACAACAGTATCTTTTGTTTTAGCTAGATAAAAAGGCATAAGATTAAAACAACAGTTTTTTTTGGCTTGGTGTACGTAGAGCCCATTGTAAATGCCACATGGGCGGGACCACTAGCGGGGCGTGGTCAGTGACGGGTACACACTAATAATAACAAATACTCACAAAGAACAGTATCTTCTGTTTGGCTAGTAAGACGGCCGGTTGTCCCGCGGGCACTATCTGCGGGGCGGCGGGCGGTATGCGCAGGGCCCAGTGTAGATGCCAGGCGGGCGGGGCCACTAGCGGGGCGAGGTCGGCCCGCATGAGAGCCACCAGCGAGGGCAGCGCGGCCCCCGGCGCCCCCCACACCCGAGCCCATCCCTGTAATGCGGTCGCGCGGTACGGGGCAACCGCCACCCGCTGTTCGAAGAATTTCTCCATCACCTGATCCAAACACATAACATGATCAAGTCTCTGAGTTTTGAACTCATTAGGTGGGAGGGATATTTTAATTATATTTTATCAATTTCGCATTCACAATGCTATATTGAAATATATTCTTGATGAAAAATGCTTAAAAATACATCAGCCCCAGGTATTGACGCGACGAGAGGGGTTGCGCACTCGGATGACTGGCCTGACTCGCCCCGCCCGCTTCTAAAAGCTGTGGAGGGGCGTGCTCAGGCTGGACATGACCCACGGGGCGGGGCAAGGTGATAAGGGTTTACGTGTTACCCGGGCATTGCACGCCGCTACCCTATCTAGGGGGTATGTCTCAGTCTCTCTCTCTGAGACGTAAATTAAATTCATTCAAAATAGATAGGCGGATTGTGAAAGTAAAATTCATCAAATATAATAAATAAATACCAAAATCATCAAACAATACAGTAATATCATAGAATTGGATAGAATAGTCGAGCTAGTAAGATTGAAATATTATAAATATGGAGAATAACAAAGAGGCAAAAAATTAACTAACTTCTCATTGGACATGCAGACTTAACATTTTTGCCAACGGTTACTAAATTTTAGTAACGTGTAGGTATTGGTAAGGCAACGTTGGTATCTATGATACAAATTAACTTTATCATATGCAAGACATCTAATGTCTACAAATAGAGTTCATAAAGGTGCCACAGCAACACTTTCATGAACAGATATCTAACGGCTATAGAGTTTGTAAAGGTGCCGCGACAATATTGAACCCTAAGTACCGCGAAGCATACCTGGATATCGTCATTGGTCCATGTATCCTTAGCTTCAGGTAGTGGAGTCAGTTGTAAATGTAACGATTGCAAATGCTGCGGATGTAAAAAGACGCGCGCCGCAAGTCCGGCCGCTTCACAACGGAACGTGAGACTGGTTGCTTCCACTGACACCATGTTTAGCTAGAGAGAAAAAAACTAGTTATGCAAACCTTAACAACAAATCATTAATAATATATCTAAAAGAATTTTCACTAACATTTCCATCTATTAATCGGCATAGACCTTTTGGTAAAGTTCTAGCCGAAAATCAGCCTTATCACATAGAGATTTACAAACATTAGATTCGCCGTTCATTAACCACGTGATGTTTTTCCAGCATTTTTAACTCCTCCTCCCTCTTGGTGATACATGGTGAGGATCAACCTTCACCTAAATCACGTGTATACAAAAAATAATAATTTTTGACGCCCCTTTTCGGTTTACAATCACGTCAAAAAATACACGTGATACATTACTACAGTCCCCTTCCCCCTTTCAAGCTTCACGTGATTACAGGACGGCCCCCTAGCTGTAGCTGCCTTTGTGGTTACGTTTATTAATTAGAAAGAGAAAACAAGAAGGCGTATAAATATTATAAATGGTAAGACGTGATAAGTATTTTTTAAATTGTAAAAAGAAAAGTTTAAAAAGGAATTAGTAATCATTATCTAATATCCTTTAGACTTTACTGCATTGATACAAAAGACAGCTTTAGTGAAAGTAAGATATATATTGAAAAATATAAAATATGAGCTGTTTTTCCGAGACTTCGCCTGCGTAAATTATAACCTATGTCACCTACGTATTGACCTTCCCGTAGGTGAAAGAATATATAAGCCTATTTGATGCAAACAAACAGCAATCAAATCATTTCTCTTTATGATTATTGAAAAAAAAATACACGAAAATATCCAAAATCTCGAAAGTTACTAAGGATAAGGAATAAAACATAACTTAGCTTTATCTCTTTCATAGACAACCTAGAAATTCCAAAGATACTTATTTCTTCTTAAAATAGAAAAACAAGTAACACTCACAAATTCCTCTTGTTGCACGAACCGTTGTAATGTACGTTTCATGTAGACGCAGGCTAAGAATCGTTGCAAGGGCGCTAACGGTGGCCCGGGAGGGGCATTAGGCGGCGGCTCGCATGGAGTACATAACGCTTCCAATTTAATTACGGGCAGGGGTGTGGCCGTAGCACCCGCCCATGCCCGCCCGCCTACTAGTACACGCCCACTAGATGCCGTAGAACCCGACGCTTGTGGCCCTGCATTTACGTTACGGTCTTTAGTTATGAAAATAACGCGATTTGGAGATTTTCTCTATGTATACATAAAAAATTAACGAAGAGCTCACAATATCTAGATCCGACAAATACATGAAGAAAAGCTTATTTACTATGTTGACTCGACTGGGAATTGGACCAGGAACTTGAAAGATGGCAACACCTAGAAAAATGCGTGCATCTAACCGCTCGACTACGGAATATGTCGTGAACATTGAGAAGGATTGATCATGTGTGTTGTACCAAATTGTATTTAAATATGTATAACTATTTATTAACTGAACACTGAAAAAAAATCATTTTTACCGATTTAGTACGGAAATGAAAATATAGGTTGCAATCCAGAACAATATAACGGCATAAAACACGTCCGCATAACTATATATACTAATGACAGCTGAAAACTACGCATAAAAACATATAGAAACGTCTCACCCTTGTGGTCGAGATGGTGTCGAGGCGAGGGGTGGTGCCCGGGCGAGGGGCGGGGCAGCGACGGTGAGCCGGGCCACGCGGTGAAGGGAGAGGTGGGCGGAGGGTGGGGGGAGGCGGCGGGCGCGCCCAGCGGGGACGGCGCCATGGGGGACGCGGGCGACGCGGACACACCGCCCCCGCCCCCGCCACCCGCGCCGCCCGCCCCCACCGCGCCGCCCGGCGGTGACGTCAAGTTGAACGAACCGCTTATCTAATGATTAACGTTAAGAGATTTATTTAAAACTAGCTTTCCGCCAGCGATTATCCCCAGGAAACTGTTTATTTGGATATCGATTCATATCATAACACGAATGACAAATTGAATATTAAACGATGGTTGCTATGGTAACGTTTTAATTCCTTATACAAGCTTCCACTCCCATTTTCGTCCCTTTATTTGTTGTTTTTCGGGATAAAATATATTGTTTACCGCATATGATGTAATTTCGCGTAGATAAGAGAATTTTTAAAATTGCTCCAGTAGTTTCCGAACCATGCAAACAAACATAAAAACAAACAAACTTTTTCTTTTTTCGATTAATTGATTTCGATCGCGTACATTTACCTAAGATACAATAACTCACCTGGTGTTGTGCGGGTGAAGCCGGATGAGGTGTCACTGGAGCAGAGTGAGGAGTGTGAGGTTGAGGCGGGGTCATCGGAGCAGGGAAACGGAGCCCACCTATATAAAGATATCAATTATTTAATTTTAATAAATCTCATATGGATTTTGAACCTCAATGTATTGGAAATTGGGCGTAGAATTGGAAATTGACAAATTTCACCAATTTGACATTTTTAGATATCTTTTTTTTTTTATTTTATTAATAATAATTTATTTTGCTAGAAACATGGTTACATAGATGTTAGGATAGGGTACACTGGTCAGCATATTTCGCTAAATATTCAGCATGCAAAATATAAAAATGTCAAAGTTAATCAATGTCACTACAATTACCGAACACAACAAATAATGTAAAAATTTGCAATTGTAAATTATGTCATAATCAAGCAGAATCAATATTAAGTCATTATTACTGTCAATACTAAGTCATTATTAATGTTTAGTTACATTAATTATTATTATTTATTCATAAATTCCTTAATTGAATAAAAACATCTATCACAGAGCCATTCGGTAAGTTGCCTTTTAAAATAATTAAATGGAAGTTCTCTTATGTTCCTTGGAATTCTATTATATATTTTTACTAACATAAAAGAACTATTTCTGTGGTAAATGTCACTTACACATCTGGGTAGTAATAATTTGGTTGGGTCTCTAGATGGATACTCATTAAAACTGGTAGCTTTTTGGAATAAATTAGCATATTTTCTCACAAAAATACCTACCTCCAAAATATAAAAACCTGTGACTGTCAGTAACTTAAGCTTTTTAAATAAAGGTTTACATGAATCCAAAGGCCCAGCACCACATATTGCTCTAATACACTTTTTTTGTGTTATAAAAACTTTATTTATATCAGTTGAATTCCCCCACGCTATTAACCCATACCTCAGTGCAGATGCCACATAACCATGGTAAGCGGTAAGGGCAGTTTTTTCATTAGATACTTTTCTCAATTTTTTTAATGCAAAAACAAAACAGTTGATTCGGGTACAAACTGCTTTTATATGGGCTTTCTAATTACATTGGGAGTCGAGTATCAAACCCAAGAATTTAGCCTCAGTCACCTCCACAATACTTTCACCATTACAGCGTATATCTAATGGTTTTCGTTTGTTTTTATAATTTGAAAACTGTACTAATTTTGTTTTTAATATATTTACTTTCAAACAATTTTGATCGAGCCATTGAGTCACGGATTTTATTGTTTCATCTAAAATAGCTTGATATTTTGCATTTTTGTCTGCGTCTGGGATCACGACCGAAATGTCATCAGCAAAGAGGATACAAGGTTGTTTCGTTACTTTTGGGATATCATTTATATATATAAGGAACAAAAGGGGTCCCAGTATACTTCCTTGCGGCACGCCAGCTTTATTTGTTTGATATGTCGACCTACAGGAATTCTGTATATATTTTTCATCAATTCTCATGATCTCAACACATTGTTTGCGATTTGTCAAGTAACTAGAGATCCAATTTAGTGTATTTCCGCTTATACCATAGCGTTCACATTTATTTATCAACACTTGATGGTTAACCAGATCAAATGCCTTACTCATATCAAAAAATATTGCCGAGACACGCTCTTTATTATTTATAGAATTCAGAATATTGTTCAGTAGTTTGTAAACAGCAAGTATGGTTGATTTCTGTTTTTGAAAGCCATTCTGCTCCTCTACTATAACATTAAATTTGCCAAAAAAATTCACCAAACGAGAATGCAATAATTTCTCAAATACTTTTAAAAATATCGGAACAAGAGTGATGGGTCTATAACTAGATAGATCTTGTTTGCTGCCTTTTTTATGAAGTGGTTTTACTATGGAAATTTTGAGTTTTTCTGGGAAAACTCCTTGTTCAAAAGATAAATTAATTAAATGGGATAGAACATTAGCAAGTTCATTTGCACACTCTTTTATCACATATGTATAAACGCCGTCATAGCCAACTGCATTCGTATTATTAAGTGTTTTGATTGTTTTGAAAACTTCATCAGGCGATGTTGGCGTTAAGAATAAGCTTGCATCTACAGGTTTTATCAAAGCATAATTAGGATTCATTAGTGTTTCAGTTTTCGAAGACGAGATAAAAAAAGAATTAAATGCATTTGCCACCTCAACAGCCCCAGTTAAAACAGAGTCATCGAAACAGATAGATTGTATGTATTGATAACTTGGTGATGTGTCTCTTTTATCTCCTATTATATCCCAAGTGGCCTTACCTTTATTTTTTGCTTTGAATATAAATTTATTATTTATGTTTTTCTTTGACTGAATCACACATTTCCTTAATATCTTGTCATAATTTCTATATTTTAACTTGTTTTCAATAGAATTAATTTTGTAGCAATTGAACCTGTATTTTCTTTTGGTAAATGTAGATGTTTTAATACCCTTTGTAATCCATCTAGGCGCCCTTGTATAATAATTAACTCTAATTTTATTAATTGGGAAGCAAAGATCATAAAATAATAAAAAATGTTCATAAAATATGTCAAAAGCCATTTCACTATTCGATTCATTAAATATATTAACCCAGGATAGGGCAGTCAAACAATCTTTAAATTTACTGATATTGTCTTTGTTAAAATCTCTTCTCATCGCATAGCAATAGTTGTGCTTTTGTTCAATGTTTTTTACTGGAAAAGTCAAGCTTTGAGCCGTCTCATGATCAGATAAATAGATATGGTGTGTTAGGCCTTTCGCGTTTTTTATATTACTTACAATGTGATCCAAACATGAGTTCCGCCTTGTTGGTTCATTAATATGAGAATATAAATTATGATTTAATAGAATTGCATTATAATTTTCACATGTCAAATTATTTTTTAAAATGTCAATATTGATATCACCTGTCACTATAATTCTTCTTTTTTTTGTTATCAATTTGTGTAAAATTAATTCTAACTTATTAAAAAAAATTAAAACATTTGACTTTGGGATCCTATAAATACATATAATGAAACATTGCAACTTCGGTATATCAACACCACAACATTCGAATGAAGTTTCGATTGATATTTTATTACAAAGCTCGATAGGATAAAAATCTATACCTTTTTTAACTAATATACACACACCGCCTCGTTTTTCGTTCAACCTTGAGAAGCTGCTCGCTAATGTATAGTTATTTAAGTAAATATTCGGTTCATCTCCCGACTTAACAAATGTTTCGGAAAAACAGATAACATTTGGTAACATATTTTTTCTACATAACTCATTGACACAAATCTCGACTTGGTCCAATTTATTTAATAATCCAGCAATATTTTGGTGAAGCAATATGGCGGTTTCGGACGCTAGTACAAAAGGTTTATTTGTATTGTTATTGTCGAAAAAAAATACCAGAGCTATCCGTAGTTATAACCGAATCAGATCTGTGAATTTTTTTAAAATAAAAGGGTATAGTTCCCTTCTTAGGGGGAAGTTTATGTTTATAAATATTATTAAAAATACCAGACTTTACAGTGTGTGTGTGTGTGTGTGTCTGTTAAACGTACCTGGAGGCATCGGTGACATCGGTGAAGGCGGATTGTCATCTTCGGCTAACAATCTCGAACTAATAGTCTCTTCTGCATATCTTGACAAAAATGCCTGAGGACAAAAATGAAAAATTTTTTGCTCATAAATTTTCTCAACAGGACAACTATTCGTGACTATGTGGTTTCATTCTGTAGAGCAATCGCTCACTCTTATTTACTAAAACAGCACTTTGTAAATATTAAAATATCCTTTATTGTCAATATTTGTTGGTTAAAAAACCTATAGTAGACTATTTTTGCAATCAAATTATACAATAACATTTTAACCATTAATCATAGACCTATATCTCATTACAAATAAGTGGCAGTGATTAACCATTTTTAAAGGCCTCAATATTAAATATTACTCACTTTGAGACCTTGAGCAGGAGAAAATTCATCAACAACGGAGCTGCGATCAAATTTGGAGTAGGAACCATCGCGGATGGTCACCACACCTCCACCACGGATGCAGACTTCCAGAGAATAAGCTCCGGCGTATATAACGCGAATCTGTGGAATAAATGTATTAATTCAATTAGAGCCCGAAGGAGACAAAAATTAATTTTCTTAATGATTAGTATTATTAATGAAAATGCTTAAAAACTCCACTTCGCCCCTGGCACTCTGAGATCCGGTCTGAGAGTGCATTCATCATCAATACATAGTATTAAAAAAATAGTCGCTTTCTCTGTGCCTATATCCTTATGTATGCTTAAATCTTTAAAACTACACAACGGATTTTGATTGTTTTTTTTTTCATAGATAGGGTGATTCAAAAGAAAGGTTTTTATGTATAATACAAGACCACGCGGCCGGAGCTATGACGAATATTCTAAATATCGTTAACTTAATCGTGCTTGTGTCGTGCGAGATTTACAATGAGGTATGCATTTTATAAAAAAACATAAAATAAAATATTTATTAAGTGATAGTCTGTAACAAAAATTCAGTTTCGTCATAGTCAAGCGTTCCGAGCCAGTTTTTTATAATACTTTACAGTCATGTTTATTCATCGGATACCATTTATCCGTAAGTTTATTATTTACTTTATTATAAAGGCTCTACGTTGAAATTGAGATTTAGCAAAAGCTGTTTTGGTTTTAGGAATTTGAGCAACATTTCCTTGTCTTCTTTTTGTCTTAATATTCGGATTATATTCTAGAGACATGTGCATGTGATAACGTTATATCTTATCGCTGACGGTAGGAATTTCAATATAAAACGAGCCCATATACAAATCTTAATTTTCTTGACTTCATTATATAAGGTTAGAGTGTAATCGTGTTTGTACTAACCTTTCTCCAAGAGTGGGCAAGCAGTGTGAAGGTGGGCGTGGGCATCTGTGTGCGTACGTGATGCAGCCCCAGCTGAGGCAACGTGGGCAAACGGCTCAACGCTAGTAGAGGACCGTAAGTCTCACGTAACACCACACCCAGAGACATCAGATCTTTATGCCTATGATAAACCACGGATTATAACACCACTCACTAACACATCATAAATTAACAAGCTTATTTTTAAATTTCTAAGCTTATTTTTAAACAAACCCTGACCAAAAAAATCATTCTAAAATGTATTTTTATTTATTTATTTAAGGTTTACCAACGTTCATGTTCAAAATTACATACATTCTAGTTATATTATATTTTATGTTAAATAACTTATTGTCACAAACACTTATAGGTAAACACAACATGCACTAGAACATAGAGTAAGTAAGGAACTACCCTTTTACACTAGAATATGAGAAAAGGAGTTACAAATTCATTTCTACCAATTAATTATTTAAAAAAGGAAAACATGGTCAGACCATTTCACTTATGTTAAATATAAATTCCACAGTTCCATAAAAGTCCTACGGATCTTTGAAGGTTGACAGGACTATTTACACTGACCAGTTGAGATGGTGGTCCAGGTGGTGACGCAGCAGGTGGTGACGCAGCAGATGGTGCCGAGCTAATGGTCGAATCGGTAATAAGCCACTGACCAGTTGAGATAGTGGTCCAGGTGATGATGCAGCAAATGGTGCCGAGCTAACGGTCGAGGCGGTAATAAGACACTGACCAGTTGAGATAGTGGTCCAGGTAATGATGCAGCAGATGGTGCCGAGCTAACGGACGAGGCGGTAATAGCCACTGACCAGTTGACATAGTGGCCCAGGTGGTGATGCAGCAGATGGTGCCAAGCTAACGGTCGAATCGGTAATAAGACACTGACCAGTTGAGATAGTGGTCCAGGTGGTGATGCAGCAGATGGTACCGAGCTAACGGTCGAATCGGTAATAAGACACTGACCAGTTGAGATAGTGGTCCAGGTGGTGATGCAGCAGATGGTGCGCGTTGGCAGCGGGTTGGTGGGCGGGCGTGACGACCGTGTACCGCTGCCCGCCGGCGCTCCACTGCAGGACCGCGGTGGCGCGCTGCGACGGACCGAAGCCGAGTACCAGCGATCGGTATGTATACGACCTGATGCAAACGCCCTGCCATAGCGTCTCGCGCTCTGTCCACAACGATAAGAACTTCTATACTAATATATATATTTTTAATAAGGAATGAACTGGCAAGTCAAGCTTCCGAGTACTACTCCTGAACATGATATAGGTACCTAGAAAGTAGCCGCAATCATGTTCGTATATATTTAGATTGCAACTGTCATGCCTATTTAGATATTAGCCGGGTCCCGCGTATTGGGTAATTACATATTAGACAATATCATATTCCATGCTCAGATTCTAAGATAAATAGCTAAAGCCCCTGTATTACGGAATATCTGAAACAACGAAGGTACCAGAACATCCAGAGACCAGAGACATAGAAAAGTCCATTATCTACACTGACCTGACCGAGAATCGAACCCGGGTTTTCGAGACCTTTTTATGAGATACAAATAAAACAATAAAGCACAATGCATGTTCATTTATAATAATGTTTTTTTATTATCCTCCTTTGCGCAGTCGGATAAAAAGTCTTGAGTGTCATGGTGACCTTGATAATTATTTTCACTACAATGCCTATTTTATTTAGGGTATGATATCTGAGCGAAAGTCTTTTGGGCGCATAGTATGTGTTGGTATGCACGATGTGCTGAAGGATCGACGGTCGAATATTATACTTGAAGAATGTTTGTTTGACGTGTCACGACCGTTTCAATCATTGTCGACAGAAAATTGCGTTTACTCTAAGGGTCAGTGCATTCAATTCAATCTGAATGGAAAGCACAGAAAGAGGCGATTTCAAGAATTATTTGCAGGATTCCATTGTACCTTCCCAGTATGAGCAGAACCCTCAAAATTTTATTGTTTTCCTTTGCGAGATGTAAACAAGATTCGTTTCAACCGCTTCACTCAGATTGTTCTGCTATAAATCTCATTCTATATTTCCATTAATCTTTAGAATGCAACATCAAACACGTATTAGATCATACGTCGCCCGATAATGTAATCGAAGAATAGACAATTAAGCTAATATAAATACTTCGCCAAGAAAAAATTCCAACACAAGTATTATTACCTTGTAGCGGTCGTAGCATGAAGTCGTATAATAGGGTATGCAAGTGCACTATAGCGGCCCAATCAGCGAGGAACGCCTCAGCGGTCCGGCCCGCGTCCGTACCCAACTCATACTGCAAGTACACGCAGCGTCTCTCACCTGTACAATAACATCATTACTTTATCTTTTCATCTATACTGTTTTAAAAAATCACATTTTGCATGTTTCTATTCATAAACTTCGATAAGAAACTGACGAACGTATACGAAATATTATATAAAAAAGGCCACCAGAAGAATACGACCGCAAAGTCGTCAGTAAATATTGTTTGACTAAATACGCCAATTTTAATGTTTAATAGAATACAGTATATTCTACTCTGTTTGAAACAGTACTTGTAAGTGTATATTTAAATAAAAAAACATAAAACAAATATTTCGGAAACTAAACACGTTTTCTTGCCTTAAAAATAATATTTTATCTCTTAATATTAAAACCCGCGAAAAGGCTGTCCGTCATATTCATGACGTCATTACGTCATTAACATAAAACAGGGCATATAGAGTACTACACACAAAATAGTGTATTGGATTAAAAGATTTCAATAAAACAAAAACAGGACCATCTAACGATCGACTACAAAATAAATGAAATACCACTCGTTCAAGACGTCTTTTAGCTGACAAGAAGAACAAGCGAAAGAAACTTACCAGCTGTTTATCTTTACATAAATCATGTCATTACAACAATAGTACGTATTATAATAAATATTAAACACAATTTAAAAGACTGTAGGACATAAGTTGGTACATATAATTAGTCGTTATAGAATAAGCGAAGGGTATTAACTCCATGCATTGTGGTCCTTAACATATACATTAACTTTATAATAGCCTTTACTCATAAGTATGTTCTTTAAATGAATTTTAAATTTATTTACGGATAGGTCAATTATATTTTGTAAAACTTTAATGAAGATATCTATGCAATTGCCCAGAAATGATGCTCTGGTTTTATGAAGTCTGGAACTTGGAACGGCAAGTTGATTTTTATTTCTTGTATTAAGATTATGAAGATAACTTTTTTTTTTGTGAAGGAATCGTAATGTTTTCTTGTGTACATAATATTTTCATAGATGAAAGGGTTAGAGGTAAAGGTTTTTATCGGTGACCCATGACGCAAGCAGACGATATCCGCTGTTCAGACCTTGGTTTGGTTCTTAGTCGTATGGTAGCCGCGAAGAATCTGACTTTGGGGAGAACTACTTCAAATTTTGTTTCATCGAACAATCAGCTCACCTTGTTCCTTAGGGTTAGAAGTTCTAATCGGTGACCCGTGGAAGACTATCTCCGCTGTCCATACCCTGGCTTGGTTCTTAGTAGTGAGCCGTATGGTGGCCGCGAGGAGTCTATCTCTGAGGGCGTTGGCCGCCGCAGCCGGGGCTCCGTCGGGCCGCGGCAGTGACACTATACGCATACCCAATGCGGACCCGCTCCATTCGGGCTGTACACCGCCGTGGGTAACGCCCCTACTCGCTAACTGTTACCGAAGGGATAACAATATTATAGCATGAAGCTTAGATTATCTTATAGATTATGCGAACGAAATCCGATTCGAAGCCATAAGAGGTTAGTTTTATATTATAGAACACTTTTTAGCTCTTTTTTTTTCGACAAAGTCACCGTATACACAGGTTTTATTATAAAAACCAAAATCCTAGTATCGATAAAAAAAATGAGATAACCTCAGGCGTTATGCGCTTTCGACTAAAAAACAATCATTGACCATATATAAAAAAACACAGAACCTTGTCCGTTTCCATTTTGAATTTGATATAATCTATAGTATATAGGTAAGTAAATTTATTTATAGGTAAATTGCAAATAAATAATAATATTATGTTACCTCCTGAGCTAGATTGACGAAGGGCACTCGTTCATCGGCGGCGGCGACAACGTGCGCGAGTTCCGGCAAGAAATATGCGGGCTGGCGCACGCGAACAGCGCGAATGTTCGCCGCGGACAGCTTACGCTTACCAGGCTGCATGCCTGTTTGTCCGTCAGGTAGATTTTTGAAAATAAAATAAACACGTTATTATTTTTATTTTTTTGCGTATACATTAAAATGTCACATGAAGTTACTCTTTTCTACTAAACTGTGATGTAGCGAGCCGCCACTCCTCAACTTTAATTATTGTTATCCAATTTATTTCTTGTTAAATTTAAGTAAAAATATATACTCGTCTAATATTTTTATTATCTGACTGACGAATAATCATCGAATCACTTCTATTTGAAAGACCAAGATGTACTCAAGATTCATTTATAATCGTTATATGCATTTTTTTAAAAAAAAGGTTAATCCTTGCGAATTCAATATAACCGGATAAGATTAATTACTTCGATTAGGACGTAGAATACACGTGTTTTAAGATTTTTGTGCGTTTCATTATTTTATTTTATTTCTTGTGATAGTGTCCATAGTAAAACGAATTCTATGAAAATTTTGATTAGTTAAACTAAATAAAATAAGCCTTTAAATAACCAGGCAGATAGGCAGACAGAGGATAAATATGATAGTCAAAGCTTACACCATATCGGAAATAGATTCTTTCTACGTAATCAAGATATCAAGGCCGAACTCTGATAAACTACTAAAATAGGGTATGACATCTATTTTTGAAAAATTATAAAAAGATTATTCAATCTAAGAGTGAAATAAAATACATATAAATTTTATTTTTAAAATTTCGCGTTGATATGACGAAAATGCTGAACTTTCTTTAAACAGACGCATTGACATTTGTTTCTTACATTTTCAGCACTTTCTTAACGTATTAAAAAGTCGAAAAAGCAATAAAAATCCCCCGATCAAAGAGTTTGTTATTGGTAAATTATTATCCTCTCCCTTTACACTAGACCTATTTATCACGCTTGAAACTTTTTTGTGGTTTGTTTACAACATCGAATAACGTCATATAATTGTGATTCGCTTAATTAAAACATAGACTAAAAGTTTGATAAATAAAAAAATATTTTATAACCTTATTGCTTAAGCTATTTCAATTGTATATTTTTAGATATTTACTCGTTACTAGTAAAATAATCTATTATGTAGATAGAACTATTATTCGTTCACTTTAACTATTGTAATAAGTTTGAAGAAGAATGTCGAACTCCCATTGTTCCATTTTAGAGTTCAGCCAGCGACGTATCCTGAAGGATAGGTTTCGGAAAAACCTGAGAAGATTATCCACATTTACAATTATAAGTAGGTTACTTTGAACCTTTCAAAAATATAAACCTTTATTACCACTAAAATAAGTGATGATTTATGAATGACATAAACCGACGGTAGAACAAAATAAGGCGTTAAGTGTCATGACTCGGTTATTGTTCATCTTGTACTTGTTAAATTTAGTACAGCAAAACCATAGAGCGATTCACAATAGTCTTAGCACCATCTCTTGACAAACATCAGAACTAATTTATGAAGTTTCATTTTGAAGTGTTTTGCGTTTTGATTTTGTAATACCATTAAAGACATTTTTTTATCATAGTAATTATTTCAGTTGGGTAATAATTACTATGATAACATAACGTCTTTATATAATAGACCACATTTGACATCTCTCATAACAGTACAATTGCAAAATTGCTTTGTCATTTAAATATATTTATTATTACAATATAAAACTTAATATTTACAATATGAATATAATTTTGTATAACAAGTTACCAGATGACATGAAACTGATAAATATGAATAAATTTAAATTAAAACTGCCAAAGCGGCTTCTAGAACACAGCTTTTATTGCATAAAAGACTTTCTAAATAACATAATAAATAATATTTGCATACCTGCCCACAGACAGACTAATGTATCTTATCTGATTATTTTTTATATGACTTATATTCTGGCCAATAAAAACTTTACCTTATCTAATCATTAATGTACGGTTTAGGAAATTATGGAGTCTGATTTATTTTTTAGAAAATATTGTTGTTTTCTTATTTATTTTAAAACCATACAATAGAAATTGGAAGATTAGACAATTAGAAAGAAATATTTTAAACAAACGCAACTTACCCGGTGTATCTAGCGGCGTGAATGGCCCGTGGGTCAATGTGAAAGTGTCCAGTTCCACTAACGAATGTATCTTGAAGAAAGCGCGAGCCACCCCCGCCGGTGTCGCTGCCGACGAGGACGCGTTCTGAAATAAATAACATTAATTTCAATATGTTGTATATGCGTATGTACATCTACTTCATACGATATATTATTACTTTAAAACTTATGCTTAACTGTAACCAACGCTAATAAGTCTTGTAAGAATATAACGAAAAACATAAATAAAGCAATTTAAATTAATCACATATTATCTCTTTTGAAAAGTTTCATGACGCGATTACGACGGAAATCTGAGATTTGTAAGGCCTTTCTAAAGAGTCGGTTATTGGATGGGTGACCAAAATTTACCATGCTAAGCTATCCGCTTCGGAACGCATGCTAATTTATTACGACTGCACTTTAAACGTTATTAGATTATCGTAGATCAGGTCATGCCTACCGAAACCTACGACGTTATTTATTACTTTAATAACCTTGTTATTAATAACGTACGAGGTTATTACGAGGTAACGTTATAACCTTAATAACCTCGTAGGTTGCCGTAGGCAGACCTGGATCTACGCTTTTTTCTAACCGGCCAGAAACATCGTATAGCGCCAGATTTGTAAAGATTTTTGTTTTTTTAAGTATGAAGGTTTTATATAATGATTTTAGCGCCCGAGGCAACTACGCCTCAGAACAAGCACTGCCACTGTTAGCACTAATACCCCCCCCCCCCCAACTCCCTAAATCCGGGCCTGATTAACAGTCTGGTGATGATTGGTACCTACTTGATTAGTTTAACTTTTCCAATTTCTCTCAATGGTCATCACCTACATATGGCAGAATTCAACTGGTGTTAACAATACTGACCTCGTCTTCGCACTCGTCGGGCGTGCATCGACGCGCCCCTGCCAAGTGGAAGGAAAGTGCGACAGAACAAGCGCTACCGCTGTTAGCACTGTTACTGGTAGTGGCAGTGCTACCGGCGGCCACTTCTTTCATCTCCACTATCTGTTCAAAATCAGAACATTTTCAAATTATAAAAATAAAATTAAAATGTTTTTTGTGATAACAGAATAGTACATAAAATAACAGTATATGGAACGTCCATTTGAACAAACAATTGCTTGCGATAGGACGCTCCGCTCTTACATAACTTAAAAATTGTACTAACATTTCATTTTAGATAAAGTGTTACGTTTTTATATCATTATAAAACAAAAATCAGCCAATAAAAAAATTAAAATCACTTTTAACTTGACATTGATCACGCTACAATTATTTTACACGTGATAGCAATTGCGATCACGACTTTTTTTTAAGATATTTAAGAATGAACGATGTCAACTATTTGACGTTAATGAGAATTGTCTGAGCAAAGTAATAGTTAAAAATATCTTTGAAATCTATTGGGAAATGTCATACGGAAAGAGTATTCTATGACGTTTATATCATTCAAATCATTATTCGTTCTAAAAGCGGTTATGACTTTAAAATTATCACTATCACAACCGCTTTACATTAGAAGAAAGGAAATTGTAATATATTTTAAAATTTTAAATAGACAATTAGGCCACCGATTTACAAACATTTGAGCTCATAATTAAATCGACTTTTTTGCCTTACATTAAAACAAAAAAGAATTAATAAAAGACATGTCCAAAGAAAGAAACAAAGCATGCAATCAGCGCGTCTAGCATGACCAACTCGAGAAAGGCTTTGTATATGTCGCAGGCATTTTGTATGAAACCGCCGTTTACATACGGCGTCGTCAGTTTAGAAATGCTCGCTATTATGTAATATGCCGAAGGAAAAATGTATATTGCCGATTCTTTATATATTGTGCCTAAGCATTAGATTGATAATTTAAACACCATCTACATAATACCACGGCAATATAAATAATTAGTTTTGTTTCTTACCACTCGCGTTGTTGTTGATCATAACAAACAAAATGGCATCAATCCGTGGTTTTGTGACACAAAAAGATATTGAAAATAGGGCAAATACTGCGTGTTCAGGAGACTTTTTGCAAAATACTTGTGACATTTACTTTAGTGAATAAAAAAAAAATTACGATATTCAAGCGAGAGCTATAAAAAGCCGTGGACAAATGAGAAGATTTTTGATGTAATCTGGCACCTCAAAAATGCTAAAGTGTCCATAGAATCTGGCTCTCGGAGGATACCTGCCCTAAATTATTGATCAAATAAATATGAGGTTATAAGTATTAGTGATGATGACTACCTTATCCTAAAAAGGATAGCCCTGATAGTCTAACGGTTCGTGTAATACCATCAGAAGATTATTATGACTTAATATTCGATATTCATAGAGGCTGCGGACGTGGTGGTCAAGATAAAATTCAATATAAAATAAAGGATAGATTTATTATTTAGAGAAAAGCGATCGAGTTATTCGTCTCATTGTATTCTGTCTGTGAATCCAACATACAACATACCAAAGAAAGGCATCGCAGTTAAACCAATTATATCTAGAGATTTTAAAGAGGGAACTAGTGGTGCCCATAAATGTTGTTTTTGTTTTAAACCAGTTCCCACTCTTAGCGGGGAAACAATTGGTAAAGAAGGTTATTTCTCAAATGTTTCGTGTTTTATATGTAAATTTTGCTGCATCAAGGCAGCTGTAGATATTGGAGATATCGTTTTTTTTAACTTCCCAAAAATTGATAGAAGGTCCGATACTCAAAATATATCTGGAAAAGTATTGAATATGAGACACGCCGTTTACCAAATTAGCACAAGTAATGGGATTATCAAAAACTGGTTTAAGTTTGGTGTAAGAAATTCTTCAAATATAAGATAATTCCTTAAGAGAATCTATTTCTAAAGAATCTTATTTTGGAGGAAAAGGTTTTGGCAAATGCTTATGCAAGTCGGCTAAAAGCAGTGTTAAAATAGCGGATGTGCATGTTTTAAAAAAAATATTCTTTGTTGGTCCAAATGTTACAAATAAATAATTCTTGATTTAATTATTAAAACCCGCCTATTTGTATTCTTGATTTTTACAATATTTAATATCCTTTTCTTTGAAAATATTTGTATTTAATTATGTAGGGGTATTGGGAAATATTAAGTGAGAAATCAAATCACTTAATATTTCCCAATTTCAACGAAAGTTGAAATACGGATTTTTACATTGATATTGAACTAACCAAAACATTAAAATTATAACAAGGACAATTCAATTCAATTCAAAATTAATATATACTTTAAATAGTATCATTGGATATCTTTGATTTGTCATATAACTTAAATGAATATGTCAAGACTTCAAGAAATTATGAATGTACCCACCTAATTGTTTATCTTTAAAAAGTTAATTATTATTTAGGCTGATTATTCCAAACTGTGTTTTCTTCATGGTCACCCTAAAACTAGAACCAACATTAAAATTATAACAATTGAACGAGTTGTCATTTTGCCTTCGGCAAATTACTTAACAGCGAGCGTTTCTAAACTGACGACGCCATATGTAAACGGCGGATTCACACAAAATGCCTGCGACATATACACTAAATGTCAATTTTATCGGCGCCCATGCGATATCTCACTCTCGACCAGAGAAAAGTGACATATTACACACAGGGTGTAAACAAAACGTTCTTGAGTTCTATACTAATATTATGAGAGGTTCAGTTTCTTACATTGTTTGGTTTGTTTGTAGCATAATTTTCAGATCGTTAATAAAACATAATAAAAAAGGGAGTATATCATATTTTTTGCAATGTCGAAAAATCGAGCGATGGCTTTCCATAATTTTAAAATATTAAGATCATAAAGTGTATTTGAATGTAGTATACCTATAAAAAGAAAATTTCATAAAATTCGCACTTAACATTTGAATAACATTTATATTAAACAAACGTTTAAGAAAAAATAATATTTTTAAACTTACCAAAATATGGTCAGTGTGCCTATGCAAAGTCACATAAAGTCGATCGGGCGATAATTTGTTGAGTGGGTGATCAGGTCCGTGGAGAAAGGGTAAGTGTTCGCACACGCTCGCTGGCAAGTGCTGAAGAGTTTTCTCGCACCTGCGCGCTACTAACCAAAATCTGCAAAAAAAATATAAATTTCGGGAAATTAACATAGAATGAAGACCAAATGAAAGTCGGCCTGGCACATCATAGGCAATATATTTATGATGGATACTGACCCCATCATCAACCTATTAATGTTCCCACTGCTTAGGTCACAGAAATAAGGAAAAAAATCTAATATATTTTGTATGGGAATTTCTGTATACTCTTTGATATTTTTATTTTCTTTGATAGCCAATAGTGCTTCAAAACTTCAAGTATAAAGCGCGTGTGTATCCTTCTTCCGTGTTGTCAAAAAGTCGAGCAACAATCAAAAGTAGAAAGCTCCAGCCGCGACCACGCTCTTTTACTACACCGACTTTGGTTTTCGCAACAACACAAAGGCAAGCAAATTAATAGGGGTGTAGGCAACTTTTTTTAACATTTTTATTTTATAGATAAACATGAAATATATCTAAAGTATATATAAAAAAGTATCATTCATATAATTAATAAAATATAAAAATAAATTTAACTTCCAAAATTTCCCGCTAAAACGCCAACTTCTGTCATGACGTCACCCTGACCCTCTGAAACTAATCCTACTAATATATAAGACGAAAGTTTGTAGTTAGGATGTTTGTTACTTTTTCACGCAAAAACTAATGAACGGATTTAGATGAAATTTGGTATACAAGCAATTCTTACTATATAATGAGCATAAAAGTGTGATTAACGGTAATAACACTACCAGAAAAAATATATGCATTTATTTTCGTTTACTGTCTACATCCGTATTGTCCGTTTAGTACCGACGCTTACTCACCTGAGTTGCGTGAGTAAGGTACGTATGAGTGGTAGATCAGCGGCTGCCAATGCTCGTGCTAGATCGGGCATCCGCGGCGATGAAGGGTAAGCGGGCACGCGCGCGCGCAACCGCCCGCCGTGCGCGCCCACGCACACTAGAAGCTGTTCCGCGCGCAAACACGGCGCCACTACCGAACACGCCAGCACGCACGGCCATCCGCCCACTGAACATTCCACCTACAGGAAACGACGTACCTATTTATCTAAACTAATAAACCAATAGTAGCTCGGTGGCGTAGAGGATAAGTGCCGTAGCCCGCGATCGTTGTTGTTAAGCAACTTTCGCAAGGGTCCCTGGACGGGTGACCAAAAAATTTGTATCTCTAGCTGCTTCGAAAGCTTCGGAAGACACGTTAAGCTGTTGGTCCAGACTGTATTTGCAGGGGTTAATAATCTCTAATCATGGCTCATGCCATGACCCATCTTTAACTATCCGTAAGGTAGGCTAAGCCCCCATAGTGGGGACGTATAAGGACTGATGACGTGTTGAATAAACTAATATTTATAACTCATATGAAATGAACAGGGCCTGTTTATTTCGCCTAAAACGAATATTTTGTTAAAATCATCTCTGCAAAGATTATGTTTACATCAGAAGCAGTGTCAGGTACTACCTCCGTTGTAACATAAATTATCGCAAAATGCGATGCTTTGGAGTCGTATCAGCATTTCGAAAACAGACGAAAATTTTTTTTTTGGGAAAAAAATTCCATTCTGCGCGACTGTACTATGCATTCAACTAAGCATGAGGTTATTGCCATAACGTTTACCAGGAAAGATTAATTCTTTCATTAAAAACTTTTTGCCTCAACAAAAAATTGTATTAAACCATGGAAGCTACGGCAAACTTAAGCGCGTGTGAATGTACTACAACTCCAAGCTTGCCAGAAACTTGACGATATACACGGTAAAAATCGCTATTATAATTTTACAGTTAAGCAACTGTTATACAACAATCACTCACCCCGAGATCGTTAAGCAGCACTTTCAGATCGTTCAGTCTCTGACGGGAGCGTACATGCACCGTGTGAGCTAATAGCCGTTCCATAGAAGGAGCGTGAGGCGTCAACGCGGCCGACACTCTCTCCCCTCCCGTCAACGCTGGCACGTGCCATACACACAACTGTTCACCCTCCGCGCCGATTATAAGCCGATAACCGAGCTCGCAACCCAACTCTCTGAAATAATTAACATGTGCATTGTTTCAATCTTATTTTTGTATTATTATAAAGTTATTTAGCGTCTTTATCGAACTTTCCGGTGTCTCTAGTTAAATTTTTTAAACACAATAAATGACAAATACGTGTTCAACTATTAGGGTAAATGTGCTAATCTCGCACCAGGAACCAGTAGACCACCATGTCAATTTGCAAACCTAAAAGTAACGTACTTTTTGCATTTTCTGCCATTTTTTTACGTTTGATAGCAATGCCGTATCATGTGATAATAACTAATACGTGCCATCTACAACCTGGTCCACCTTAGTCACATTGCCATTGCCAGATTCTTTTGTCTTATAAAAATAAACTTAATAACAATTAGAAAAATTGATAAAATTACATGAAATAATGGTAATTAAAGAGTAGAATGATTTTTTCGCAATGGTTGTTGCACTGACACATATCATCGAAATTAGTTTCATTGTTGCTTAATCGTTTAGCTACTAGTACACTCGTCGTAGTGGAATCAATACATGAAGGATTTTTAGGGTCGTGATAAATCTGTCGGAAAATCCATTGACTGTATCACGGAAGAATACGTTAGTACGCAATGGATTATTGGCTGAATATGCAACTTTGAATTTCTTATATTTTAACAGGTTTGACATTCTGTGACGGATCCTCCGCCAGACTTGCACTTTTTAAACTCAAAACTCTCGAAGTGACGTGACGAGTAAGACACATACGTATTTCATCTATAATTAACTAAGAAAAGAGTAAACATGTACCTCCAGTAAGAGACCTGTAGTTTCTGTCCTGGTGTGTATCTATCGACTTGCAAGTGTCTTGCTAAGCGGTCGCGGCACAGCCTCAACGTCTGTGTATATAACAGCTCCAGTGATAACGAGCGACAGAAGTATCTCAATGCTGCTAATGCACCACTTAACCCTGCCGCCGCTAACCGAGCCTGGGCAACACCGCGCAGCCATGCAAGCTGCGAACTGTGCACTAGAGGTTTGCCCTCTACACAAATAAAAGGGCTTTGTACAAATTTTATCAAAATTAATCCTAAGTACCATGAAATGAATATCAAGGATTTAATACTGGCAAAAGAGGTAAAAAGAAAGAAAGGAAAGTAATTTATTGTTGGGCACACATAACACACACAACAACCTTTATATATACATATATGACTAATCAAAAACATAATTATACAAACAGACGATTACAGGTGTTATGAATGCTATGTGACACCAACACTGGACTCAGTGTAAGCAGCAGGCGAAGCCCACTGCACGTGCGTAAATACTATGAGTCTATTGTACGTAAATCTTTTGCTAATATGTTAACATTACTTTTGAGAAAAAAAAATATAAAAGAAAAGTGATTAAAACATGAATATTATGTTATCTATTGACAGCAGAAGGCTACGATTTCAGATTGTGTGTTAATAGAAGTGTAATTTCGGTTCATATTTAAATGCAAATGAAACAGCTTACTTTTATTATATTTCTTTTGTAATTATCAGGACAGAGAGTACGGCAACAATGATACATTAAAAAATAATAGTATCATAGTTTTAGTGTATTACTCTAAATTGTATAAATTATCAAAATGGGTTTCCAACACACACGTTAGTAAATTTCTAGGACTTTTTTAACAAGGGCTTGATTTTAGCATTCATTTAAAAACAATTTTTTTCATGTACAAGGTTCTACACTGATTCAGTTGAATACTAAAATAAAGGAGTAATTAAAGATACTATTGCTATACATACCACCAGTTTCATTATCAGAAATCAGAATTGCTATGTCTAGTAGACGCCATGGTAAATTTGGAGCATCACCCATGACTGTTAAAGAAACACTAAACTCTTGACCAACTGTGAAGGTAGCTCTTCCATTCTCCACCTAAGAGAAAATATGTGAGTGAGTATTAAGACTTTATATGAGACACAACAGGACAACATTTTCTTTTCACACTAAAGAGGAATTAAAGGTTAAACTTTTTTTCTACACAATTCATTTCATCCTTTCCTCCAGCCACTTTCACGTTACAAAGTGAGAACTTGGAACTAATTAAGAATTACAAACCTTTAAATTTCTGACGTCATTTGGCAAGGATGCAGTTGTGAGCCTTTGACGCACAACATGAGCTAAAGCTCGTAATGTAGAACGACGCTCTGTGGCTGTAAGTGGCGGCGGCGGTACCAGACGTTCACGTATCACTGCAGGCAGGCGACTGTATGTACCCAATGTCAACACTTCCACAGCAGCCGCCATGTGAAATGTTGGTAAACTACAAAGTGTATCAATTATATTGAGAAATTATCAGTGTTATTAGGTAAGTCTTAGTGAATGTTAATTATATTCACAGTTTTATCAAATTTTGCAGCTATAAATAACAACTTTTATAATTATTGTTAACATCACACTGTTTTAATTGAATTTCTAAGTCAGTAATAAGTGCCCGGAAACCAATGAGTTAAATAAGGTATTATTTAATTAAATATGTTGACCATATCTGTCATCTGTGGTCTGTGTGTGCACTGGTGGTCTCGAAAATTTTTCACTGTAATCTTGAATAAAGGTGTTTCGTGGTGTGTTTTCGTGAAGAAAGTGTTTTACAAGTCACAAATTCTTAGTATAAATATTATCTACGAAAAGAAAGAAAGATAAAACGTAAAAAACTTGCAAATTCATTCTATGGAAATCACGAATTTTCACAACTACCCTCATTGAATTGTTTTTTCAAGTTGCCAACGGGTTGAGCATAGACAGTGGAGTTGCCATAGCGAGACGTTTTGCACAGTTTTGGTAAATTATTGAAGAGTTGGAAAATGAGTCCGAAAAAGAATGTAAAATGTTCAAAGTGTGATAAACAACCCAATGATAAGAAAACATCTGTAACATGTGACTCCTGCAAAAGGTTGATATGTGGTGATTGTCATGGTTTATCTCCTACAGAAGTGAGAGTCTTTGAATTGAAAACAGTTGTGCGTATTGTGACCTATTTGTGTGGCGACTGTAGGACAACTATGCTGCAACTACCAAGCATTATGAAAAGACTGGAACAACTTGATAAAGAAGTGCAGAACTTACGCATGCGCCAAAATATGTTGGCTACTGAATCAGCAATCCATGAAATAACTGAACGTAACAACAGAGCGAGCAATATAATTATGTACGACGTTCCCGAGTCATCCTCTGATCTGCCGCTCCAAAGGCAAGAGCATGATAAAGAGGAATGTAAGAAGATAATTTTTGGATTGAGTAAAAAAGTGAATTGTGATAACATCAAGGTATTTCGACTAGGCGCTCCAAACTCTCGCATTGGAACTTCGCCTCGTCCGGTAAAGGTGATAATGAAAAATAAAGGGGAAGCAATAGAGGTGCTACGTAATAAAACTAAACTGCCTAAACCTTCATCAATCAAACCTGACCAAACCGCAATGCAACGTGAATATCTAAAATATCTTCGCGACGAGCTGGAAAAACGTAATAATAGTGGCGAGACGGATCTGACTATTAAGTATGTTCAGGGTCAGCCTAAAATAGTTAGTCAAAGGGATCCAAAAAACTAGTTCTCAATGGCCCTTGCTTACCCGTTAATATAAAAATAAAAACGTTACTTGTCGAAATAAAAATACTATACACCAATATACAATCAATTATATCAAAACTGGACCTGTTCTTTGCAAGAGTAAATTTGCACAAACCAGCTGTCATTATACTCACAGAAACGTGGCTAAAGCCAAGTATACCATATTCATTAATTAAAATACCCGGATATGACATATACAGAGACGACCGCATCGATAGAAGAAGTGGTGGTGTTGCTATATATATTTCTAACCAGGCTCCTTACATAACTGCAAGTAAATATAGTCGTTTCAATACCAAGTATCCAAATACGGAATGTGTATGGGTGGACGTTGACGTACAGACACACAGAATATTGATATGTGGGTTATATCGTGGTCATGAAACCACACTGGAACAGGACAGCACTTTTCTTCGGGACTTAAGCCTGGCCTCTGAAAATGGCGCCGTGCTGATTATGGGTGACTTTAATTTTGCTGGAGTCAAGTGGCCACTCCAAGACTGTGGATATCTGCTGCCGAAGGAGTTGAGTTTTCTGGAATGGTATAGGTAAAGCAATATGTACCAATTGGTGGACAAGCCAACTAGATATCGAGATGGAAACCAACCCTCTTTCCTTGACTTAATACTTACAAATGATGAGTGTCTCGTGGCTACTATAGATTATGAAGCGGCTATTGGTAAAAGTGATAATTTATGTCTGATTTCCAGGGTTCAGCTACAGATACAGAAACCTAATATTAAGCAACAAAAACTCTGGAGAAATTATAATAAAGCAGATTACGAAAAAATATGTGATGAGATAAATACTACCCTTTTGCAATCTGTAAAGAACACTGATTGTCCAAAAAAGCAATTTGAAAATATGCAGAACATATTAATGAGAGCCATACATAATCACGTGCCCCAAGTTAATATGATAACTAAAACAAACCTAAACAAACCCTGGGTTAAGAAGGAATTATTGGATATGATGCACCAAAAGAAGATTGCATGGAGGAGATATACCTTGACCGGGACAAGTGACGTGTATCGAGAATATAGAAAGATCACAAATAAACTTACAAATGTAAGTCGTAAATCAAGAGCTATGTATGAAAAAAAATTGTTAGAAGGTGGAGGCAAAAAATTCTATGCTTATATTAGGCAACAAACAACGTCAAAAGTTGGTATACTGGATACACTGCGCGGCTGGCTAGGCCAGATTGTAACCCATCCGAAGGAGATTTCTGAGATTTTTGCAGATCAGTTTTCTAGTGTTTTTGAGACTGAGCCTGATATACTCCCGACTATAGATCAGTGTCTCCGAGTCGAAGAATCGGTAGACGAAATCGTTTTCACAAATGTCAAAGTTCAAGCTTCTATAAAGGACATGATAACAGATGCTTCTGCTGGACCTGACGAAATACCAGTGTCTGTTCTGAGAAACTGTGATCTATCGGAGGCTTTAGCGCTTATAATGCAGACCTCATATGATACTGGGGTACTGCCAGAGTTATGGAGAACTGCAACAGTGATCCCAGTGTTTAAAAAAGGAAGCAAATTAGAACCCTCAAACTATAGACCAATCAGTTTGACTAGTGTAATATGCAAAGTCATGGAAAAAATAATAGTTAAACAGATTAGAAAATTTCTTGGTAAACAAAAAGTAATTAGCGATCAACAACATGGTTTCTGTCCGCATAGATCGACGGTGTCATACCTACTTTCATCCTTATCGTCGTGGGTTAATAGTCAGAACGTTCAGGAGCCTGTCGACATTTTGTATCTTGATTATGAAAAGGCATTTGATAAAGTTCCTTTCGGTAGACTTTTGCAAAAACTCGAGTTCATTGGCATACGAGGAAAACTATTAAACTGGATAGAGGGATTCTTGAGACAGCGTACATTTCGGTTAAAGATTGGCGATGTCTTTTCGAATGAGAAAGAAATACGGAGTGGAGTACCCCAGGGGTCCGTACTTGGGCCGATTTTGTACATTCTCTACACATTTGACCTACCTAAATCTCTGAACTGCTGTGTTAGCATGTTTGCAGACGATACAAAGATTTTTGCAAATACACTCATCGACTATGATCTCCTCCAAGCGGACGTAACTCGTATAGTAAAATGGTCAAGGGAGTGGCTTGTCAAACTTAACATAGATAAATGCACTGTTCTACACATTGGTAGTCAAAATCCTCATTACACTTATGATGTTGAGGGCATAACACTGAAAGAAGCCAAAGTACAGATTGATTTGGGTGTACATATTGCTGAAAATCTTAAATGGGAACATCATATCTCTGCTATCACAAAAAAGGCCAACAGTTTCATATACCTTATCAGGAAAGCGTTTGGTCATTTGACACCAGAGATGGTAATTAAGATTCATAAAACTTATGTTAGACCTATTTTGGAGCATGCCTTTCAAATCTGGAGTCCTTATTTCAAAAAAGATATAGAAATGTTGGAAAAAATTCAACGCAGGTTTACCAAACTCCCTAAAACACTTAAGAATAAAACTTATGAGGAAAGGTTGAAAGCTCTAAAACTCACCACATTAAAGGAACGAAGAGAACGTGGAGACTTGATAGAGGTATATAAAATACTGCATGGACATTACGACATCAAAAATTTCGACAAGCAGTTATTTCAATATTCCCATAACACTCACTTAAGAGGACATCATCTAAAGTTGACAAAGAGGGCGTCGTCTATAAATCCACATAAGCACTTTTTTAGTAACAGAGTGGTAGAAGCTTGGAACAGATTACCGACAGATGTAGTTTCAGCACAGACTACAAACCAATTTAAAAATAGATTTGACAAATTCATGCAACAGGAAGAATGAAATATCACGCAAAAAAGATATCGGGATACAGGCCACATCAGTTGTTGCAACTGTCTGCCTGTCTTTGATAATAATAATAATATGATAGCAATAAAGTCTGTTGTACCACTAAACTAAACTTCATAAAGTAACTGACAGGTGAGGCCAAGGATTTTTGGTTAAGACCCATATTACATCTGAACTGTGATTTCTGCGTGATTTTTCTCAGAAACAAAAATAAATTGAATAAATAAATTGTTGAATAGTGAAGAATAACTCTTGGTATAGAAATAAGTGGCTTAACTTTTTGGAAATTTTGCTCATCTTTTTAATTAGACCCAAAATACCAGAGAAAGATTTTCATAAAACGCGCAAAGACACTTTTTGAAGTCCTGTATTGAGCTACTGTTCTTAACAAACGAAATAAAAGAAATAGAATGATATCTCCTATATAGTCGTAAAGTAAGCAGTAGCGTTGAAATTTCGAAATAGCACTGATTAAATATAGAAAAACAATCATATTATAAACCAAAAAACATCAAAAATTGCTTGAAGTTAACTTTGAATTTCTCTTAGCCACAACAATATTATTTAACAAAATTTATTGCCAGATTAATGACTATTTCATAAGGAACAAAGTCATAACTTTAAAGCATAAATTTATTATATTATTTCAATAAATACGATAAATGTAAACACAAAATCACTACAAAATAAGATGCAGCGGCCGTCTGAGCTCAGTACCGCACGAGCGCTCCTCATCGTTAGACCTGTGTCGCATTACTTCGCGCCATTTTTCGATCTAGATACGTTCGAGCGAGCATTAATAGGGCAGTATAGTGGGACTTCCGACTTTGGTCACGAAGTATTTATATGAAATTTATATAGCTTGTTGAATTATTTCTAATACACATTTGTTATTTTCAGCATAGATCAATAGATATTGGTATATTTGTATAAGAAAGTTAAAATATATATTTATTAAAATATTATGAACAAATGCAAATAAAGCAAGGTACTTCTTCTCTCAATACACTTATACAAGTACATAAAAATTGGAGTGCATATTTGTAATATTAAAATAACCGCTTTTCACTAAATACATTTGTGTGTATTCATGGTACATATACAAAAATAATATATTTTATCTGTTTGTCTGTTAGTTCTGGCTAATCTCTGAAATGGCTTGGCCGATTTTGAAGAGACTTTCACTAGAAGTTGACTTACGTAATGAGGATTAACTTAGACTTATGGCTCGATGCAATTCAACCGATATCAAATTTATCGGAGATCCGCATATCAAACGACTTTTTCTAAATCCAATATATTTTTGATAAGTATTGTTTGTTTTTGATAAGAACTTCTTGAGATTTTTACTATAATTTTCTGCACAGGTTTTGTCTTTGTGCTGGGTCTTGCCTATTTTGTTTATTTCACCCTGAAGGCACATATTATTAATATTCATAATTTCATTAAAAAATGCACATTATCTATAAAAAAAAGAAGATCTATCCTCAAGACTGCTTCTTTTTCTTGATGCATATTATGACAAACAAAGTTACACTCGCATTGTAAGCAAAGCTGTGGAAATGCTCATATTAAGATAGAAACAAAACAGAGCAACAATTATTTTTTCTACTTTTATTTTTATTTTATCAACCAATAACTACATATAATCCAAAAGTGTGTCATCATAAAGATTAATAAAAAGAACTTTAAGAGCTGTTGCAACACTAGCATAAATAAAAAATGGATGCAGTTCCTTAACAAACCTAGTAGTATAGTGAAACTTTTTAATTTGGCTAATATATAAAATGGCAGACTTGAAAAGAAATGAAATATGTGGAGGACCTTTTTTAACTTTGATTGAAAACTTAAGTTGGGCAATATACATTAACTGACTTAATGAAGCTATTGATAAATCACATGTATATTCAGTTCTCTCATCTTCAACCCTTCAAATCTTGTGACAATCATATTTCAATTAGTTTAATGGAAAAGCTACAAGATAATTTCAATATTGTTTTTAAATAAGGCTATCATCAAAAATTTAATATATCAGAAAATTTTAAGATTAATTCTCACCGGGCATGGACAAGAGTTTCTCGAGCAACTCTTGCTAATACGTCTGCTGTTTCTACAAAAAGCAATGCCTGCTTATCAAGGAATGCCATGATGTGTGCAGAGCGATCAACTTTCGTAGCACTGCTTGCCCATTTCACAAGGGCCAACAGGCGAACAAATAACTGACGAGTGCGAGCACTAAATTTATATATTTCAATTTTTCGTTCCATATCAGTCTTTCGTGGCAGTCTGAAAAAGAAAAATAATTGATAAATATTTTACTTCAAAACAGATAATTCCCAGTGAATTATATGTACTCACAATTCTGCCAATACTGTAAGCTCATCGTAAGTCCTTTGCACTATAAAATCTATCAGCAACGCAAGAGAAATGGAGCCACCACGAGCTCCGCCGCCCTCCGCTCCTTGGTTACATCCTTCTATAGCAACAGGAACCATGGTTCCGAAAAATTAACGCGTCGTAGTTATTAGAGATACAATTCTATTCTTTAATAACATCGTCTTGAAAATAAACGAAAACTATTCGAATAAAAGATTGATACAAATTACAAACTAAACACACAAGACAATCTTGATGTCAGATAGACAGGTGCACGGCCCCTCAACTCCATACAATAAACCAATCGCGTAGGGGTCCAGTGATGTATGACATTTCCTCACGCCCCTCACCCCTGTCAGTAGATGGAGACATGACACCTGACAGAAACTGTCATTACAACAAAGAGTAAAGATAGTAATGTTTTAATCAATCTTTAATTCATTTTACATGTTGGAATTAATTTATTCATTTCACATTGGCAAAATTGTGTGAAATGCGCAGATATGCCATTAATAAAAGAAGAAGAAGACTAAAGTATGTACGTACATATCAGGAAATTACAAGTGATTGAGTAAAGTCTATTTTGTGCTTACCGTCTTCGCTTTATTTGTAATATAAACTCTCCATTTTTCGAAGTATTTTTATTTGTAGAAGATGCCTAAGAAATTGGTGTGTTATGGTTGTGTTACACGCATTGTTAAAGTACGAACAGGACGCTATTCTTTATAAGATTCTAGTGAACGAGAAAAGATTCTCCAAGTGTTTACAATGTCTTAGTGCTGTGTCTGATCTGAAAATTTTAATCCAGGCAGAAGTGTCATTTGTAGCAAACACGTTGTACCAAGATTCATCACTCCAAAATCATGACTCTTGGGTGATGCATATCCGTCATTGTTTATTGATGATGGGCTCTCAATCAGCCTACCCTCTTCAAGCAATACTGGTAAGGCTGGTTTAATCTGCTATTGCCTTTAGATAATGTAATTAAAATGATATGTATCTTCACTTTATGTTGTGTTTTGGAATACCTCTATTCTTCATTAGATTTTTTTTTATTACAGAAATTATATTCACTTGGGAACACAGCTATGCAAGAAAAAGTCATGTTGACCACACATATTAGAAAGTGGAACTGAATAGAGGTTTGTTTTTAATTTATTTTATTTAGATAACAAAGTATGAACTTTGTGTATTTTAGCAGCAGTTTTGGTGTATTTTAATATAGATTTTTGCTTTAAAAAAGTCTAGTAGATCTCTATTTCTTACACGCATAAAGAAAAATTACATTAAGTTACTTAACTCTAGCGGGCACGCTAGAAGTGATTTTGATCAGAGAATAAATTTATAATATAAATAACATATTTCTAATATCATCTAAGATTATATCCTGTTTTTTTATCTTACACACATAATCAATATTGATTTCATAGGTGGTGTAATTTTAAAAGAACAAATTGAGACTCCTGTGTCTGCAGCCACTGAGTTTACACAATTAGTTGCTTGCTCTGGAGATTAAAATATGACACAAACTAAATTATTACTTTCTTTAGTGTATCTTTATTTCAATCAAATAGTAGTTCTAATAGAGAAATTCACTGAATACTTTTGATGTTACAGACCCTGTGAAATGTACCCAAACAAAAAGGAAAAGGCTTATTACCAAATAAAGCCAATTGTCACCTTTATACCAGAGAATTTATGAAGAATATAACAAGCCAAATATGTAGTTGAACTTTTATCATAAAGTTAAGAATACTTTAATACCTTTAAGTATTGTAAAAAGTTATCATTTGAAAAGTTCTGACAAAAAATGAACACAGTTGCAAAAATGTTTTTGAAATTCAAGTGAGCATGTGCTCTAAAAATAAACATGAGAGGTGATTCACTACCGAAGAAAAGATAATTGCTTTATCAATATCAAAGCAGAGTCCAAAGTGTTATTGATTTTTAAGCAAAATTTTTTATTTTATCATCCAAAACTACACTGAATACTATGATTAGAAAATTGATCATAGAACCAGGCTTCATGTAAGAGGTAAATATATTCCATATAAGGTTTTTCATACTACTTTTATAATTTTTTGTATTACTACAAAATAATAATATGCTACCTATTTGAATTTACTTTTTCAGGTGGACAAATGAAACTCCAAAAAAATATGCACCATCATATTTGATGAGATGTCATTAGAAAAAGCACTTTCGTATAATAAAAGTAATAAGGATTCAAGATAATATTAATGGATTTGTAGAACACCAAGAAAAGAAAGTGGATTTTGCAGATCATACTCTTGTATTTATGTTGGTGCTATTTACAAGTGGCAACAGCCTTTATGTTAGTATTTCTGTCAAGGAGCGACATCTACTGTACATCAAGAATATTTTAAAGTTAGTAGTAGAAAAAGTTGTTGAATTGGACCTTAATCCCATCGCAATAATATATGACCAAGGCTCAGCTTTCCAATCAGCACTCAAAAATCTAAAAGAAGACACTTAGTGTAATCAAATTTTAAATTGAAATCACAGGTTGGTACAGAGAATTATATTTATATGAAAGAAAACTAATAGATTTAATGAAAGTAGTGAAGGTTCTTATTTTTATATTGTTATCTATGTTTTAAGAAGTTCTTAAATTTTTGTTTCAGTTGGATTCTTAAAATATGTGGGGTGGATTTGAACATTATGATTCAACACACTTGATAAAATGTATCAGGAACAATTTTTTAACAAAAAATTTAATATTGGATAGTAAACTTGCAAAATGGCATGATATTATTTATGTCTATGAGACAGATTGTCAACACACTGAAGCTGGGCTACATCATAAATTAAATGACCAATAAGTTATACCTGATAAAATGATGAAGGTAATGCATTGGTTATTATATTAGTATAACTTCAATTAGTATAAATAAAAGAAATAATTTGTATTCAGCTTCTATATTCTCTATCAGAGCAAGTGTTGATTCAATGACCTGTATTTTTAATTATGTAACAAGTAGTTAATATAGTTTACACTTAAATCACAATAATGATTCTCTAATGAAGATAATTTTAAACATGATATCTCTTTTTGCAGGTAAAAAATTGTGTAAAAATATGTCTGCAGCTTTGTCTTACACTGCAAATTTCTGTGAGTATTAGATGAAATTTACTAACAGTTAATAGTTTTGAATCGAGTTTCATACAATTATTATATGAATATTTTAATTTGCAGCAACTTATGTGGATGGCAGGCCCGTCAGTACAACATTAAGAAATACAGCTGAAGTTGTATCATTCTTTGACCAATTATTTGATAGTGTCAATGGAGCATCGATAAACAAAAGAAGCATAAAGGAAAAGAGCATCATTCTTTCTGGCCAAAGGCAACTGAAATTTTAGAAAACCTTAAATATGTATATAAAAAGGTATGCAAATATCAGTGCCCTCTTTAAAAAAAATGTGATTACCTTGAAAAGTTTCATAAGGTTGTGCCACTAAAAAAACGTAGCTAAGAATTGCCGAGAATGCAGAAGAAAGCGGTGAAAAATATAATAAGTTAAAAAATAAATTATTCAATAAATAATATTGGAAAAATGTGTGTTTCATTTACGTGTTCGTTTTTCCTTTTTTGTTTTAATACAACAATAATAATAAGCTAGATTTATCAGTCTGCTTTATTGTTATTGTTGTATTAAAACAAAAAAGGAATTTAAAGTAAAAATAATTGGAAACTAGGAAGACGGCTAGGTACCTACCCAAAACAGGGCTGTATAGCTAAATGCCTTTGCCGATAGTAAATCTATATATTTAAAACGAATGAAGCTGTCATGTATCACTGGCTCCCAATCACGTTCTACGAAGAAATTTTTTGTTAGGAAGTTGGTCGTCTGATACCTACTAAGTCTGTGGACAGGTGTCAGTCAAACAAACAAATGCCAACCTAGTAGAGATGTATAAAATGAAAACGTCTAATAATCGATTAATAATTAATAAGGATGTATTTAAAATATTAGTTCCCGAAATCAAACTAGATGTCGCTACTATACTTTCTTGATTTCTCCATGACAACCCATCCAGTTTTCTTTTATGTATAAATGTAAATCAATTTTCAAAACTCAATTTACAACTCATATTCTCTTTGAACTTTTTCATACTTGTATAGATATCTAAATTTCGAACTTTGCAAACTTTAATGTGTTAGTTAATTGGAACGGAAATCTTTGGTCCATTCGTTTCCTGCTAAAATCAGCTTTTGGTAGAGACGCAATCTAGTGGGGGGCTTTTTAATGCTTTCTTTTTTTCTTAAAATACTTCCTCATTAACGCCCACATTGAAGTTTTGCTACTAATTAGATACTAGTTTGCAATTGTTTCGTTTCGATTGTTCCAAAAAAGTTTGAATTTTGATTTTCCTCATTATTCAAACGGTCTTTTATTTCACATCATGTTTGTATGGAGACTATTATCAGCAACTTTTATGACAAATTTTCATTTCATTTCAATTCACAGGCATTGCAAACGTTTTAAAAACCCAATGGATTCCTATTCGTTTTCAGTGCTTAGTGCTAGGGAACAAGACACTTAAGATTACCTGTTATAAATCATATATTCTAAATTGTCAAGAAAAAATGAAACGTGTACTTAAAACTATTTTGGTCAGTCGCGACGGAAAAGTAATTCCAACCATCCAAGATTAATGGTTTACAACAACATTAATTTAACCAAAGAAGTTCATTATAAAAGCTTTGTTACTTTCATTTCTCTATGAAGCCCAGGCTGACCTACAACTCCTACAAAGTTTACTTCATTCTAATGACCCTGGAAGTGACATGATACCTCTAATATTTTTCGTTAGATGTGCAGAGTCCTTATTTATGCCTATTACAGATATTTTTAATAGAGCATCTATTACGAGAGGGTTTTTTTCACACATATCTGGAAAACTGCACATATCGTATCCTTTCACAAAAAGGGCTTAAAACGATGATTGAGAATTATCGGCCAATCCAATATCAATTGATCGCGTTGACCATTTTATCCTTTTCCGTAAGCTATAGGAAATTTAAATTAGTGGTGATTTGTTTAGGTGGTTCGAATCATACCTGCTTAATAGATTTCAAGCGGTAGTAATAGATCAATTTAAGTCTTACTATCTCACTTCTCTGTATGTTGTGTACCTCTACGACATTGGTAAGTGCTTTCGTTATGCAAAGTATTATGTATGCAGATGACACAAAATTTTTTAAATCAATCCGAAGTCTCTCTGACTGCTTGAGCTTTCAAGAAGACTTGAGTAGACTATGTGCCTAATATCGACCAAATAAAAGTAAATGCGACTAACTGCTTGTTAATTTCTTTCTCTCCGAACACAACAAATGTCACAAATTAACGACAGTAACAAATTAACTTTTTCTGAAAACATGGCAACATTATTTAACAAATAAAAATCTGGGGTTCATTTTAAGGGTGCGCAAACCGTTTTCTGGTATCTTTTGTGTCAGGACTTTGCTGGACATGACATTTTTGTAAGACGTTTGCAGTCGGGCTATTGACTGTACAGATCTTACATCGTCAATTTTAACACTCAACACACCCACAATTCGTACCAGACACACTGCTTCCTTGTTCTTCGCAGTTCCTCTATGTCGCACAAACTATGCACAAAACTCATAATTCGATTATAGAGAACTTACAATAAGCGTTTTGCGACAGTTGTAAAAAAAGACAAAAAAAACGAAAAAAAAATTTAATTTATTATTTTTTTTAATTTAATTTTCTTTTTTATTGATATATTTGCCTGTAATAATAAAACATCTTTTAAAAATCATATTACAAAATTATTGGTAGATTTTCGAATCAAATAATTATTATTCTTTAATCGATTTTAAAAAAAGATAAAAGGAATAAAAATATGTTTCTAAATAAAACCGATACATTAGGACTTTTACTTAGACTTATTAAGATATTTATCTATAAAAAAATAAATATTTGCGAAGAATAAACAAACTTGAATGGTTCCATAAAACTCATAAAACTTAACCCGTTCCCTCAATCTTGAATATATTAAGTATCAGGTCGCCATTTCATTTTAAACAACTAACTGTTCTGTTATGTGAGGTGTAATATTGAGGTGCCTGAAGCCGTGAGGAGCTACATTAGGTGGTTTAAAATTGAAAAACAAGTACTCTCTCATTTTGTCGAAATCATACCTCGCGAGTTAGGGGCTCATCACTACTCGACTTGAGACGAATGTTCAAAAATTGTTTTCTAGTACTTTGAGCTTACAATCGCCATGGATTTGGCTCAAGTAAGGTAGTACTAGTGGTAGGCAACTAGGGCATACAAACATTTGCACACTGATCTCTTTGAATATCTAAAAAACTGATACGGATATTGCATTTATTTTTAATAATTTTTATAATTATAATTTAATAATCATTATTAATTCAATTATAATTTTAATTCGATCGAAATATAAATCAAAAAATAAATTTCGATTTCCTAAGATAAAGGCAAATAATGTGAATTTTGTATTCTAACCTTTTATGGCTTACGATAGGTATCGATGCTCTCCATCGTTTCGATTAACATAAAATTGTCATGACAACCATATGACAACTAATTGTCAAGTAAGTGTCAACTTAGCAATTTCGTCTTGTTGTGAAATTGAGGGTTTTAGTGTATGGTTTACGATTTTAAAGTTTTAAATGTGCTTAACATTATATTACATTACAGAAAATATTCGTTGTTAATAGTTGTGTTTGCGTGTCTTTATACGTTGTTGATTTATTTTATTCTCTGTAGAATAACTTGTTTAGTTTAGTTTCCGTTTTGCCATTGATTTTACTGCATTTTTATTTTGCTTGTAATGTGGTAAATGCACAATTATTTTCGATTACCAATATTACTTTATTCGGCAAACTACTGCGTGAAAAGTTTGTGCAAGCCAAGTTTATATTTTTGGAAAAATAAAGTAGCTAGAATGGGATTGTTATCGGAAGGTAGCCCTCTATCATGGGAAGAAACTAAGGCGCTAGCGGAACATGTGCGTCAACACGGGATTGAGCAGTTTATAAATCTTTACAGTAAACTGCGGGATCGCACGGGAGATGTCCTTAAGTGGGGTGATGAGGTAAGTTATGAAGTAATGGGTACCTGAATATTTATGTTTTGTAAATTAACTATCCCAAGTAAATCCTTTTCTCCATAGCAAGAATTATTTACATAAAACCTATAATAATATAATCCACATAAAAGAAATAAATTCACTGTGAATTTAATTCATTAAATTTTAAACTGTGATATTCCACACAATTTTTATAAATCGTAAAACAGTTAATGAACTATATGTTTGTAGGTGGAATACATAATTGTGAAATTTGATGATGAAAATCAACGAGCGACTGTGAGTCTTAGAGCTGATGAAATTCTACCAAAACTACAAGAGCAAGAGCAAGCTAATCCTCAAAGTAAGCCTGACTTTAGTTCTTATTATGACTTAATTAACACCAGCAGAATGTAGTAACAATATCTGAGGAATTTTAATGTTTGTAGATAATGAAAAAAGTTATTGGCCTTAACTAAGCCTTAACTTTGGCTTGTTTGTATAGTTTATATTTAGTTTTTTTTTTGTAGTAGTCTTTTTTAGATACTTGATTGTTACTGTGACTTGCAAATTTTGTTTAGACTTGCAAATATCTTTCATCAAGGTCAATCTTAATTTTTCTGTATACCTTTTCAATCTTGCATGATTCACATAAAACATTAATATGATAGAATGTTTTACAATTCTCAGCTTTAATGTTGCACAATATAGAGTAATATATTCAAATAATAATTCCCCTTGACTTTTTAACTTTTGTTTTTAATTATTAATTATGGGGTAATTAGTTTAAAATGTAATACAGCTCTCAATCCAGCAGAGCAGTGGCATAGAGTAGTGAGGGCTCTTTTTAGGGGGGCAGTAAGATTTCACAGTAAACAATACATTTCTATCATATTACAGTTTTTTAAGTATTTGAACCAATTCATATTTTTAACACAACTATAAATTCAGATCTAATGATAAGAGCACAGAATTTATCATTGCTTATTCTGTAATGAATTCGGAGAATACTCTTTCTTTAAATTATATTTTGTAGTGAATGGCAACACCATCTATACTGATTTTATTTTGTGGTTGGGTTGTTTATGATTTTCAATCAGCAAGAATGACTTCTATTACATATATATTATGTTAAATATTGTTTATTACATCCCTTTAAGAAAGTACATGATGCTTCGACAATTCAAAAATAGTTCAATCTTGCATATATGTATAAATTTTATGTAATCAGGATCAGTCTCAAAAAAAAGAATATAAAGAATCTCAAAAAAAAATAGTAATTTAGAAACATGTTTAATAATATGTTAGAAAATTAAAACAATGTCCATTACTATAAATATAACAATGTAAATCAAAGTTATTTTATTTCCTTCTTTTCAAATAAAATTTCCTCATAGCATGTCAGTAACATTTTTATTTCTCGTTTTGTAGTTGACACATGCTCTTTGTTGTAATAAATTTTTTCTAAAGTTTTAAAACTGTACTGACTTTCATTATGTTTGAAATCATCATTTGACTTTTCGGTTCTTTAGGGTCTAATAAATGAATCAGTTTGATCAATGTAATTATGCTCGCTCATTTCTATTAGCTTGTCAATTGTTATGTCTTCAAAGTCTTTAATAATATTTAATTTATTTTCCATAGACAGTTTTTTCCGTTTCTTGTTAGGTTAGGGTCAAAAGACTAATTTTTTAGTCTTTTACACTCATTTTTCATTTATCTGAGTGAATTCGGGTTCGGATTTTTCTCTACTGGATTGAAAGCTATAGGTATAAATTTTATAACTGTGATACCGCTCTCTATTGCGGTTGGTGGATACGGGGATGCATGCATGTATCTCAGCCTTCCCCCAAGAGATGGAACCATGCATGGATAGCAACCCATTAGCGGCCGGAGATATGGAGTTTTGTTATCTCTGGAAGGAATCTATTGAAGGAAATTGCCGCCCTTTACTTGTAGTCGTAGGCTGCCACCACCGCGCTGGCGCATTAGAAGTTACTAGATGGTGCGTTAGCCATCCACCGGGCAACAGGAGATGCGACACAATACAAACTCTAGCTCCTTCACATTGCTACTGAAGAAGTTATGCCGGCTGTCCGTCGCTCGGGCACTACTATGTCCTGTGCCTTATGAGTGTCCTTCGGCCGACCGTGATATTTAATAGTGGCCACCGCGGCAATATTAAATCGATGGTACATCACGGGTTGTGACAAGCCACGCTAATACATCTCATCGCACGAATTCGTAGTCACATCACAGACGACGTCTCCGGAATGATAACCTGCCCAACCTTCCGATACACCCTTGAACTAGGGTTGCCAGATAGCAGACACCAGATGACAGAGAGCACTCAAACATCTGGTTAAAATTTATAAAAGTCGGCGTTACTGGAGACAAAAATCGATTGCTGCTATTTGCGAAAGTATTGATCAGCAAAGAAGGAAAGGTTTACGAAGTTATTTCATAGGCTGCTTAGGATTATTGTACTTTTGTTGGGACATTCTTTTTCCCGAGTCTCTGAAAATCCTCCGAAATGCCGGGACAAATGCCGAGCATCTCGAAACTACCTTTAATTCTTTTACCTCAGCCTTGTTAGAGTTAAATATTTGTCACTAGCTTTTTTACTTTGATATTACTGCAGTTCTAAAGTCAAAATGGGAAGGTAAGAAGGAAATATCAGGTTACATGTTATGTAAACGTAAGTCACTTTCCATCCGATATACGTGTCTGTTCAGAGCTATAGTTTGTTTATAAAATTTCCAAACATAATTTAAAAACTGATATTTTTGTATTTAAACTGCTTTTATTGTTACGGCACAGGGTATATTTTGAACTCTACAGCGATTCTGTTTTTATAGGTGTGAAGTCGTTGTGGCGTCCAGAATACGGTGCCTATATGGTGGAAGGCACTCCGGGTAAGCCTTATGGTGGACTCTTGGCTCATTTCAACATCGTGGAAGCTAATATGCAATATCGACGCACTGAGGCTAGTGCCTTCCTCAAAGACGGCGAAGTTATTATGAGCATCACCAATTTTCCCAGGTTCGTTTATTATAAATAAATATTAGACAATGTCATATATAATGATCAAACTCCTAGATGAGTAGCTAACTTCAGTAATTAAATTGTATGTGGTTATCGGTTACGGATGCAAAACACTGATAATATTAAAAAATTTGTGCAACGGAACTTGTGGTTTAACCATGAGTTATGCAGATTAAACTACAATAGGACATAAATTAATCATTTAAAAGAAACGTTACATTGACGTGTAAGACTATGAGATGAAAATACGTACTCAGTATTTTTCAGTGGCCAGAGACATAGTGGATTTTTTAAGCATTTTTCATTAAGAATATTTTTCAGTACAGTATTGTGAATGCAAAATCAAATATAAGAAGTGCTAAGATTTATTATAATTTATGGACTAATATGGTAGGCAATGCGTGTAATGTGTTTTGCAACTGGTCGGTTGTTTGACATAGGTTGGGATGTCCAGAATTCACTAGCCCAGTACATCATCCGACACCAAAGAGTGGTGTCACAAGATCTCTCTACTTCCCCGACGAAGCTATATTTCCGGGACATCCACGTTTTAAGACCCTCACCGATAATATACGTATGAGGCGAGGTGAAAAAGTAGCTATAAACATACCAGGTAAAAAATTTTACATATTTTTTTTATGACAAAGATAAATCAAGTCCATATACACAAAATTATATTTAATTACTATTCAAATTTTCCGTATAAATCGTCCGTATAGATAAACTAGGCAAGTGATTGTGATGACGAAAGAAACTCCTTGTTCTTTGAACATGAACTATGTTCAAAGAACAAGGAGTTTCTTTCGTCATTGCCACAATTACGGTCAGATGTATTAACGTCCATTAAGGTTTAATGACGCCTTTAAGCTCTAATGAATGTCAAACGTGTATGGGTAATGCCATTTTAAACGAATGCAACTGGCTGTTACACTTTTTAATCGGTGTACTATTAACAACATTACTCTATTTTTAAGTTGAGATTTTTTTACGGGCATCGTTTCCAGTGATTTGCTTATTACGTCAAGTTTCATTGAGTCGGCGCTGTTGATAATTCTATACATAAGTAGTATCGTCAAACTTATGTCGTTAGCGAATCAATCAATGACAATGTTAAATCACTACATAGTATAAAACAAAGTGCTTTCTCTGTCCCTATATCCTATGAATGCTTAAATTTTTAAAACTACCCAACGGATTCTGATGTGCTTTTTTTTCATAGATAGGGTGATTTAAGAGGAAGGTTTTTATGTATAAAGCCGCTGGCGGAAAGCTAGTATACAATAAGTAACAAAAATATATAAGTAAAGACCATTGTATAGCATATATAGTTTAGTTTATCTTTTATTACTTCTCGATATGAGTTTAAATATGCTCGTTATAAATATTAATTGATCTCATAAGCTTTATATTAAGATTACGGCAATATTAATTAATAATATCAGCATACGGTCAAATTAAGGATTTAATTTGACTAAAATAATTTAACGATAAGAAAGAAAGTTGACCTGAAAGATAACGTATAATGTAAATCATACATGTATTAATTTGAACTCATAACTCATGTGGAAAGAATGACGAAACATGTAAGTGGAAGGATGTGGAAGATTGAAAAGCACCATACCATCACACCTTTCACGATCAAATAGATTCGTATGATGTCAGAAGTCATAAAAATCAGCGAGACTTATGTAAACCCAGCAAGGGATCTTGCTTGAAATTAAAGTATAGATGTATTAATGGAGAAGACTAAATAGCAAAGCGTGGCAATGTCGGCCAATCAGAGTGATTCAAGTCTTGCGCCATAAGACTATTGCCCAATACGTGCCAAACCTCTGAAGAACCTTCAATGAGACTGACACCTAATGTGTAATTTTTTAATCTTACGTTCGGTCATTGTTGGAGATCTAAGATTTGCTCTGAGCAAAGAAAGACTCATTGTCAGCGGGGGTCAAGATTGGTGAATCGATCGATGGCGTGATACTTTACACGCTTCAAAATTAAACCTTCTGGTTCAGGTACATCGGCGAGCGACATTAGTTGTATCTTACTGTACCTGCTTGGTCTGATGTACTTTCATTTGTGGCGGGATATATAATAAGATAGGATATGTATAAGGGGGGTGGTATATTTATTTCTCTTTTTGTTACACAGTATTTAGAGACACTAATACGAAGATACCAGTGGACGATTCCTACAAGTTCGATTCGGCAGCTCAGCCAGATTGCGTATATATGGACGCCATGGGTTTTGGCATGGGTTGCTGTTGTTTGCAGCTCACTTTTCAGGCGTGCTGCATCGTGGAAGCACGCACACTTTACGATCAACTTGCGCCTCTTTGCCCCATCATGGTAAGTCGAGGAGCATGTATTAATCTAATCTAATACCTATATAAAATTCTCGTGTCACGCTTCTTGTTACCATCCACTACCCAAACTGCTTGACCCGATTTTAATGATATTTTATCAATAATCAGTCAGTCTGAGAATAGGCCTTTTTCAATTTTTTATACCCCTAAGTGATAAGAGAGATCCACCCCAAATTTATATGGCAAAAAAACATTGGCCGGTTCTGCTAGCATTTTGTAATTTTACTATTGTATTTGTTAATGTTATGTATAATTAAAGCGGTAAATATTAATAAAATTTACAAAAATTAAAATTGTTAATTCAGTCTTGGCTGTTAGATAGCACTTGTGAAAGTCGAAAACTTCGCCAACGGTTAGCAAAACTATGGCGGGAGACCTTGTACCAGCAAAAAACTTATTTACTCCATATTTATATTAAAATCTTTTAAAGTAACCAATTTCAAAAGCTAATAATATTGTTGTATTAATATTCGCACTAATAATAGATAGGGTTCGTTCTTGTTATGCAAAAAAAGATAGGGTTCTCTTAGAACAGCAACACAAATAAAAAAAAAAAATGAAATAATCGCTGCACCTGCAATAATTGAAATAATATTACTTAAACATTACTATTGTAATGTGTAACTACCGAAACAATGTGTAACTATCCGTTACTAATAATAACCGGCTAACAGACTATCAAAATATTTTCCAGTTCATTCATTACAAATACTGTAACACAGACAAGGAAATTGGAATTGACCTATATTAATAATCATGAGTTATATAATAGCTTTAGGAATGAGATATTTTTGTCAGCTGAACATACATCTATAAATAATTAAAACAACCTCTATAACTCTGCGTTTACACGAGGAAAACCACATCAATATGTCTATTGCTAGCGACACTACAACGCAAATACAAACAATGTAACATTAGATTTGTGTTGATAATATAAACGGTTATTGTAAACATTTTTTATTGCTTACTCTTAAAATATAACGTTAAAAACTACTTACATCCTAACTTGTATGTCGTGAAAGTCAATAAGGTACAATCGATATCTATTTTATGTAATAATTAGGTCATTAGCGTGACCCTGACTCGTAGTTTGTTGACACGGTCAACGTTAAATTATGTATACCATTTCTGTGACGCTGTTAATTTACAGCGAGGTTTTATTAAATTTGGCTTTTTTAGACAAGTTTTGGTCTATTGATGTGCTGGTGATTGTTCAAAGAGTTTTATTAATATTTAATATATTATAAAGTAAAATGTCAATGAATAATGGGCTCGATGGAAAAAATATCAAGATATTTCATTTGTACTAGATCAAAATCATGAAAATGTAGAATTTTTGTTGTCTACATTTATTAATTATTTAGTTTATTTTTTTTTTATTAATATTAACAATTTCAAACTTCGCGCTCTTCCTATATCGTTGCAAAGCGTAGATAAACAGACCTCGTTATTCATACAAATTATTGTATGGATTGATATAGAGAATTGAAAAACGGGACGCCCTAATTGCGAATCTAATCGCCCCCTTGTGGACGAGTTCTAACAGTTTGTAGCCAGACTCATTTCACTTGCTTAAGATGGTCACATCGGCTGAAATGTATTTTCTCCATCGTTCGTTTGAACAGGTTATATTGTCCCCAGCTTGCGTTGTCAGCGGCGTCGCCTGTGTACAGAGGTTTTCTAACTGAGGTCGACTGTCGATGGAACGTGATCTCCGCCTCTGTGGACTGTCGCACCCGCGAGGAACGCGGCCTGGAACCACTCAAGAATAACAAGTTCCGCATACACAAGTCCCGATATGACTCCATCGATTCCTACCTATCACCGGAACATGAGAAGTGAGTGTGGTAATCTAATAATACCTGTAAGAAAAACTTGGCTATTCTTATAAATACTTTTTGGTGAATTTACACTACATCAGTTTTAATCACAGAACATATAGAGAGATTAGAAGTATAATGATATTGATTTAGTATGGGAACCGAGTGTCGCCTCTCCGCACACAAATACAGATTAGATGAAATGATCATTTTGTTCACTACATGAAAAACCGCCACGCGATACGTTCGTGATAACATAAACAAAATCCCAAAAAGATACTAAGCTAAGTAATCACACGATTAAAATCAAACTCTAATTCAACGTGATAATAAATAATTTACTTTAACATGAATGTTGAACTGTCACGTGGCTGTATACGGGGATACCAGAAGGGAAAAAATATTTTAAGATTATGCACATTTTAAAAACTTGGGGACATCATTTTATGTGCGAACTATTAAGATTAGATTTTGCTGTAACCAAGTGAATATTGAAAAATAACGCTTTTCCTTATATAACTTCTTTTAAAAAACGCAGTACAAAAACTAAGAAAACTTAATGATAAACTCTATCATATGTCTGTGGAGTAATATAATTAAGCGAGGTAAAGTGTAAAAAAAACAAAAATTAAGAAACCAACAGAATTTTTGTATTAATTACATTAGGCCTAATTTGTAATTTTTTCTTACTGGTATCATTCCGATTGTGCATATTAGTGATGTGACATAATATTAGTTGATGAAATAAGAGGTTTAAATTTTGTTATGAAACAGTTAAATGTAATTCAGTTCGACAATGTTCTACAGTGGTTTGATAGTAATTATTTAAAGCTTAATTCAAACAAAATGAAATACATAAAGTTTGCATTACCTAATGTGAGGCATATTAATACACTTATAAATGTAAATAGTGAAAAAGTTGAGTTGGTGAAATCGACAAAGTTCCTTGGTATTACACTAGATTCCCGACTGCAATGGGATCCTCATATTGATAATTTGTCAAGTAGACTGAGTTCTGCAGCATTTGCTGTTAAGAAAATTAGACTCTTGACAAATGTTGAAACGGCAGGATTGGTATATTTTAGTTATTTTCATAGTGTAATGACGTATAATCTATTGTTGTGGGGTTCTGCGGCTAGCATTCCAGATATTTTTATTCTACAAAAGAGAGCTGTCCACGCTATATATAATTTACGGTCTAGAGAATCTCTCAGAGAAATATTTAAAGAAATAAATATTTTGACTGTTGCCTCTCAATACATCAATGAAAATATTATCTACGCAAGAAAACATTACGATTTCTTCACAAAAAAAAAGTAGTGTTAATAATCTTAACACAAGAAATAAAAATAAACTTGCCATTCCAAGCTTCAGACTTCAGATAACCAGAGGATCATTTCTGGGTAAATGCATTGCTATGTTCAATAAAGTTCGTAGTTGACCTACCCATAAATAAATTTAAAATTCATGTAATGAACATACTTATGAGTAAAGGCTATTATAAAGTTGATGATTATTTTAAGAATCGCAATGCATGGAATGAGCCATCGCTTTGTTCTATAAAGACTAATTATATGTTCAACCTATGTCCTACAGACTTTGAAAGTTGTATTTATTATTATGATATGATATGAAATGACATGATTTATGTAAATATCATTACTTATGATAAAGGGCTGGTAAGTTTCTTTCGCTTGTTCTTCTTGTCAGCTAAAAGACGTCCTGAAAAGACGTCCGTTTGGGACATGCGTTTATAAACTTATGTGCAAATATGGAGCAACAAAAAAACTGATAAAAGCTGTTCTGTGAGCGGTTCTTTAAAGTGGCTATCTTAACTCAATTTCTATAATAATGGTTTCCGATTATGAATCAGCATAATAAAGTAAATTAAATTGACGCCTATAAATTAATTTTGTAAATTAAATTCACACCACCAACAATATTACGTTAGTTGAAAACATGATTTTTTGTTTGTATAGATAATATGTTGTTTTGAAATTCATTTGATAGGTTTAGGTCTAAAACGGATAGGACAAAATAAATTATGTAAACAGGGCAATTCGTTGTAAAGTTATTAGGGAAACTGAAATATAAGTAATGCAAAATAAGTGAAATCCAGGTTCACCAGTTTCTAATAAGACCTATTAGGCCAACACTCGTAGCTTTTCGCGAAGTTACGTTTGATTTATATATTGTTCATAAAACGTTGATATACTTCGTAACTTAGATATTTATAGCACATCAGTATTTTTTAATATTTATCTGCGTGTAAATAATTAACCGAATCTTCGTAAAAAAGTGCCTGGATAGTTCATTATTTCATCTGTTCAGTATCAATTCATCTTTTATTTTCTCTTTTAAACAGTAGTTTTTATTTTTATATAATTATGGCATATACTTATCCATAACGTTGTTATGAATGATGAAAGAAAAGCTCTAAATAAATTTGTTTTAGTTATCGATTACGATCCATATAATTAACAATACGATTCCGAGCAGCAGCAGCCTATTGGTACATTTCAGACAAATGGAGGCACAGCACTATTTTTTGCAAAAGTGCACAATATGATTTACATTGCTGTCTAGAAACGGGGTCAGAAACATTAATGTTGGTTTGAGCAAACAATGTATATTTTATTTGAAATTGTGTCAAATTATTATGTTTTTTATATTTTAACACTAAAATTGTACTTACCAGTGAAAGGAAATGTTTGCATTAGTTAGATTGTATACTTTGTTTTGCTTTTTGCAAGTGATAATGGCACAAAACGGTATTTTTTATAGAAAAAATCAGTAAAATCACCACTCGACGATTGACGAACGACTGACAAACATAAAACCGAGGAAAGGGCGTCATATGAGTAAAAGCGCATATGCCAGCGACGCTTGCCCCGCCCACTTACTACTTCTATTCTCTCTCTATGTTCTGTGGTTTTAATAATACCTTTATTTTAAAGGTGGCAATGTCAGCTTAATAACTTTCGTATTTTACCTATTTAAAATATTTTTGAAAAGAGATTCAGGGCATAGTTGAATACAAAATATATAAGTTTGTGAATTGTGATAAGTATTTTTATAAAAATGGAATATTTTGTATATAGATATTATCTATTACATATCGTTATCTTAATATTTTATTGCTTATTAATAAATAAAGATTCTTGATATGCAATCTACAATAATTCTGATTACTTCCTAATGATAAGAGGACTGACGTACCGCGATCGAATCTTAGCGAATTAAATAAATTAATTAGGGTGTAGGATAAAGATTCTGTATGCAGGTACTTGATATATTTCACCACAGTATGAAAGTAACATTAATTCGCGGTGACATCATAATGGTATCATTTACCATTATGTAGTCACCGCGAAATAATAGAACGAAAATAACACGTCATCAGATCTTGTGCGTGACTAGTAAAATAACGCAGCAGCGGTATTAAGAAACAGTGATTAAGACATTTTTTGTAAAGTCATCGTTGTCATTCCGTTTTTAATCATAAATCTACTGAGAACAGTCAAACATCACGTGTTTAATTATAAATATTTGTAACATACACGCACACATGCAAAGTATTTATTCTATTGTCCAAAGTATATTTCGCGTTTAGTTGGCCGCGGAACGCCAGAACCGTCAATTTACATGATATGAAACTAGTTGTTATCTCGTGATTTCGCTCGCGTAAATTATAACCTATGTCAACCGCGTATAATACAGCGTATCGTAGTTGATATTTTGTTTTATTATTTGCAAATTGATGCAGATCAATTAACAATCAGGTTTATTCTCTTTATAATAATACCCTTATACCTTACGAGTATGTATAACTTAGTATTAATCATTCACCTAAAAAAACAGACCAGTCCCGCCGACCTCTTAGATTATAAAGTATTTTATAAAACATATTTCCCGACTACAATAAGAATTATATTTACTGGAAGAATATTTTCCAATTGATCAAATATAATAATTATATTTACTTTTTGGTTTTGGTTGTACTGTTTTTAATTTTTACACTTTTGATCAAGTATTACATGAATGGGCCGGCTCAACCGGAGTGATACCACGGTCCCACAGAAAACCGACGTGAAGCAACGCTTGCGTTGTGTTTCGTCGTGTGAGTGAGGGTACCGGAGGCCCAACCCCTCCCTATTCCCTTCCCTCTACCCCTCAACCATTCCCTCTAAGGCCGGCAGCGCGCTTGTAGCCTCTCTGGTGTTGCAGGTGTCCATGGGCGACGGTTATCACTTACCATCAGGTGATCCGTCTGCTCGTCTGCCCCCTATCCCATAAAAAAAAAAACACTCGTGAGAATCCATATACCTATGACAGCTTCGATAGAACTATTCATACTTTTTGCGTTGATCCTTTTCCATACTGTTTGACTTGAGAATTAGCCTATACTTGCCCAAGGGCCTTGTTAACAAACAATGATTTATTACAGATATAACGACATCCCAATAGTGCATGATGCTGCCATCTACCGGCGGCTGCGCGAAGGCGGTATTGATCATCCGCTGGCACTACACGTGGCGCATCTCTTCATACGCGACACCGTCTCGCTTTTCTCGGAGAAAGTCCACCAGGATGATAAAAATGACACAGATCACTTTGAGGTACGAATTACAAAATTGGATATAACCTTGAGAAGGGTTTGGTGCTTAGGTGTTGATAGAAAATGAAACGGCTGACTAGGCTTGATAATCAGGTATATTTATGGTGTAAACCAAAAAAAACTTTTCTGGGTTTTTACTTAGAAGATACACTTTTAAACCACAGCATAGATTTTTTATATTACGTACATACTTTTAAAATATTTCCAATGATGATCGTACTGTTGTTACGAACTGACATTCATACAGAGCATATCGCGTTACTCAAAATGTTTAATAACGAAAAACTAATAATAGAAAAGAAATTATATTATAGATCAAAGACAAAAAGTTTGAATGCTAGAACCTAGGACAAAACAAACGGTATGGTACGACGCACCGTTACAAGCTGTAGTATTCTTTCCATTGAGCAGTCGTTAACACATTTAAGTTATATTTATTAACTTAACAAATAACACGTTCCGTATTTAAATAGCCTAAATAATAGACTATTATAATCTATGTAAATAAATTGTTATTTATGAGTAAATCTATGATTACTTGCTATCAGTAAAAATTATTACGCTCTTGAGACCTCATTGTTTCAAATCTGTTTTGAATTTCTCTTTTTAACAAAAAATATATTACTTAATTTATTCAATAAATAATTTGAAGTGATTGTCCGATGTCTAAATAAGTTGTAATTCTAATTTATAATGTATCATACAGAATATACAATCAACGAACTGGCAGACTATGCGATTCAAGCCCCCACCGCCTAATTCGCCTATCGGTTGGCGAGTAGAGTTCCGCCCGTGTGAAGCTCAGCTCACAGACTTCGAGAACGCTGCATACGTTTGCTTCGTGGTGCTATTAACGCGCGTCATACTGTCATACAACCTGAACTTCGTTATGCCTATCAGCAAGGTGAGACTGAATTATTGGTGTTATTACTTTTCAGGTCCTTTATGTCAGAATGTTCTGAAACAGTCTTAGCATAATTTTATTTCGTAGACTCCTTGTAAGAAAACATAATTTTGGTTAGATATAATTATCAATTTGCAGAATATTTTGATACCAGAATTTTCAGTGGCATACTATGAACATTTCAGAATTCCTTTTGACATAATTACATTTGGCAAAATTTAATTTTGCATAATTTCGTTTAGTATACCAAAAGAAAAATACGAACCGTCGTTTGGGGTAGGTAGAAATCAAAAGCCATACATACTATATACCTATAAGATACATATTGTATATTTTAAAATCTATGTAGGTATGCCAAAGTTGATTCTGTTTGTGAAGTTCCACTCGCAATCTGACGTCCCGGGTAATGTAATAATAATTATTATAATTCATTTGTTGCATGTCACTCACACACAGTAGAAGATAACAGTTCTGACGATACTCTGCAAGGGTCTAGCAAATTATCTTGTTACCTGTATTGGTAAATACACCCCTAGTCATATAGCGATTACATCTCATATGTATTTAACATAAAACCTGAGGGCCTATTCTATTTGTCTTCTAAATCTCGATAAACGAAAATTACGAATCGTTCTTATGATTTTGTTAAAATCTTATTCATGAAGATTGTCTGTGCGTTTGAGGTAAGTGTTTGGTCCTACATTGGATGCATCATGAATTATCTAAAGATACGCACCGTTGGGGTCGTATTAGCATTTCTAAGATAGAGGACATTTCGTTTTCGAAGAAAATAGAATAGGCCTTCAGAAGTCACGTTAATTCTAACGAGTAGTAGATGAAATATTAAAATATCATGAACGTTATACAGGTGGACGAGAATATGCAACGTGCACAGAGGCGTGGCGCATGTTTGAACCAGAAGTTCTGGTGGCGGCGAGACGTCGGCGCACCAAGAGATGTCGCTCCGCAAGCCACTGACAACACCGACCAATACGAGGAGATGACCATCAACGAGATAGTCAACGGAAAAGTGAGACCTTTAGCTTTGCGTACGCACCCACTTCGTGTGCGGTACGATCAGACAATTCTGTATACTGGCCGCTCCCTTTGTACATTTTCGCTTGTTAACAATAATGGATGGATTAACTTTGGGTTTTTTTTATAGTATTCTCAGATATATTATATAACATAATATATTAATATATATTTAAAAAAGTATATTTTTTGGTACAATGACGATTTACTATTGACATATTGTGAAAATTTGGGTAAAAAACTATCTTTGGTATGATTCAATTTGAATGTGATTAAAGGTAAGAAAAATAAGGCAGAACAAGGTCTGCGGCGACAGCTATTATTGAATATAAAAAATATTAAAGTAAATAATAACATACGCCTTCCGAAACTTGGAAGTTTGGAGTAGCTCGAGGTAATAATTTTTTGGTCACCCATCCTGTGACCGACCCTTTCGAAAGTTGCTTAAAAATAACACTACGCCACTGAAGCTGCTCTAGTGTTGGCTAATATATATTTATTTAATAATATCTTGCCAATTTATAAGATATGAACGCACATTAAGTTGCCACAAAATATCAATTTGCACAAACGATTTTGAACGTAAAGGTTAATGGAGTAAGTTTTAATATCGATTTGTTAGTTTTGTAATATCATGATGAATATATGATTTAAAAAAAGCGGCCTTATAAGTTCTGTGCAGTTCTCTGAAGTTTCATTAATCCTAATTCCATAGAACGAATAAAATATTTCTTCCGTGAGATATGCTGTGACTCTTGACGTTTCTTATTTATTATTTTGTACACAGGACACTACATTCCCTGGTCTAGTGCCATTGATAGAGTCCTACTTATCCGGTATGGACGTGGACGCTGATACGCACTGCTCAGTGCAGCAGTACCTGAAACTGATACAGAAGCGCGCCTCAGGAGAAATCGTCACTATGGCTTCCTGGATGCGAAACTTTGTGACCACTCATCCGGAATACAAGTGAGCCATTTTATTTATTAAAGATACTATTGTTGGGCACTTGGTGACATTAGCAATTTTTTATTTATTAAGATAGGCCGCTGAACTAGCAATTTCGCAAAAGAATATTGTTTATCAAAAGAGGAATTAATATGGCAGAATGTTCCGAAACTTATTTTGCATTACACACATAGCGTTGTCCTTTTTTGACGAATACTTATGAAGCATAAACATTATTTTGCAGAATTATTGATGGGCCGAATGTTTGTATCTACCTAAATCGTATCTTTAAAAAATAAATTATATGAGATGTATGTATGAAATGATTCTGACTGTGAATATTCCGAAGTGATGGCTCTACTTTGTAATTATTTTGCATATCAAATTTAAATAAAAGGTAATTATTTCTGGAAAAAAATATGGATTTCGAATGCACGCCCAACGATTTTCTGCGATAGTTTTTTCTATAAATTTTGTCATAAAGAGTGGACCTGTAAACCCACGTAAATGTATATCTTTTTATACAGAAAAGATTCCGTCGTCACCGAAAAAATAAACTACGATCTTCTAAAGACTGCACACGGAATCCAGACTGGTGCTGTGGCGGCGCCAACGTTACTTGGAGGAAGCAATGTCTCCAAAACCAACGAAGATATACCCAAGGCTTTCACAAAAATGCTCAGTAAGGAGTGTCCGTAACCGTCTATGCTGACCTTACCAGTGATCGTGCCTTCTTTTTTTAGTATACCATTCGTTAAAACATCGAAACAGTTACAGTAGGCTGACTATATATATTTTACTTTTCTAGATTATCACCTCTTTAGGAACTTATGAAAAGTAAACAGGTCGTGATGTAACAGACTGTTCTCGAACGTCAACTTCTTTCGTTAACAAGCAGTTGTTTAAAAACATTCCCGATTTATTTCTGTTTGATGTTATTTTTCTTTTAAAGAATCCTAGGACAGTTGTGATTGATAACATAGATTAGGCCCAGCAGCTGGTTTCAGCCCGGGGCTTTCGAGGGTGCCAAAATCATGATATAGTATAAAATCACATTAAAAAAATGTAACCCTTCATTATCTTACACGAAAAAGCAGTCCATTATATTATGTGTGTCATGTTTACCAATATGCCTCATGCGCTGTAGAGGGCGCCGCTATCGAACGAATTTTTGTTCGAAAACCCAGGGCTGGCTTTTTCTATCAAACAATCATACTTATATGGTCTTGTCATACATATTTTGTTTGCAACCAATGCGGATGAATCATAGTGAAGAGTAATTATGCGATATATCAACTCTTTAAAAATATCCACGCTTTTGATATCCACATCAGGGATGTTGTGGATGCATATTTTGTCATATCTGCGGATGCGGATTTGTACAAAAAATGTAAGTGTAGGTAGGGCCATCTCTTTATTTAATAATAAACTAGTGAGTGAATTATTTTTACTAATTAACTATTTTAGTACTTAAATTAGAATATTGGATTATTATATTTAATGAAAAGTCGAATGGCCGCCTCTTTAGGACTCCAGTCTGTTTCGCAAGGGTTTGTATATTAATCTTGCGTTACTAAATAATTGTTCACTTCGAACACTGGCTGGTGGTGGAGCTGATAAGAATTTGCGTGCTATTAATAACACTCCACCATTTAAGAGAACTCATTTAAATTTATTCGCTTCTTATTGCGGAAAGTAAGTAACTCCTTCTTGAGAATTACGTCAGGGTTGACAATTTCTGGTGTTTCATGACTCATGTACACTTTATGAACCGAGCATCATGGCAAGATCACTCTAAACAGGACTGACGTCTTGTACCTTAGGTCCGTGGTCGTTCCGTATGTTTCCATGAAATCTGTCATTCTTATTTTCTTTACTCTTTCGATACTTGAATGTCGACAGGGACGCCACGCCTATGGGACTTTGAAACAGACTAGACTCTTACCGCACAGTAAACAGTCTTATGTACGCGAATTTTTTGACACTCCGCAGTGAGTAACCGACCAAGCACTATTCAAATACATACTTCACGACAATAGTTGTTATTCGGTTCAAAAGTCTATGCCAAAAGTACTTAGTATTTAGTCGTATCGTTCCATCCCTATGCTTTCCTAACGGTCAATCAGCGCCTGCCCCTTCTGTCTTATCGCTCCCTGCTACACATCCGCATCCTTATCAGCTCATCGATCTATGCGGATGCGGATGTCTAAATTGATGCGGATGCACATATTCGCAACATCCCTAATCCACATAACACGGTCGCCGCTAGTTTATTATTATGTCCCTCCATCTTTACATTAAAACCAGGAATAAAGACCCATTACGAGAATAAAGTCGCGGTAAGCGGACAATGTGCTCTCCGCGTTATAGCATTATTTACTCAGAAATAAGGTCTACAATCAATTTAGTTGAAAATATTTCACTATTCTCGTACACATATACTATTTTAATTATGCGCTTCGGCTATATTTGTCAAGCTTCGGCAACCCTAATGTATCTTAAAGATAGGGCAGCCCATTTTAAAAATAAAAGTATACTGTGTTTCTTGCCATCAGCTGATACTAAAATGAAAACCCCAGATTAAAGAAAATCGAATTAAGATAAATCGGTTGTACTAAGTAAATAAGTTTCTGATACCAGTAAGTAGAACAGTTTTTTTAATAAAACAACATTCATCAATTAATATAAATTTATCAATTAATCACAATTTGATATGACTTCTATACCCGACATTTAAGACTCAGAATCATTACTGTCTCTGCTGGAACTAATGTTTTAGTACCTATATTCAAATAAGTTAATTTGGCGTATTACAGCTCTATACAATTCTTAATACTGAAATATTGCGTGCTGTCACTTCCATCACAGTCGAGGTACTGACGAGTTTAGGCAGCTAAAACGACGATCACACATTGGTTTCTTGATCGGTTAAGTTTGTAAACACGAAATATACCGAGGCGCATAATTTAAATAGTATATGTGTATCATATTATGATTCCCCTGGTCACGTGCATTACTTATGGTAAACGAGACGTTCATTTTGTGTGTAAATTTTATGATAAATACGAGGACCAAGAGAACGGCAAAAATGTGATGTAAGTTTTGTGAATGAGTGAGTGAACCTCGCGTGCACTTTTGTCAGACTTGTTGAATCGCCTTATTTGTATAGAATACTTTTATATAAAATATCAACGTATGTTGTTGTTGACATGTTAATCTGTATAACGGATACCTATCAATGAATTTAGCCTTTATATTAAATTGTTAGTTTATAAAGTGATCGCGTAATAGCAACAGTTGTTTTATAAGAAAAAATAAATGATATGATGTTAAAAAAGCTGTTAGAAATTGGGACTACCCATTTATATAGATTATTTTAATTTTTTCCTTTGTTAAATATTGTTATTACCGAAGTATGTAGGTACTATTAATTTTATAGGTATTTAGTAATTAGTGATGTATTATTTGTTAATTTTAATTCCACCACAATGGCACAAGTAGTGACGCGTGATGTTGAATTGTCTGCTCATATAAGCGACACGATCTTTATTAGTTCATGTAGTGCCATAATTATCACAAAATATTGCTTTCCGCGTGCGTTAAAACGCATTCAGCTTCTGCTAGCAAGAACACTCATATTAATTTATATAACTGCCACTTTTCTGTTTTGGAGGAGAAAAATAGATATCAGCTTGACATTAATTTTGATATAATCTAACAGAGTCGCTCTCACTGCTTGTGCAACTGATATTTTGCACTGTATGTTCCTGATAGTTGTTTATCATAGATCGGTTGTGACTAATGTGATGTGTGCATTGTAGTTTGCGGTTATTAGATGATATGGTATCATTGTCGCCGTCATATTTCCGTTTTTGGACCACGTATTGTTTATAATGTAAATTATTAATCTAATTTAAAATGTCCATTGTTACTTGACAGTCACAAATTATTGAATGAAAACAAGTGATTAAAGTAATATTTTCATTATTAGAATAATGATCAATTATTATAATAGTTTTGATTGTCAAAACTGCCCGGTGTGCAATCACTAGTAGTTTACCCTATGTCAGGTGTCGGCAACCTGCGGCTCTGTCGAAGTAAAGTTGCGGCTGTTAAGTTCCATTGATATAACTACTATGGTTGAGAAAGATCTTCTAAGGCGATTATTTTAAATAAAATCTGAAATAGAAAATTTATTAATATTAAAACGAAATCTTTCTGTTGCTCATTCAAACTGCATTTTGTACATTGTATTTTTACTCTTCTGAGGTTGCCGATTCCTACCCTATGTTGTTGTAACTGTATTACAACTATATTTGTTTGTAATGTTATTAGAATATTATTACATTAGCAGCGATTTGTTATTGAAAACTATGAATATTAAGACTTGTACATTATATTATTTAACTCATCAAACCTTCGAAAAAGTACACAACAGGGTTGTTGCTGATGCGGATTTTTACTATATCACCGGGTGCTGATATTAATGAATGACTATTACCTATTATTAATTATTACGCCACGGATCGAAATGTCACGTGACTGGTTATTTACGCGTGACAGTTTAAATCGATATACTTAAATAAAAATTATTATTGTATAAAAAGTTTTTTTTTCTTTATTTAGTTTATTAACTATTAATTAAAATTGGTAAACAATGTTGTTTAATATATTTGTCCAAACATAGATTTTATTTAAGTGCTCTCCAAATTCAATTGATTTTATATAATACTTTATATTTATTAACTACGACTATAAGGCCCTGTCAGTTGTGCTCGTTCTTGATTTCAACGAATGCGTTACGATACGACTTGAATGTCAGTATAAATTGTTGCTGATGCGTATGCTGATATTAAAACTATACGATATATTATAGGTATGTATATCTATAACGATTAATTATATGTAGGTATGTACCAACCTATGTCCTACAGACTTTGAAACTTGTATTTATTATTGTTAAATATATGTATTATTTTGGTAATGACATGATTTATGTAAATGTCATTATTTATGATAAAAAATGGTAAGTTTCTTTCGCTTGTTCTTCTTGTCAGCTAAAAGACGTCCTGAACAAGTGGTAGGGGAAAAAATATTTTTGGACGATTCAAAAGTGCTTGTAACAAGCTTACTTGAATAAAAACATTTTCATTTCATTTCAAAACCAATTCCGATATTCGCAACAATCCTGGTACACAAATAGACTTAACTTTTAGTTGGAAGTAATCACCTGAAATGTATATAAATAATAATAATGAAATATGAATTTGATTTGTGAATAGATTGCATTATGAAATTATATCGTTGAAGCCCCAGTCGAATAGTTGTATAAACCTATAAGTACTTATCGCTGCGTTACTACCATATTGAATTTCAATTGTATGAATATCACAGGTAATAAAATAAAGGCACAAATTAAGTACATGCTTCTTTTACTCATTTGGATAACTCATATATTGTAAGGAAGTTTGTTTATCATCATCAGCTCTTTACGTCCCCACTGCAGGGGCTCAGGCCTTCCTTATGGATGTTAAAGGAGGATGGGCCATGACCCTCCACGCTGGCCTAATGCGGATTGTAGGGTATTAACGACTGCAAATGCAGCCGGGATCAACGGCTTAACGTGCCTTCCGAAACATGGAGTAGCTCGAGATAATATTTTTTGGGTCACCCAACTCGTGACCGACCCTTGCGAAAGTTGCTTAACGACAACGATCGCGGGTCGCGGCGCTTATCCACTACGCCACCGAGCTAAGTTTGTTTATATGTGGCAATAATCAGACAGAGTAAAATACATCTATTAAAGCGGTGTATGTATATAAATGTATTTATACGTACTACATTCAAGAGGCGCTAGAGGTCGGTACGAATCTAACGGAAGGTCCGTCAAGCTTATTACGGAATTACGCGTTAATACGAGATAGATACGTAGTGTGCAAATAATCTCGTATAATTTATCAATTCTGACGTAACGCTGATGTTGCATAGTCCCAGGTGCATATCTGACAAAAGATCTGTCTCATAAACTGATATTCAGTCAGATATGGACCAGTATGTGAAGCATGACGAACTCGAGGGCGTTTCGTCTACATCCAAATGTCACTTTTCTCGAGTACGGCCATATGATATCTTTACTCTATCTCATTGACCCGAGAAAGTGACATTTGGGTGTAAGCAAAACGTTTCTCGAGTTTGTCATGTTACACGTGCATGGGCCGCAACCATAGTAAAACCAAAAAAAGTGCGCCGACTAGAAACCTGAGCGAGTGATAATAGCGTAATCACGTAATTCTGTCGCTTCTATCCTCCATTCATTATAGCATTAGACAGAAGTTAAATAAGGTTCTCTTTATGGCATTCTTTGTGACAAAATATGAACAATCATGTCACTCTTAAGACTGACGGCTTATTTGCTACATATCCACTTAAATACCAGCTATACTTAACAGTTGTCGTTTAAGTTGTCTGTTAAACAAAATTATGAGTATTTGACTAACTTAAAAGATTTAATAACTCTTAAAATAAATAGTGTTCATCTTAAATAGATATTTTTAAAATGTATCCATATTATAGATATTTTTAAAATTTATCTTAAAAATAAAATGTTCTGCACTGTTGCTTCTGTGATCCTCTTTTTTCTAATGTTATAATGAATGGAGTATAGGTTATGCAATCGTCAGAAATGCATAGTCAAGCGGCGCAGGGTATGCGCGGGCACGGCAAAACTACGACTGACAAGTTGCCAATCGTACTTTGAGCACCTTTAACATCGATCAAATGTAAGTTTGTGCGTGGGACGGCGTATACGAACGGGCGCGCTCATATATAAACCATTTCGGTGCGTATGTTGAAGTCCACGTACTCTTTGGTTTGGTTTGGTTTTGCTATTATATCGCGCGGTGTGATCAGACTAGTGTTGTCAGTTGTTTGTTTGATACGGTAATTGTATTTAATATTCCTCAAGTTATTGCACACGCCCCCAGTTCATCTTTAACTATCTATTGTTTTTCTTTATCATCACCAGAGATTGCTGTATAGCAATAAGGCCGCCATTTCTATACCGTCCTTAATATTGCTTTCTTTGTAATGTGTCCAAGTTTTTTGTGCAATAAATAATATTCTTTATTATTATCATTATATGTTTGGATAGGGTGGTTCAAAATGACAGGAATCCAAAGCTGTACAACATATATTGCTCAAAGTTCGACCAAATATCGACGCCAATAATATGACTAGACCATTTGCGATAACTACAAAATTACGTCGATACACGTAAATGCGGCCCCAGCATAACACACTGACGACCGGAGCAGAATGCTTGTCGATTAAGGAACCTTGTGACAGCTTTAAAATCTTTAGAAATGCATAACAGATAAATCTCAATTATTATATTTTTTAATGGTGTTATTTACACTAATAAACTTTAAAATAAGACCTAACCTTCTACCCTAACCTAATAACAAAAAATTAACTTATTAACGAGGCAAGGCTAAGTTTGAAATAAAAACGAAAAAGATGAAGTTCGGGTTTTTTTTTTATTTAAGTGTATTGGGATCGAATTTGTACATTGAAACAGTGGCGCTAAAATTTGTCTACCAACTGCAGAATATGTTGTTGTTCCTGCTGCCGCCATTCTTCACTGCCCGCGTCACCCAAGTTGCCTGCATACTCTGTGAACGTAAATATGAATCCGTGTTTACTAATATTATTAAAGAGGTTATATTAAAAACTTTGTTTTTAGAGGGTAATCACCGAAAATACTGATTAGATCATAAAAATTATTTCATCTACGGAAAGTTACATCACACGCGGGTGCTATGCGGGAAAAGTTGCGGGAAAAAAACTAGTTCGTTATACATTTTTGATTACTATTTCCATTGTTCTACTAGCGCTCTGTCATTTTTTTCGACGTTTCTAGAGACTTCCAGAAGAAGCCAGGCCTCCAGCAGACAACTTGCTTATCCCGGCACTGCATTTAAATAATGGAAATTGCATATGCGTTAAATTATTCGACTTCCGATGCAGACACACCTATTAGATTTGATCAATTTTGCATTCACAATGCTATATATTGGAAAATATTCTTAATGAAAATTGCTTATACGCTAGTTAGTAGCGAAAAGCAAAAAAGTACTTGAAAAATTCGTCAGTCAATTCGTCAGTTGAAAAATTCCTGTTTAGTTCTGGGTAGCACAGTGGTTAGAGCAGTCGCGCTAATTGCAAAAGGTCGTGGATTCTAGTCCCATATCAACTCGGGATAAGTAAGTAATTTTTTAAGCATTTTTCATTCAGACATTATTACTATTATTATTACATAAATATTTTGTTATTGAATACTAATAACTTTATTTGGATATAATTTAGAAGTTTAAATCGAACTGACCTCTCATCACATGCCGTATAATCTTAAGTGAACCGCCTCGGAGAGATAACACTCTCTGCACACGTTGTTTGATAGTCGGCGGGCCTGCGATGCAAACCTGCGGATTTCATATAGATATAACAATTTTCATCACAAGAAGCGAATATCAAATATGTAGCTACAAATTCATACATGAAAATGGTATAAAAATACCCGTAATTAAAAAAAATATTTTTATAATATTTTTTCGAAGGCATCTAATGTATTCACATCAAAGCAGATGTTTTACCTAAAAAACTAAGTGCATTTCCCAATACTGAACTGAAACTGACCTCAAGAATGATCCTGTCGATGAGTTGCAACGTGAACAAACCACCTGATAGGCGCTTCAGATATTGGGCGTCGTCATCTAAATCCTCCTGTTCTTGCTATAACAACATCAATAAATAAATACTAGGAAACTAATCAAAATTAGAAACTTGAATATTAGAGTATATACTTATGTATGAAATAATGTGTATAACCATGGTGTAATAACCATTAAAAAAAACAACAAAAAATGCAATAGTGCTACGTTTTCTAATTTAAAGCTATAATAAAATGCACTAAGACATAAAACACATAAAAATGAGTGTAGTGTCACTGCGCTCTTATAAAATATTAAGTTAAATCTTCAAAAAGGAGTTCATTTTGACGAAAAATGCAAAAGTTGCAAGCTTTGGTCTTTTAGATGACGAACAAGTCTTTAAATAGGATGAATATTATTAATAAAATCTTAAACCACATGTGTCCTGAAATATCTTAATTAGTTAACGTAAGTACTCTAGGAACATGACAAATAATATATTGTTTATGAACCTCGGAGTTTTTTTGTGTACTAATTTGCGCACTGAGTACAATTTTTTCCTGTAATAGTAACACAACCAATCAAAGTTTTCGTATGGAAATAGAAAAAAATGTAGTAGCGATACTAGTATTACGTGTTTTTGTAAGAATGAAATAAATATACTAATTTTGTAATGAGGGAAAGGGATGGGTTTCAAGAACATCAAAGCGTGCTTATTATTATAAAGTGACCTTTAATTGTTGACTATAACTTGAACTATGCGATATAAAAATACAAATAAAATCTATATTACTGGTGTAAAGTTATCCCGTTTTTCTTTCATGCGGCATCTATCGGAGGTTATCTGTGTACTAGGTTAACCTTTGCCAAGTGTCTGTTTAATAATATGAATTTTGATTAATAATAAATGCAGTCACAGCGTAAATTAACTCAAATGGTAAACCTTGTTTATCAATAACATTGTTAATGTTCATAAAGTATTAAATTTAAAAAATAATAGTGTGTGTAATAGCCATTTAGCAACTTGTATCATACACAAAAACTTACCTCCATTTCTTTTTCGGTTCTGTCCACCTTGTCCATGTACTTGAAGTGTAACTCGAGGAGTCTGTCTACTTTCTCTAGATCATTTTCGGTGAACTTGGCCAGTAATCTCTGGCGCTGACTGCCTTGGCAATTGCGCAACATCGAAGCAATGATCGATACAACGTGCTCTATAAATTTATCGATATTAATTACTCACTTGTGCACTCGTCTTAATTTTCATTAAAAACAATATACTTCATTGTTTGAAATAAATAAATTTTATTTTAATTTTACCAGTCACAGGAAAAAACATTAAAATAACGTCTTAAAATTAAATTTAAACTATTTTTAAACCCTGGTCCACCATATTAATGACCTCAAGTCGATATGTAAACAAAATGGACGCATCAAACAAAAGCAGTAACATTTAACGATCCGCTTCGAATAAAAACATAAGAATAATGCGATCGATAATACAAAAGTACAAAAAGTGGTCTGACATATGCAGATATATATTTGCCATTATGGCGTCATACCACGTCGGGTCGGGTCTCAGGTCATGTGATACACAAATTCAAAAGCTCTACTTTTTATTTAATTAGGTAATCATGTGATTTTGATTTCAAATCATAATATCCGTTAATTTCAATGTAAATTATATTTTTTGTCGAATTACATGATTTATTTTACGCTACCGATACTATTGGGTATTTAAATCAAGAATCAGTTTTGCGAGTGGGTTATAAATACTCATAGAAATTATTGATTTACCTTCGTGTTGATCCACAGTTAACAATCTTTTTCTCTTTGGCGTTTTCATGAACAGAGGAAATACAGTACGTAGCCCCAGGATATCAACGAATTTGTTACAATTGTCTTTGCCGTCGGGCCCGGCCAATGCGTGATCGAGCACTTTCAGCGATCCGTTCCGTGACATTTTCTTCTCCCTAGAATGAAATAGGTACAATGACAATCTCATACGATACCTACTTCGCAATGTTAAGAATTCTTTTATCAAATAATCTCATAGAACAAAAGCTATTTTCAATTAATGTTAAATATGGAACTGTACTATTTTTCTTAGTACTTGTACAAATTAACATGACACCTGAAGGCCTATTTTATTTCATCGGATACGAAATTTCGTATATTTTCGAAACGCTAATACGTCCTGAAAAAAAAACGAAATTTTTCAATAATTTATGACGCAATTAATACTACTTCGAACACAGAGATAATCTTCACAGATATAATTTTAACAAAATTATAAGAACGATTCGAAATTTTCCGTAAGTTTGTTCGAGGACAATTTTAGAACAGGCGCTTAGTTGTCATTTATATTAATTGAAATGAGTTATTAAAAATAATATATATGAATACAGAATTTTATGAATCATGTTCCTCTGCCACGGCCTAGGTGATGCCAGAAGCCATAAAAACCGGCGATAATGTATGCAAAAATTAATGAAAGTGGGTGAGGAGAAAGATGTATGTAAGGACTGTATATTGTATGATTCGGTACTCTCTACCTACCCCGCCAGGGTTACGACGTGAATATATACATTCCTCTACCTCCGGTGAACTAAAATGGTCAAACAGAAGATTATATCTTTTTATGAATTCTTGAAAACTCTCCTACGTTTTGATGCGGATAAGAAACAAGTGTTAAGCTATTAGCCGATATAAAGGGAAACTTGAAGGGGTCTAAACTAATAATTGTGCGACCTGAGCATCAAATTCATGAGTTGCAGCCCCTCACCGCGCAGGAATCTGTCGCGGTTGGCGGGCTCCATCAGCGCGCAGCACAACGCATCGAACATGTTCTCCATCGCCTCCTGTTCCTCCGCGCCACTCGGGTCGTGCCGCTTGTAGAACTGTATCACACATAATAAAACACGAATTTAAAACAGTCTCTGCTAAAATAGCGTATTCTAATCAGTTTGAAATTATACTTTTAACCGTTTAATTTTTAAAAAACCATAAAACAAATATTTCGGCATAAATAAAAACGTTTTCTTGCCTTAAATTTAAATCAAAATGTATACCCGCGAAAACGTTGTCCGTCATATTCATGACGTCATTGTGATATATAAAACAGATGCCTAGAGAAGAAGATTAAATGATGTCAATAAGCTAAGAATAGCGCCATCTAGGAATTTGATTTATCGCTATTTATTTGATATATTGAGTCGCCACAGTGACGTCACACAATGGCAGGTCGTGTTTCAAGTCACTTGACCATAGACAGTAAATCACGACTTTAATTTATGATAATCGTGCAATTTTAAGATTAAAAATCTGAATCTCTTTGTTTATTATGCTGCAAATTTTAGTTTTTCTGTAATTTTGTGACTTATTTTTTACTACCGAAACTACCTTATTTCTAAATATGTATATCCAACTACTTTTTTAAATTCTTTAAATTTTAGGGGTAGGGATTTTCATTCTTTAGAATATTTTATGCATGATTAATCATCTATAGTTGCAGCCACTAGACAGCTCCAGTATTATAAAATGATGCAAAAAATAAACAAGATTATGACTTCTTACATTATTATCAATATAATTTAAGTAATAGGGAAAAATCTGATTTATATTGATATCTTGCCATCGGAGAAACGGAATTTTTAAAACTCTCTAAAGTAAATGAAGAATACTTTAAAGTAATTAAAACTAAACGTATACTTTTGTCACACACATGTCATCTTAAAAATGTAATTCCACTCTCGTATGCTATGATTAAATTACTTCTGTTATTTTAATTGTTTGCAAAATGTAGAAAAAACTAAAGGAGAATGGGCAGAAGTCGTCTAAAATTACGCAAAATTGCGTACTAAGCATTGTTTTATCAAAAATTTTCTCTTTAATTATAATTTATTCTACACAAATAGTATTTTAAAATTACGCGGCATTTCAAATTAACTCAATTGAAGCAATTGCTTAAGAGCCATATTACATCGCAACTGTGATTTCTGCGTGATTTTTCTCGGAAACAAAAACAAATTAACAATTTTGACTTGTTGAATAGTGAAGAATAACTCTTGGTATAGAAATTAGTGGCTCAACTTTTTGGAAATTTTGCTCATCTTTTTATTTAAATCCAAAATACCAGAGAAAGATTTTCATAAAATGCGCAAAGACACTTTTTTGAAGTCCTGGATTGAGCTACTGTTCTTAATAAACGAAATAAAAAAAATAGAATGATATCTCTTATATAGTCGTAAAGTAAACAGTAGCTCGAAATTTTGAAATAGCACTGATTAAATATAGAAAAACAATTATATTACAAACCAAAAAACATCAAAAATTGCTTGAAGTTAACTTTGAATTTCTCTTAGCCACAACAATATTATTTAACAAAATTTATGCCAGATTAATGACTATTTCATAAGGAACAAAGTTATTATAATTTTAAAGCATAAAGGACCCCGCCCTTGCCTTATGGAAATTGGCTTTCTGTCAAATCGGATGAAACTATGATGAATGGATAGAGGAAGTCTTCCTGAGTAAAAGTCCTCATGGGCACTAAGCCCGAAAATCGAAACTTTTAGTACTTTTGGGCATTCGAAGTTTTTGATTTTGGATTCTAGCAAAATCAATAAATCCTTGTAGAATCGGCCCAAAGTTCAATTAGACATAAAAGAAAAAATACGTATCGAATATTTTTTCAAGACCTTTCGAACGACACCCTATTTGACCCCCCCCCCCACTCCCCCACCTACGGGGGTGGAAGGGGAGCGGTTTTTTGCGAAAAAGTTCTTTTAAAAAAAGAAACAAAACAAACAAAAGAAACAAAAGTACTAAAAGTTTCGATTTTCGGGCTTAGTGCCCATGAGGACTTTTACTCAGGAAGACTTCCTCTATCCATTCATCATAGTTTCATCCGATTTGACAGAAAGCCAATTTCCATAAGGCAAGGGCGGGGTCCTTTATTATATTATTTCAATAAATACGATAAATGTAAACGCAAAATCACTACAAAATAAGATGCAGCGGCCGTCTGAGCTCAGTACCGCGCGAGCGCTCCTCAACGTTAGACCTGTGTCGCATTTCTTCGCGCCATTTTTCGATCTAGATACGTTCGAGCGAGCGTAAATAGAGCAGTATAGTGGGACTCCCAACTTTGGTCACGAAGTTCGATTTATATGGAATTTATATAGCTTATTGAATTATTTCTAATACACATTTGTTATTTTCAGCATAGGTCGAAAGACCCCTAGGTATATTTGTATAAGAAAGTTAAAATATATATTTATATTATGAAATGCAAATAAAGCAAGGTACTTCTTCTCTCAATACACTTATAGTACATAAAATTGGAGTGCATATTTGTAATATTAAAATAACCGCTTTTCACTAAATACATTTGTGTCTATACATGGTACATATACAAAAATAATATATTTTATCTGTCTGTCTGTTAGTTCTGGCTAATCTCTGAAACGGCTTGGCCGATTTTGAAGAGACTTTCACTAGAAGTTGACTTACGTAATGAGGATTAACTTACACTTATGGCTCGATGCAATTCGACCGATATCAAATTTATCAGAGATCCGCATATGAAACAACTTTTTCTAAATTCAATATATTTTTAATCCCGGACGCAAAAACGACGCGGTGTTATAAGTTTGACATGTCTGTGTGTGTGTGTGTGTGTTGTGTTTGTGTCTTTTTGTGGCATCATAGTTCCCGAACGGATGAACCCATTTTGATTTTGTTTAAAAGGTGTATTAGTCGGGAGTGTTCTTCACTTTGATGAAAATCGATACAAGATGGCCGCCGCCACAAAATGTCGGATCACATATTTTATCACAATTTCATCAATATGGGTATCAAATAAGAGGGCTTGAGTAGTAGAATACTGAACACTATGACAAATTTCAAATCCAAGATGGCCGCCACCAAAAATGTTGGATTACCTACATATTTTTCACGACTCCCTCAATACGGACATTAAATAAAAGGGCTTGAGTAGTAGAATACTGTTTACTATGACAAAATTTTATATACAAGATGGCCGCCGCCACAAAATGTTGGATTATCTATTTATTTTGTACACACATACAATTTCATATGAACAAATGTAACAGACATTAGTACAAGGGCACTGCTTATTTCAAATTGAAATTTCTACCAGCAGGCCCAAAACAGGAAAAAGAAATACAATAAGGTAGTCAGTGTGTACCTCCTAAATAAATTAATATGGAATAAAAAAACAAATTCAAATACCGGGAAAGAGAGAAAATTAAAATACATAACGGTTCAAACATTATATAAATAATAATATATATATCTATAATATATAAAGATTAATAATACCTACACTATCCAATATCAACAACAGGAAAGATAATGATCCTTTACTCTTTTTTTGAACACAGAAATAGTGCGACTGTCACGTATATCGGCAGGCAGAGTTCCAGAGTCTAGCAGCATGAACAGTGAAGGAATATGAAGCAAAATCCGTTTTGTGTGAAGGAGTTTGAAGACTTAAGGTGGGATCTGCAAAGAGCATCAGGAGAACGGAGAAAGGAGAAACGCTCACGTAGATAGCAAGGATAGACGGGATTATACAGGATGTTGAACACTGAATCCTGACATATCTACGCTGACGAATGGGAAGCCACATGAGCTGCTTACGTAAATGTGACACATGATCATACTTACGAAGACCATAAATAAATCTAATCGCTAGATTTTGAAGTCGTTCAAGTTTGTTTAATAACTCCTCAGTGGCATCCAAGTAACATGCATCTGCATAGTCAAGAAGAGGTATAATTAAGGATTGTGCTAGTAACACGTTAGTTTTAAAAGGTAAAAAGTTTTGAAGGCATTTAAGTGTGTGAAATGAGAAGAAGGTCCTACGACTAACCTCAGATACATGGGCAGTCCATGATAGATTTGAATCCATTGTAATTCCAAGATTTTTTACAGTGTCTGTTAACTCGATCTGAGTCCCATCCAAAAGCAGGGGTGGTAAAGATAATGCAGAAATAGAATTAATATTAAACCTGCTACCTATCACAATGGCCTGAGATTTACTCGGGTTAAGCATGAGGCCAAACGATTTTGCCCAAGTACTAATGCGATCCAAATCGTTATTAATAGCTACCAGTGCCGAGTTACAGTCTTCTATTTTAAAGTGTCGATAAAGCTGCAAGTCGTCTGCATAGAGGTGGAAGTTGGAAGATATAACTTTAGTAACCGAGTTAATGAAAATAGAAAATAAGAGAGGTGAGAGAACAGCACCCTGAGGAACACCCGCACCGAGGTCGCACCAATCAGAAGATTTATTACCAAGACGCACACGTTGCGTGCGTCCCCGAAGGTAGGAATCAAACCATGAGAGAACAGAAGGAGAGATATTGCAAGAACGAAGAATAGCGAGAAGAATGTCAAAATCGACAGAATTAAAAGCACTGCTGAAGTCTAGAAGAATTAGAACTGTAAGAGCTTTATTCTCCATAGCCCAACGAATATCATCAGTAATGTTTATTAAAGCTGTTACAGTACTGTGACCAGGGCGGAAACCAGATTGGTACCTATTCAAAAGGGAATTAGAAAAAAGAAAAGTTGATAATTGCTTATGAACAATATGCTCAAGAAGTTTAGAGAGAAGGGGAAGAATAGAAATAGGACGAAAATGAGATGGGACTGAAGGATTAGATACTTTAGGCAGTGGAATAATGTGCGCCATCTTCCAAATTTTGGGAAAAGAACCGGATTCAAGTGAGAAGTTAAGTATGTGAACAAGTATTGGAAGGAGAAAAGATAAAATAGGGGTAAACATTCTTACGCTTAGGTTGTCCTCGCCAGCAGCCTCGGAAGAAATGGCTTGAATGGTATTTTTAATGTCAGTTTCGGATATTTTTAAAAAGACAAAAGATGTGCAGTCTGGCCTCGGAACCAGTGAAAGTTCTGCGAGCGTAGAATCCTTTATGTCACCATCGATAGTAGAAGGAGGAAGGGAGAAGTGTCTGTTAAGGACGCTTAAATCTACATTGGTAGACACAGTAGCAGTAGATTTCCCCACTCCTACAGAGCGCAAAAACCGCCAGGCATCAGTAGGATTGCGATCAGTAAGAGAAGCGTCACTTAGCATCCCTACACATACGACTGCAGCAATTTCGAAGAACCTTAAAACGAATAAGATTGCGGTTAGTTGGACGTTTCTTATATGCTCTTTTTGCCTTATCTCTTTTTTGACCACCAAAAAAATTGACCACCCATCCAATTGCCGGCCTTTGCAATCGTCGCTTAACCTCCTCAATCGCAGATCAAACGAGCTATCCGGCACCATCGAGCTTTTCATTTGTTTATATACGGATATTGTCGTATTTTTTTGTAAAATTCAATATATTTTGATGATATGGTAAGTATGAGCAAATGAATCGTTCCTCGATATTATTGAACAGAAAATCAAAAGCAGATCGAGCGTTCTACCACCTTCATACATTTGAAGTGATACCGCAGACCATGAGATTTGTGACCGATATTGACAGATAGTACAATCTCATGAGCAAACACTTGAGTTTTTCCATACATTTTATAAGTGCATGCGATTCGTGTGATATCGTTCATTGATATCGAATAACATCGCATCTAGCCATGAGAAAAGAACCATAGGTTACTTTCCATTCGCATAAAGCCGCGGGCACAACTAGTTTAATATAATTCTAATTTACTACTTTTCCAAACAGGAAACAGTCCATGTTTCCTATGGATGACGAAAATATTTCGAAATCGTCGACGAAAAATATGGCACGAATATTTTTTAATTAATATTTATAATTTTATTGATATATTGTCATCGCTATTTATATTTATAGCCTATGATTTGGCTAAACTTGTTTCTTTTAATTTTTGTCCGATCTTAGCAGTCGTGTTTTGAATTTTTAAATAATTTTTATATTTTATTCATTTTAGTGAGCAGTTAATTTTGTATACAGATTATATATTTTTAATGGACCTTTAATTTGATACCCATAAAGTTATGATTATAAAAAAACATACTTTTTTAAATGGCGTCACACGTCCCCATACCTATTTAATATTAATAATTAAGCTAGTTTCACTGATACTCTATGTATTTTGTGGTAACTTAGGATGATGTTTCTAATGATACCCTGTACATTCATATCCGTTATATCTTTCAAAAGTTATGGTGCAATAAAAATACTCACATACATACATTAATTCTAAAAACAATAGACTCCTTTTCGAGAGCAGTCGTTTAAAATATTCGGGAATCGATAATGAATCTCACCATAGAAATACCAAAATAAATACAAAAATTGGGAAAAGTATCAAAATAGCTTGAACGTGGTTTCAACACAGTATTGTGGACTCGTGACCTTGAACAAGTTCTCGAGAACTCAAATCACAGAGTGAAAATTTGTCATATGGCTCTTAATATAACTACGACTACCTACTAAGTTTCAAGTTATTAATCGACTTGACGTGCGAACTTCCTGCCACTAATTTTACAAAATAAAGTATTTTAACATTGATAATGTTGGTCAGGTATTATATTGGTCATTTTTTTTTTTAAATCGGCCCAGTTGTTTTTGAGTTTATTCTTTACAATAAAAAAGCAAAGCATTCGTTTTTATGACATAGGTATGTACTTTTTCACAGTCAAATGTTTCTATCTGTTAGTCATCAATTATTTGAAATAAATAATTCATTTTATTGCTCTTATATACGTAGATATTATAACGACATAACCTCAATATCCTTGTTAAATATTCAGATATTCTCCAACTCCGGCATAAATTTAATAATAATTCTCTATCATTTGCTGTTAGTTTCAACAAGGTGCATAGTTACGCAAAAATAGCCGAACTCTCATAGTAAATTGCCCATTCTCCTTTAGTACAGTTTGTGGTATCAAAACTGCCACTGTCTAAATTTGGGATGCCCAATTGATATTTTATGAAATAAGCAAATAACTTAAAAAACACAGTCACACAAACTGATCTTTTATTTTTTATTAACCTAATTTTGGTAAAAAAATGTAAATAATAATCATATACCGCCAATTGTTGTAGAAGTACATCTATGCCATCAAGTTCACCAAGGAGCTTTCTGTTCTCTGGTGTATTTTGTAATAAAATTGAGAGAATTTCTGTTGCATACAATTTATTACCATCAAAAGGAATCTTCAACTGAAAAAGAAAATTATATTGATAGTTTAACAGTGTTTTGTTTACTATGGGTACACCACAGCAGCTTGTCAGGTTCCCACAATATGGTCCATTTCCGTAATTGATTTCAAACTCTACTAGCAATGCATTAAGTTTTCATATCAAGTGAAGAAATACATCATATGCTGGTTACATAGGCAATAATTTACAAGAGTGAAGTCGCGTGAAAACAGCTAGTTTGACATATTAGTATAACCTGATGTGCCGTTGATTGATTGTACCATAACAATAAATAATAAGTTATTACCTTCAGTCTTTTAAGTAACCACTGCAAAAATCCTTGTTTGGCCACTTCTGAACACATTTCAGGTCTGAATTCTGTAATATTCTCTATTATACCTGCAACATTTGATACTTATTTTGTACTATGATTGTTTCCAATAAAAAAGATTCACTAAAACCCATAACTTCTTCCTTTTGTGAAGACAATTAAAATGGTCAGTTATGATTTTACAACTCATTTTAAAATAAAGTCAAAGTCAAAATAATATTAATTCATATAAACTTACTAAAAGTGCATTGAAATATTAATAAATGGCCTCTTAGTCATACATAAAGTATAACTTAATATTGGATTTATCTATCTGTAATAATTAAGTAAACTTTATTACCTAATGTATTATGGACAGCATCCCTTTCATCTGGTACTTGTTCATCGAGGCGTGCCAGGTTATGAAGTAAAAGGGCTGGACATTCTGCTTCAGCTAAGGCATTGATTAACTCCTCAGCACCTTCTTCACTCTCATTTAAAATGTCCACATCAGTTAATTCCTATAACATGACAATGAAATACCATATTAATTTCAAAGGATTGATTATGGAGCCAAATATTTGTACAACTAGACCGTAATATTAAGAATTTTTTTTTTAATTAAGTTTAAAGAATCTAAATAAAAAAAAATTATAATAATAGTTTAGTAACATTTTTTTTGTCATACCAAAACAGAATATGTTTTTATACAAAATATAATAAACTTACAAATTAGTACTTAAATTATTGTTAGCTAGGAAGAGTGAGAGATTCCTTCTATCTAAGAAATTTCAATATACCTAATCATTAATTATTTTGATATAACAATAAAATTTTCAAGATGTTTATTTCTTTATGTATATACATGTGATGCATGCATTTTTATAGTTTTTAATAAACTATTACCGATAATTACACTTTTATGCTTGTATATTTATAATACTGCTTAATTATAAAAAAAAATAATATTTTATGCTCGTTATCACGTGACTGCAAACAGCGTAATGTCACGCCCTTCTTACTCATATCAGAACTTGGAAAATTCAACCTTATGCATATATAGACGACTTTCATGGGAAATTTTGCAAATTAAATTTACTTTTAATAATGTTCCAGGAAAAATGTAGTCATTAATCATTACGTACCTGAAGAACATGTACAACTTTGGTAGATATATCTGTATTATCATGTGACAAAAGCTCCAATAGGGAATTAATGCATTTGAGTTCAACTAACAGTGGATATTGGTCAGGGACAGTTGCCACTGCACTCAGTTCCTGGAACAAATTGCAGTTATGTAAAAATTTTATAATTGTTGATAATTATAAAAAAAGTCTTTATTTTGTTATGTGCATCAGGTATTTGCCTATAATAAAATAGGGGATCCGAGAACTATCAATAAACTGTTTTAAATTAATGAATATGGAAGCTTATTAAAAAAATATATATTTTGTCAATAAGCCTCATTTGTGGGGTAAACAAAAGGGATTTACAGTGAAAAAATTGAATTATCTTAACAAAAATAAATAAATAAAACAGAAGACTGACCCTTGTAACTTTATAAAAATCCAGTAAATCATTAGAAAAATTACATGTTGAATGTTTCTTGCACTTTACCTACATATTTTTACTACCAATTTATCCATAAAGGATGTTTTGTTTGATGTAAGACACAGACTGCAAGTATTGAAAAATCATAAACTTGTTTATTGATTTAAAGATAGAAATAGTTGTTATTTAGCAAAAATATTTAGCTAATAATCTTTAAATTTTATGATCTTTTACCAACACAATATTTTTTTTATCTGATTGTTGTTGATCCCCCCTATTGTACATTAATATAATTTAAAGAAATCACATTAATGTAAATCGTCATTGTAACAATTTTTGGGGAACCAATATAATGAATAATAAAGATTAGCTACAAATAATATAGTTATGGAAAAAAAGGAAAGTAAGTTGTAATGGATTATGTTAAGATTTGTAAATTGATAATTGAACTATAATCTATAGCTTTAAATCAGATTCATAATATTCATTTTGAACACATAATACCTGCAATGCCTCATGCAAATCTATTTCACTATCCATAAATTTTTCAGGTTGATCAGGGAACTTAATTCTCATTTCCCTATTCCTAAGAGTTTTCTTTTCAAAGTTTAACACCAATTTTTTTACTGCTGTGTCATCAAGAACTTCACCCTGAAAAAATATTATAAAAATAAAAAAACTGCTTGATTAAAAACCATTAAAGGAATACAAAATCTAATATTCAAGAACACTACCTCTGTTACTTCATTCTCGACAAACCGTAAAATATCTTCTCTTTCTTTATCAGTGATAGTTGGTTCTTTAGGGAGACCCTTGCTATACTGTTGTATTAGCTGATCATGTCTGGTGTTACCAAATCGTCGCACTTTTGTTTTCCGCGATGGTTCATCATCAGAGTCCCCACTATCATCTTCATTTGGTCTTTTGGGTGTAGGAGTTGGCTAATATAGAAAAAAAAGAAAATTAATAAAGTGTCGTTTTAATTTTTGATATTGAATCAAATATGTCTTTATTTAATATATCTTGTATATCTTTATTTAATACATTTTACCTTAAAAGACAAAAGTTCTCCGACATCCATTTGTATTAGCTTAAATTAGTATATTCACTGTATATTTATTGTTCCAATAATAAACTATTCACGTGAAATAAAGTCGAAATCATAACACCAGCATAGCGTTCCAAATGTCAACGGGTGACAGTTTTTATTTTTTATTCATTTTTTTTCGGAACAGATTAAGGTCATAGGCCATGCTGCTTTGCCATCGGTTTCAGTTACCCACCCATAGGGTTCGAACGATACTTTCGATACCGAGTAGGTATCGATACTTTCATAAGCGAAACTCGATACTACAAAAAGGTAAATACTCGCAAGTACTCATCAAAATTGCTGGTAGAGTTTGGCAAGCGAAACGTAACACCACCTATTTTTCCGTTTTCATATGGCAACAACATAGAACTGTCAGTTTGACACTACGTTAGACAATTCAAGAATATTGAATTTTGTTGTTTTTGCGAATTTGAACTTGTGTTTTTGGTTAAAAATTATGTCGAAGCCGATAAAAAGTTCATCGAGGAAACTTCTTTCCATCATGATTGACAAGTTTACTGAAGTGAAAACTGAATTAAATAAAAATTTCATGGAGAAATTACAACGATTAGATAAAGTTGTATCTTTTTTAGGTTAGTTTTGTATTATAATTTTGATACTTTCGTTTTAATTTTCTGTAATTAACTAAACAGATATTTTTTATAAAATATTGCTCTATTTCAGATAACTGTGATGGTGATATTCAACCAATAATGGAGGAGATAAATGCAATAAAAACTTTAGAAAAACAAGAAATGCTGAATTCGGAAACGCAGTACTTACAAAAAAATTCTTTAATGACAGGTCTCTTTTCTTGTTTTGATTTAAGATAGATTGATAGTATTCCTATAATATTTACATAGGTTTTTTATGATGTATTGGTTTTTATTGTTGACATCCAATGATGTCATAAGAATGTTTTGTTTAACAAGGAAATTCACAGAATTCATGAAACTAATCAAACCATGTAATTGTTATACATGCTAAATATGCACATAAACTTAACTAAATTAAACATAAATTGCATTCATAGTTGAATAGGTATTTAAATTATTTTGATGTATGTGTCTATCATTATTTGCTTTTAAATACATTTAACATATCTTTGTTTCAAAGTGTTTAATCTTTTATAGATGTAAGTATAAGGACACTAAGAAGGATAAAAAATGAAGCATTAATTAATAAAGGAAAATGGGACACTCCTGGGAAAAAACGACCTCATCAACCAACAGTGTCTGCTTTAGATAATTTTGATTTAAGTGCAATTCGGAATAAAGTAAATGAATTTTACTGTGTGAAAAAAATTGTTCCAACATTAAGAAGCCTTCACAATGAATTAAAAGATGCAATAGGATTCAGTGGTAGCCGTGAGACTTTACGAAAAATTATGCTTAAGAATGGATTTTCTTTTAAAAGCAATGAAAATGAACGTTCTATGCTTATAGAAAAATACCAGATTTCTGCATGGAGGCACAAGTATTTGAGAGAAATAAATATAAAACGAAACGAAGGAAAGCAAATTGTGTACCTTGATGAAACTTATGTACATCAGAATTATAAAGTTAAAAAGTCTTGGCAAGGACCTTCAACAACTGGTGTCACTACAAAGATATCCTCTGGAAAACGGCATATTGTTGTGCATGCTGGATCTGAGGAAGGTTTTGTGCCTGGTGCATTATTAGTGTTCAGTAGTAAATCCAAATCTGCTGATTATCATGATGATATGAACTCATCGAACTTTATGAAATGGGTCAGAGAAAAATTAATACCAAATTTAAGTAAGCCCAGTGTAATTGTTATGGATAATGCCAGCTACCATATAAAACAAATCAATAAACCGCCTATAATGTCTAATACCAAAGCAGATATCCGTAAATGGCTTGTAAATAATGGAATACATTTTGAGGAATATCAGACAAAGGCAGAGTTAATGTGTTTGGTTAATGATAAGAAAACATTGCCTGTATATGAAGCTGAAGAGATTTTAAAAGAACATAATCATGAACTTTTATTGCTGCCACCGTATCATTGTGACTTAAACCCAATAGAGATGGTTTGGAGTCAAGCAAAAAGAAAAATTGCAAGCAGAAACATTGGAATACCAGGAAAGGAAATGGAAAACTTAATAATAGAGTGTTTTAACTTAATTACCCCTAGTGACTGGAAGAAATACACTGATCATGTTTTAAATGTCGAAAATGATTACAAATTAAAAGATGGCATTGTTGAAAACGAACTTGAAAAATTTATTATATCTGTTGGTGCAGACAGTAGTGAAGAGAGTGACTCTGATGATTCCTTGTCATTGTTATCAGGTGTAGAATATTTAGAAACAGATTTTGACTATGAATCAGACTAAAGTATTTTTAGTCTGATTCATAGTCAAAATCTTATCTTAAATTTTCTATTGTGATTAACATGATGATTTTGTGACACCTGTATTATGTAATTTATCCATGGCACTTAATTGTAACAAAAATAAATGTTTTTTTTATTGTAATCTGGTGTTTATATTGACTAATTTAATTTGATAGATAGTGGTTCTGGATCAGAGCAAAAGGTTGTGATGAAAATCCCTTAGGAGACATGTATGTGTTATGAACACATTATAAATATAAGGGCCAGAAATCAAAATTGGCTAACATCACATTTATTAAAAAAATGTGGCCAGAGTCGCCCATATTCATTACAAAAAAACAAAGAAGTCGTTGCAAAAAACACCCTTTTAATTAATGACAAATATGAATTTTTAATATTATAAGTGCTGTTAGCCAATAGGTATAACGAATGGGTTAAAAAAAAGATTCGATTTAGTCCGTCAGTCAGATAATAGAAAAATATTGGATACGTATTTTTTTTCGCTTTAATTTAACAACAAATGGCTTAAGAGGTACTATGCGACGACTTCAAATATGCTTTGCAACAATGTTACTTTAATACAGTTTATCGATACGAAATCAAGTGTCAAAATGGAGTCCAGTGGAGAATGCCGATATTGACATTTCGAAATTGCTCATCATTGATAGAGAATACGAAATAGTGATTTTGACACAATCAAAGTGTCTATTTTTTACGGTGATGACGATTCTTGGTTGTCAGTTGAGTTAGTGAATAGGCCTACTGATATGCTGTTAACTGTACAATTAAGAACAGTCACGCTTTAGTCAAATGTTCCAAAACAAATAATTTTAATTGATATCTAAATGTTAAGATTAAATATAATTAATAAAAGTATCAAAATTATTTTGCAGTACTACATTCAGTGTTTACTGCTTAAGAATTTTTGAAATTGCCGCCCTTTTCTTGTGACACGTTTCGCTTGCCAGACTCTATCGAGTATTCTTGCTAAAGAATATATACTATAGGCGTTTGCATTTGACGTTTCAACTTAAATCTTATACTTTTACTCTTTGGTTTTTATTTTGATACTTTTACCCTTTTGGCTGCCATAAAAATAATGTATGACTGAATTGTATAAATATATGGAAGTATTGGATCGGTGGAAACTATATTTTCGTTATAGACATTTTTTTCTAATTTTTTTTTTTTTTATTTATTATAAATTGGCCATGTTATGACATGTATGTCACATTTGGCATGTCAGAATTTCACAATACTATAAATTGTTACAGCTTACATAATATAATTATATATGCAATTTGTATCATTATAAAATAATTCGTCATTCTCAAAATTAAGTTGCAAATAATTATATAAATTAATAATTTGATTAATTAACTACATTTTTATTACAAATTAAAATAACATATTAAAACTACAAATTAAAATTACAATCTTTCCAGGTCTTTGTCAAAAAATCATTTACTTTATAAAATGGATTAGATTCAAAAAATAATTTTATCACAATTTTAAATTTATTTAATGGTAACTCGGTAATATTTATAGGCAGCTTGTTGTACATATAAATTTTTAAGTTGAATCCTTGTGTTTGGACCTTTTTTAGTTTAGTCGCCTGCATATGTAATTTCTCCTTGTTCCGCGTGTTATACCAGTGATAGTCCTTTTTCTTAGATAGTGTGTCTTTCTGACAATGCACTTCCAGAAGAGACTTATAAATAAAAAGAGATATCACTGTCATTATTCTATTTGATTAAAAATATTCCTTTACCGACTGATATCTACGTAGCCCATTCATGATCCTTAATGATCTCTTTTGGCAGACCAGCACACGGTTTATTTGAGATGCATTACCCCATGCAGTAAGAGCGTAACTCAAAATAGAATGGCAATATGCATAATAAATTGATACTAGCGCCTTTTTACTCACCAAAGGCCGCAGTTTATATAAAACATAGTTTCCACTGGCTAATCTCCTGCACACCATGTCTACATGTTTCTCATGACAGATTGTGTAATCGATAGTGTAGCCCAGGAAAGTAGTATATGTCGTCCCTTTAAATATTTTTTCCTTTCTTATTCTATAATCCATTATGATCGTTTTATCTTCATTTAATATTATTCCATTTACGTTAAACCATTTTTTAAGACTATCCATTACTTTCGCCTTTTTTTCATTTTTTCATTTCATGTGTATCATCAGCAAAAAGAGTAGCATATCTTCCATCAGGCAAACAGTTTTGAATGTCATTTATATAAATGAGGAACAACAGTGGTCCTAAAATAGAACCCTGGGGGACTCCTATACTGCAATTGAGTTCGTTAGAATAAACATTATTAATTTTAGTAACTTGTTTCCTATTGTCAAGATAACTTCTTATTATTTCAAGTTCTCTTCCATCGAATCCATAATAATTCAACTTAAGCAGCAAAATATCATGCCTTAAACTATCAAAAGCTTTGGACAGATCGCAAAAAATGCTTGAGCATTTTTGAGATTCATCCATTGCACCTAAGATGAAGTATATTATTTTACGAATCGCCATTTCAGTAGAACGTCCCTTACGAAAACCAAACTGCACATCCGACAAGAGCTCATTTGATTCAATGAATTCCATCATTCTGTCTTTTATAGCTAATATTCTTACGTTTCCCAAAAACAAATATTTTGTAACAATTTTTCATACACATTTTACAAATTTTTGTTTGTCTGTCCGTCTGGTAGATTGTTTTTTTTAGGATTAGC